AAGTGTGATATGTTATACAACAGTTAAATTAACAATAAGTTAACATTGAGTTACTTTTTAGACACGATATTGTCAATATTGTTTGTTTTCCCTTTATTTCGCCGACTATAATTTCAAAATTAAACCGTAGCAGAGTCTCAATGCAACCGACAGCGATGATTTCTTGACTGAAATCCGCGTTTTGAACGAATCACTTGCTTCTTTCCCGAATGAATCAGCCGTTTGAACGAATCGGTTGAATGAATGACTTCCTTAACTCACTTATTAAGACAGTGATTTGCCGCTGCGGTTTCATATTTAAAGTACCCTTTAAATAAAATGTTAAAATTAGAAATCATTTCATATTTAAATATTGAATATTGATTTAAAAATATATATCTCATAGCTTTATTTATGCAGTTGTAAATGGAGTGTAAATAAATTAATGCCACTTCTGATGCCGCTTCTGTCACCTCTGCACTGCAAAGATGGATTTTGATTGAATGATTTAATTTGACTGGTAACAGTGGTACTGTATGATTATTATATAATTAAGTATTATTGTATAATTACTGTATAATTTAATTTGAATGATAGTATTTGACATTAAAGGTGATGCATAACTCTAAATAAGTTTAGAAAAAAAGTCCATATATAGGTGAAAATGCCCCTGAAAAAATCAATTTAAGGTGGCAAATATTGCCCCTTAATTAAAATATTAATTTCTGTCACTGCTGTGAACTGACCACTGCATAGAATATGAAAAATATGAATATCTTCGTGAGTCAGCTGTCAACAACAGACCTAAACCAGCACCAGCACAAAAACACAATCAGTAAAATATCATCTAATTATTATCAACAAAACTTTGAAAATATCAATATATATTTTTGTCAAAACTGCACAGCCCTAATGTACGGTATTAATTTTGATTTCTTCAGGTCTTAAAAAGGTCTTAAAAAGCCTTAAATTTGACTTTCAAAAGTGTGCAGGAACCCTGTATAAATATTATTTTCTATAAAGAGTCTTCATTTTAATTTCTGACATAGCCCACTCCAGTTCTTGTTAAAACACACTAGACATGCAAATTCTGTGCATTGTGGGCACTTTTTGTGTGAAATCATATTTATTTTGTCCATCAAAAGTGTGCTTTCACTTTAATTGAGCGTGAGCAGCGCAGCAGAAATAGACCCGGCACCGAAACCCGCTTCACCGCTGCTCACGCGACGCTCCTGCTCCTCAATGCTTAACCTGTATTTATTTACTTTTTATTTTTATTTTTATTAATCCATAATCCTATTAAGGATTGCTTAACGGTAGTTATTTATTTACTTTAAAAAATATTTATTTTTTATTATTTAGTAATTAATCCATAATACTTTTAAGGATTGCTTAATGGTAGTTATATATATTTATTTAAATACACAGGTGAAACTCGAAAAATTAGAATATCGTGCAAAAGTTCATTTATTTCAGTAATTCAACTTAAAAGCTGAAACTAATATATTATATAGACTCATTACATGCAAAGTGAGATATTTCAAGCCTTTATTTGTTATAATTGTGATGATTATGGCTTACAGCTAGCCTGGTTAACACCAGACCATTCTCAGTTGTAACTGAGTTATGGTCTGGCAAAGCGTCATAGACAAATCATTTCCAGCGGGGCGTCGCCAACGGACGTCGCAGATAGACCTAAACCCAATCAGAGCGATGAAGGAGATGACGTATGCAGAGCGGCGGAGACACATCTCCGAGTGTTATTCTTTGCCTCGGTTTTTAACAAAAAGGAAACGTTCAAACCGCTTAAAACAGACGCGATAGCTGATTGGAACGAGTGATGTTCGACGGCGGCATCCATCTTTGTAACATAGGCTACAAAATCTGCTTCAAAATCCCAGCGCTGTCGTCATCGTGTAAAGCCCGCCCCAACGTTTCTGATTGGTGCCGCGATTTCGGCGGATTGGAAACGGGCTTGAATGAGCTCTTTGCCAGACTAACTTTCAGAGCAAATCTAAATTTGCCGGAAGTTGTCTGGGTTTTCCCAGGCTAGCGTACAGCTTATGAAAACCCCAAATTCAAAATTAGAATATTGTGAAAAGGTTTTCATATCTGGGAGCCATAATCATCACAATTATAACAAATAAAGGCTTGAAATATCTCACTTTGCATGTAATGAGTCTATATAATATATTAATTTCACCTTTTAAGTTGAATTCCTGAAATTAAACTTTTGCACGATATTCTAATTTTTCGAGTTTCACCTGTAGTAGTGATATATTATAGTTTATTTATTTTGTTTTAATATAATATTTAATTATTATTATTTTTTAAAGTTAACCCAAAATGTAAAATGTGTATTAAAAAAAGATTTTTTGGTTCTTGCACATTTAAATAGTCATATATATAGGCACACACCCTTTTTTCTTTCTTTTTTTAAAGCAATAAATGATTTGTGTTTGTCTGCAGGACCCGTGTTGGCAGCGCCTGAAGAAACCTCTTCATCTGGTGCAGTGCATCCATGTGCTCCTGTCGGGATATGTGGATGACCCCAGCCGTGTGCCCACCTATGACAGGTAAACATCATCACCTCCAGATCTTCTCTACATTACACATCGCACTGTCACTCACTCACTCCCTCCCTCTCTCTCTCAGACGGAGGTTCACCAACGCTTGTCTGGATAATATCTGTGGTTATCTGGTGGAGCTGCAGTCCTTGAGTCCGAACGCTGCCCTGCAGGACATTATACGCAACTTTAAATCCCTTCAGGCCAAACTGGAGAAGCTCCATTGAGGACGGTGCGTACCACCTGACGGGCTTTCTGTTCTCGCTGTCCGCTTGTGACGTCCTGAGACTACAGGAGCCTGACTGAACACCAGGGCTTCACTCTTTATATTTACTGATGCCTTTGTGCCATAATGATCACTAATCCAGCCATGGAAATGCCCAACAGACGGCCACAATAAACACTTCAGATGTTGTATTCTTTGTTTTGCAGAAGTTTTTGTGGTGAGAATTCCAGATATGAGGGCAAATCTTGCCAAAGTCATTTCTTATCGTTAATCATTGGTATCTGTACAGTATTTGTTCATTATGAGGCACTTATTCTACTGCTGAAACACTTTCTGAGAGTGCGGTAACACTTTTTTAACACTGAGGATAAAGCTGCCCGTTACAATATTCACCATATCTATGGCAAATTTCCCATCAATCCGGGTTTCTTTTCAGTTTCTTCTCTGAATGGAGACATCATGCTCTCGGGCGTTCTGTACTAGCAGGCGAGCGACTGTTTTATGAAAATTACTCATTTTTATGAAAGTGAATCGTTTTCAACCACCATTTAGTTTTGTGTAATATGTATTGCAAATGATTTGAAAATAATAAAAGTTTTGTTTTAAATCACAATTGTGTAAAATTTATAATTTCCTGAGATATTGTTTGTTTTTCTGAAAGCATTTTAAAAATGTTACTATATTCCTTTGTAATTATATAACCTATATATATAGAGAGAGAGAGGTAGTTATAAATAAAAAAATTCTTACAAATGATTTACAATTGTATATATATATAATATATACACAATTGAAAATGGCAAATAAACGATGTATACATATATAAATAATATATTAACTGTTATTTGCAAATTTTATATACTTGTAAATATATTTACTATAATTCGATGTCTTGTATTATCCTTTACTTTGTCTTGAACAGATTTTTATGCTAATGTCACAGCAAAAATAACATGACGAGAATTGCATTCATATGCAGATTTATAATTTAAGTGGCATAGCGAACATAATTACAGTGATTGCTGGCAGCAATTATTAAAGCACAGGAGAGACAATCATTTCAGTTTTATGCTTTGGTGGTGGAAAAATGATACAGCGGTTTTATATCCCTTCTTTTGCTACAATTCACACACATTTCATACAAAACAAATTTGAAATGACATGCATTTACATGCACGACTAATTATTCAAACCTTATTTACGTTTTTGCCATTAGGCTACAGACAAAGACTTATTTCAATTCAATGGTCAATTTAAAAGGCTTTTCATAATGTGTTTATTCATACTAGTGGAAAGAAAACATCCAAAATACACTATTTTATTGCACTTTCATTTATTTGCGACACACACACACACCAAACTTTACAGTTTTATATACAGTCAAACCTAAATGTATTCAGACTCCTTCAACATTTCTCACATTATCACAGTTTATTCGCTATAGTTTAGAAAATGGTATTAAAATATGAGCAGAACTTGTGGATATTTGACTGGTTTTGTCCGTCCTTCTGTTAGACTCTCAAACATGAATTGTGATAAATATCTGTCAGCTGTTAAATTTAACACAATTAGATAATACCAGTTTAGCTCAACCAGTGACCAAGCAATGCTTCATGTTGTTCAGTGTGTGTGTAAAAAGAGCATTAGCAATTACAGAAAACACACTTCAGCAAAACTTCATCAGCTCAAAGTGGAGGAATCATATTTAGTCCCGAATTTTCATGCATTTTATTGTGAGTCACTGTATGAAGAATATTTGACTATAATATGTCACAGTTTACTTTATTTTGCTCTCCTCACTTACATAAATGAACTATAGTGTCCTGCACACACTAGTAAAAAATATCAAAAATTAGGCTTATATCTGCATGGTGTCTGAATAATTTTTGCTTTGTATGTTCCTTTTATTCCTAAAACAGTTTGCATTTTTAAAAACACAGCGTTGCAGACACTTTTCCATTATTATGTTAACATCATAACCTTGTTTTGTTGTTATGGTGTGTTCACACCGAACGCGAATAGAGCGTCAAATACGCGTCTATCGCGTCTAGTTAGACGCTTGAGCATTCGCTCGAGTTCAAATTTTTCAACTTGCGCGGAAGACATTCGCGGCAAACGCGTCGCCCAATTCGCGTCATTCGCAACGCCCGGCGCGTCTTTGCATTGACTTTGTAATCTACTCGCGCAAATAATTAAATTCGCGTTCGGTGTGAACACACCATTTGTGCTTACCAGCAGCAGGAGCAGTCGAGTTTCTTCACCCCGTGCAGATACACGTACGGCACGAAACAAGTGTAAGATGCTCCTATAAAATTGGTCAACTTCACCGCCAGGATTGAGTTTCTGAAGCTGCTGTAGATGCGAAGCACGAGGTGCGAGAACCAGCAGATGATGAAGATCGACGCCACCGCCACCACGCTCTTCGCCGCGCGCGTCTGGCTGTGACTCACCGCTTTAGACTTAGTGGCCGTTGCTTGTGTTCCCGAGTTATGATTTGAGTGATCCATAACTCGTTTCTGGCTCTGCATCAACACTAAGACGATCTGCACACTGGCGTACGTGATCCCAACAAGAGGAGCGACGTTAGCCAGAAGAAGATACAGCGCGTCATACGTGCGTTTATCCGCGAGCGTTGGGAAGCGTTCCTCGCAAACTTCTAAACTCTCATTCCCGTTATGTTCTGCGATAAAAAAGTGGGGAACGCTGAACATCAACGCCACGCTCCAGCTCCCAGCGAGGAAAACGGTGACGAGTCTGAGATTGTCCATCTGAACCGGAGCTCCTCCTCGTCTGACGGATCCCACTAGTTTCTGATGCCAGTACATGCTAATGAACATGGTGGAGAAGATGCTGCTGGTCTCAGAGAGATCGGATGAGAACTGAAGCACGCCACAGTAGTTTCTCCCCATGAACCAGTTGTTCACAAACTGTGCCAAGGTGTCGGGCAGATCCACCAGGCAGTTTGTGATGAGATTGGACACGGCCAGGTTAATGAAGAGAAGATCATTGGGACGCATTTGGGATTTGGATTTGGGAAGAGAACGCAAACCCAGCCAGAAGTTTCCTGTGATTCCAGTCACGCAGAAAAACGCTCGTATAGACGAATCGACCCAGTCTTCGACCAACATCTCAGAGTTGTTGTTTTTCCTCCTGAAGTCTCTTTCTGTGCATTTACAGATCTAACTTTATAAGGTGTGTGTGAAGATCTGGTCTGTGGTCATGTCACTGAAACTCCTCCCATAATGCTGAGCGCTAATTACATGTGAGAGGAGGAGAAATGTGTGAGTGCTGGGAATGGGATTAACAAGTGTCCAAATTTGACCAGGTGAACAAATATTTTAACGAGATATAAACGATCATGTGAACTGGGAGATGCTCAGCTTTTTTGCTATACGCTCAAAAGTTTAAACACCCAAGCTTGCAGAATCTGAGAAAATGTTAAAGTCGCCCTGTGCTGAAAGTCAAGCTTTTAATGTTGTTTAAGTGTCTATGTGGTGTTTTTAATACGCTTTAAGACAATCCATGTGTATGTTCATAAGTCGACAGCATTGCTGAGTATTTTCTGCTTAAAACTGCAGTGAACCAAAGACAGTCTCAAAAACACGGTTTGAAATCGCTGGTGTTTCTGACGTCACAAACGACCTTGTAACCAATCAGATCAACGTGTGATCGTCAACCAGTGGATCTCTGAGTGAGTGAGTGAGAGGAGGCGGGGCTCATTTGCATATTCATAGAACCGCGTATACTAAATGAGGCAAGGGTGTCGAGTTACATTCAAGATATTTTAAGGCATGAAGAATATTTTTCAAGGAAAAAACTTTTAAATATGTCATTTTGGTGACATATTTAATATCTGTCCTGAATATGATATTTTACATAAAACATGTTTACATGACAAAAAAAAATAGCTGAATTTATAAAAATGGCCCCGTTCAAAAGTTTATGAACCCTTGATTTGTAATACTGTGTGTCGTTCCCTGGATCATCCACGACTGTTGTTGTGTTTTGTGATGGTTGTTCTTGAGTCCCTTGTTTTGAACTGACCAACGTTCTTCTGAAAAATCGTCCAGGTCCTGAAATTTGTTCAGTTTTTTCAGCATCTTTTGCATATTTGAACCCTTTCCAGCAGTGACTATAATTTTCAGTTCCATCTTTTCACACTGACGACAATTGAGCAACTCAAACACAACTATTAAGAAATGTTCAAACATTCACAGACGCTCCAGAAGGAAACACAATGCATTAAGAGCATTTGAAGATCAAGGTAAATTATACTTAATTTGTCTTCCGGGAAACATGTAAGTATATCCTGTTGCTTCTGCAGGGCAGTACTAAATAATAATAATAAAAAAAAGCTATATAGACAAAATAAGACATTTTTCCAGTTCAAAAGTTCATAAGATTTACTACTTTTACTTAATTACTCTTCAAAGCGATGCCATAGAAATATACAGAGCTAGCTACTGCAAAAACACTTCTAAAGATGGCTGCGCGCTTGTTTCTCTGGCGGATAAGGTCTATTGAGTCCCAGACAGCAACATAGTGCCGGCCCACATCTGGAATGTGTGGAGTCCACGTGTACCGGATGTGGGCCGGATCTGGGCCGACGCTATATTGCTGCCCGGGGTGGTGCAGGGATGACATCAGGACCCGGAAGACTAATTCGCCGCTGGTTCCTTCGAGATTTTCCTATGGGGTTTTTCAATTCATGAGTAAAATAAGGTCTGTGGTTACGGAGCGCCTACAGGGACATGGTGGTGGAAAAAAGAGATTCAATTCACATTTATTTCTATAGTATGGAAGCTTGTTTCCGCCACAGAATGAAAAATAAAAAAGGTAATTGCGACTTTTTATCTCACAATTCTGACTTTTTTTCTCACAATTGCGAGTTTACATCTCGCAATTCTGACTTTATTTCTTGGAATTGCGAGATATAAAGTCAGAATTGCGTGTTATAAAGTCAGAATTGCGAGATATAAAGTCAGAATTTATTGATATAAAGTCGCAATTGCAGGTTATATATAAAGTCAGAATTGCGTGATATAAAGTCGCAATTGCGTGTTGTAAAGTCAGAATTGCGTGTTGTAAAGTCAGAATTGCGTGAAATAAAGTCGCAATTGCGTTATAAAGTCAGAATTGCGTGATATAAAGTCGAAATTGCGTATTGTAAAGTCAGAATTGTGAGATATAAACTATTCTGTCTTTTTTTCTCGCAATTGCGACTTTATTTCTCAGAATTGCGACGTTATATCTCGCAATTGCGATAAAAAGATAAAAAGTCCCAATTATTATTATTATTATTTTATTCAGTGGCGGAAACAAGCTTCCATAGTATAGCGATTTTCACTATATATATATTTCAAGCAGCTTTACAGAAAATGCATGTCTCTAAATTATGAGATGGGACGAAAAATAATAATTAAATGCTTCTCTCGCAAAACCTTTGCGTTCCACCGAGAAACTTTGCGTTCGCTCGCAAAGAGCTCAAAAAGTTTTTTTGCGAGCTAACGCAAAGTTTCTCAATGGAACGCAATGTTTTGCCAGAGAACGCAAAAGCATTGAATTTATTTATTTCTTTCTCTCATCTCATTTTTTTCCCTTCACCATGTCCCTTTAGGGGCTCCGTACTTGGTAAACAGGGCCAACTTCAGAAAGAAATATGCGGGACAATCGTGGTTCTTTATAGGAAAATAAAGGGCACTCAAAATATTTGTACTGTATCACACAGTAGCCTATATGTCATTTCAGGTTCGTATGTGTAAAGTTTGTCAGACATAAACACATTTGTTTTGCTTAAACTATTTATGTACAATTAATTCTAAAATGAATTTTAAGGTCACACAAAAAAGTCACATTACACACAAACCATAGTTCAAAATAATAGCATTGATCTGAAATAGAAAGCTTTTGTAACATTATACACTACATTTTAAAGAAATTAAAGAAAGTAATAGCCTATTTTATTCAGCAAGGACACGTTAAAGTAATCAAAACAAGTGACAGTAAAGACATTTATGATGTTACAAAAGCTTTTTTTTTATTTCGGATAAATCTCGTTTACCGTATGCATAACGTGACGATAGCCTTCGAGAAGTCTTCGACGGTTGAATTACACGTGACGCACACACATTGAAAACGCTGATTTTTAAGCAGTTATGTTTTTTTGTTTTTTTTTGTGAAAACGTATGTTTCTAATAAGTTAAACATTTGGCGAGTGCGTGTGTTCACGTTGTAGAACAAAACGTCCATGTATCGTCAAGCTGTTTACCACAGACCTTATTTGACTTATAAATTGAAATAGCCCATTATATAAACCCATAGGAAACGTTAAATTAGTCTTCCGAGTTTTGACGTCATACGAAATAAATGGATTTCTCCCGCCGAAAAACTTGAATGCTGGTTGGTTGTCCAGTGTACTTCATCATCTTGGCTGACGCAAGGATTTGTGTGCTTATTTGACTGTAAAAAAATACCCACGGCAATAATTGCGCTTATAGGCAGGTTTTTAATTCGTCAAGTGGCATAAACATAATTGCAGTGACGTCTGGTCGCAATTATCAAAACACAAGAGTACAATCATTTTCAGTTTCTTTCCTTTGGTGGTGCAAAGCTACACCCAAGATATTTCAGTCTGTGTAATTCATTCTAACAAATCTTTCATATCTGTATATATTTAAAGCATTTCTACAGGCCTAACAATACCTCTAACTTATTTTTTACTATTTAATTTTTTAAGGCAAAAAGCACTGGCTATTTTGCTTCCATAACTTGTCCTCCTTCAGAATAATGGGAAAATTACATCCAAAATACAAATGTAAGTATTTGTTTTATAGCACTTCATCTGTAGTTTCAGATTTTCTTCTCTTCAGTAGCACTTACAAACTTTACAGTTTTATTTACACCATGTTAATATAAAAATGTATACCTAAACAAACAATCTTCAGATTTCTGTTCTGGGAAATGTATGCAAATGAGTGCATATTTAATTAGACAATGCCTAATTTGCATACGTATTCACGATCATCTTTAACATGTTAAATTAAGTTTTAAATGTCCGAATATTTAATTCAAAAAAGAATGTAATGAATGATGTTCAATCATTCACTTATTATTATTATAATTATTTATTAATTAACAATTTGTAAAAAAAAAAAAAAAAAAAACGTTCAATTTGTTGTATTATGCACTATATAGTAACCTATATAGCCTACATATTTTAAATTAGTTCCGTTAGTATGTAGCCTACATCTTGATAGTTGATAAAGACCATAGACTGTAAAAAATAGATAAAGACCCGATTTCGAGGGAGGACCCGATTAGTCATGAGTTCTGCGCATGCTCGAGAAGCCTTCCGTCATCCTCTGATCGCGCATGCGCACTGGCTGCGCTCGAATGCGTCTGATTCTATGGAAACGCAGCGGGAAGCATGGGATGTTTGATGTTTGGAAAACCGGAAGTGGAGGGAGATTCGAAACAGCGGATAAAATAGACGCGGAAGTGTTTATTAAAGTCATGGGATGATGGTAGAGTATAAAGACACTTTAATATCCGTTTAGGACTGTACAGAACTACGGTGTGTTTGTTTGTGTGTGTGTGTGTGGATCATGTTTGATGTTGTGTTTACAAACCGCAGCTAACGGTATTACTGCGCATGCTAATGACAGTTATTTATTTCTTGAATATTATTAGTTTAATCGTATTTCTTGGTATGTTATTATTCACAAATGTTTCTTTCATCCATTTCAAACGGATTAAAGGATGTTTATACTAATAGTGTAACTTAGCTGTTGTAATACAGTATTTTGGCTGTTGATTTGATTTGCTGCGGTTAAATTATGGAAAATAATAATAATATGGTTAATTTTAGATGAAAGTTTATTTACATAAATACCATATATTTGATTTATCTTGCTAACTAAGTGCTGTGGTTGAATTCTAATTGTAGTCATGCTATAAGCATACTCATATTAAAGTAAGTATGTTTATTTATTTGTACTGATAATTTAGCTGTAAACCAGTTTAAAAAAAACCCAGATAAATACTGCATATGATTCAAAGGTTGTATTATACTCTGCTTCAATATCTTGCTTAACATGTTATGTGGGCTGTAAATATGAGTAGATTTCACTCATTTTCCCTGTGTGCTGTGTTTAATTCCCACGTGCCACATGAAGCTGAATGTTGTAGGGAACAGAGCTTCTGGTCCTCTGAAACTCACCGTCAGTGCCGAGAATGGATGTGAAGTTCGAGGTTTTGTTGTCGTCCAGCATCAAGCGCCGCAAGCCGTGGCCCAGATTCTGCTGGCTTGGCCGGGTGAGATCATAACTTTTACACATTTTTACTTTTTTAATCCTTTGAAGCTAATGTAATGATTTCAAACAAACACAAAAAGTAAAAGTAATCAAAGTCAAAAGTAATTTATTGTCATGTACGTACAAGTTACCAAGTACAATAAAATATTTGAACTACTCCACGGACTATAGATAGACAGACAAAATACAATAAACCTCACTGCTATATAAACACAAAATGTGCATATATACAGAAATTACGAAATAAGTGCTAAGCAACAAGATCAGTGGCAAAATAAGTAAAATAAAACAAAATGAGTGACATAAGACAATAAAGTGACTTTTTTTTTTACTTTTGACACAACCATTTGTTTTATCAGTAAGATTGTTGAATGTTTTTGAAAGAAGTCTCTTCTGCTCACCAATTCTGCATATTTAATAAAAAATGCATTAAAAACAGTGATATATTATTGTTTACTTATATAAAATTAAAAATAGCTGTTTCCTATGTGAATATCTAGTAAAGTGTAATTTATTCCTGAATTTTCAGCATCATTACTCCAGTCTTCAGTGTCACATGATCCTTCAGAAATCACTCTAGTATGATGATCTGATGCTCAAGAAACATTTATTATTATTAATGTTGAAAACAGGATTCTTTGATGAATAGACAATTAAAAAGAACAGCATTTATTTGAAATAGAAAGCATCAGAAAGGAAATAGAAAGGGTCAGTAAGATTTTTTGGGGGAAAGAAATTAATAATTTTATTCAGAATGGACACATTAAATTGATCAAAAGTGACAGTAAAGACATTTATAATGTTACACAAGATTATATTTAAAATAAATAACTTTTACCTTTTTTGAACACTGATAATAATCATAAATGTTTCTTGAGCATCAAATCATGATTTCTGAAGGATCATGTGACACTGAAGACTGGAGTAATGATGCTGAAAATTCACAGGAATAAATTACACTTTACTGTATATTCACATAGAAAACAGCAGTTTTACATTGCAATAATATTTCACTGTTTTTACAGTGTTTTGTATAAAATAAATGCAGTCTTGGTGAGCAGAAGAGACTTATTTTTACTGATCTAAACGTTTTTAACAGTAGTGCATGTCAACACTGTTTTCTTCCAGGAAAAAGAGGGTGTTTTTCTGTTAGATGACAGTCGGATTAGTGAAGTACATTTGCTTTCGGGACGGACCAAAAAGAAGATCCCAAAACTTCAGCCGCTGTTGCAGAGGGTGGTGTCCATGTCAGCGTCTCAGAACGGTAAAGACGGTCACTCATCATCAGTGTGTGTCAGGGAAGTTGTTCGGATTTTAAAACTATTGATAGAGGAGTACCTCAGGGCTCATCTCTCGGACCGCTATTGTTTTCTATTTTTATAAATAATCTTCCACAAGTTTTTTCTAATTGTCAAATTCAGTTATATGCGGATGATACTGTTATTTACTTTTCTAGCTTGGATATTTCTTATATTCAGCGATCAATTCAGTCTGACTTTGACGTAGTTCAAAATTGGTTTTCCTGTAACAAACTTTTGCTAAATAAAAAGAAGTCTTATTATATGTTGTTTAATACAAAACAAATCTACTTAATTAATTTTATAGATGGAACTCCAGTGTTAAGTTGATGAGTTTAAATATTTAGGTCTTCTGCTTGATTCTCAATTGTCATTTATATCACATATTGACTTAGTTATTAAGAAAATATCATATCGACTTAGAATACTTTATTCCTCTATTAATTGCTTTACCCGTCAGGTTAGAAAAATAATTATTACTCAGTTAATACTTCCAATCCTTGACTATGCCGATATAATTTACCAAAACACCTCCGTTACAAATCTTCGTCCTCTTAATGTTGTTTATAATAATCTTTGTAGATTTGTAGTGAGGTGTCCATACAAAACGCACCATTGCCAAATGTTTGAATTATTAAATTGGCTATCTTTAAAGTCAAAAAGGCATTTTCACTGGTTTCAGTTTGTTTTTAAATGTCATTACTTAAATTATCCTTTGTATCTAAAACAATATCTAATTCCATTTCGCTCTTCACATAATTTAAGGCACACCGATCAATTATATTTTACGTTCCTAAAATTAATAAAGAAGTAGGTCGTCGGGCATTCAAATTTAAAGCTCCTTCAGATTGGAATAATTTACCAAGTGTACTTAGATCCATTACTCGTTTAATTTCTTTAGGCCACTACTACATGATCATTTGCAGAATATACTCTTGCTTTTGACTACACCCATCTCCAATTATCATGTGAACTTCATTATTTTCTATGGTACTGAACCTGCATGTTATGTTATGTGTGATAAATGTATACTTAATGTATCAATGTTCTTGGGTGGCTTGTATGTGAGGATATAGTTATGGAGAGCTAAATGTTGGTATGAATGTGAAGTATTATGTGTTATACAATGTAACCCGTTGTCTGTATTCATGTTTGTTCCTAGGATCCCCTCGAAAACGAGATGGTACATCTCAAGGGGCTATCCTTCAAATAAATGTCAAATTGTGATGGGATCACACGTGTGTTCATTCCTGTTATTTGCAGGCGTGTGGCTGGTGGGTCTGCTGGTCTCTGGAGAACTCTTCCTGTGGAACAAAGACAAGGATTTGCTAAAAACGGTCTCAGCAGTTCCTGCGGTTCATCAGCTGGTTTCTTCCATCAAAGGTCTGTGTAAACTCTTAAAGGGATAGATCACCCCAAAATGTAAACTCTGTCAGTAACTACTCTCCCTCATGTTGTTCAACCCCGTAAGACTGTCGTTCATCTTCAGAACACAAATTAAGATATTTTTGATTAAATCTGAGAGCTGGATCACTCCTCCGAAGGCTTCTTAAGGGATTGAAACTTGCCGGCCCAGAAAAGTTATGAAAGACATCGTTAAAATAGTCCGAGTGACGACAGTGGCTCAACCTTAAGTTTATCAAGCGACGAGAATACTTTCTGTGCGCAAAAAACAAACAAAAATAACGACTTTATTCAGCTATTCATTTCCTTCTCTGTGGGCCTCGAGTGAGTTCATGTGTGTAACAGCGCAGCGCTTCTGTGTTGTACGTCACACACACACACACACACACACACATGACCAGCGTCGGCCAATAGTGAGCCTGCGTGTGACGTACCAATAGCGCTGCGCTGTTACACTACCAGAACTCACTCGAGGCCCACAGAGAAGGAAATGAATAGCTGAATAAAGTCGTTATTTTTGTTTGTTTTTTGCGCACAGAAAGTATTCTCGTCGCTTGATAAACTTAAGGTTGAGCCACTGTCGTCACTCGGACTATTTTAACGATGTCTTTCATAACTTTTCTGGGCAGGCAAGTTTCAATCCCATAGAAGCCTATGGAGGAGTGATCCAGCTCTCAGATTTAATCAAAAATATCTTAATTTGTGTTCCGAAGATGAATGAAAGTCTTACGGGGTTGAACAACATGAGGGAGAGAAATTACTGACAGAGTTTACACTTTGGGGTGAACTAACCCTTTAAGAGTTTAACTTTTCCTGATGCACATGCAGTAATCCTCCTCAAACTAACACGGCTTGTCTTACGCAGGTCCTGCGACTACACTAGGACTTTCTCTGCTGGTTTCGGAGAATGCGCAGAGAGTTTTCCTGGCCGCTCTCACAGGACAGGTGTTCCTCTGGGAGTGTACGACACCTCAGGATCTAAGCGGCCCGCGGGACGCCACCATCACGGGACGATGGAGTCACATATCATGCCATGAAAACACTCAACTGCCCTCAGTAAAGGACAAAGAGGCTTCCGTTCATAGTGTGTTTGTGAAGAACCAGGTAAAAACAGTGAAAGAAGTCTATAGATTGTTTGTTTTGTTGACTTAATTTGTTACAATGTTGCCTTTTCTCTTTGGTTCGGGTTGCTTTCACAATGCAACCTTTTAAAGCGTAGCAAAATGCGTTTATGCAAGTCACATGCGAGTACAACTGTCCTCTTATTGGACAGCCTTTCCTCTGCGTCATCCATTAAAACGATTGACAAGTTTGCTCCATGAGCTTATTGTGGCTTTATTTGTAACTGTCGAGACACTATACGAATGTAGCCGTCATTGCTGATGTAAAATTATAAACTACATTGTTATTAATACTGCAGCAAATTCACACGCTCTCTGGATCTCCCAGCGCTGTCGAGAGGTTTACTGTGTAAAGACACACGCAAACACTGTACGAATGTTATAATGCAGCTGGAGCAGGAATCAAGGCTTCGTCGGGACGGAGAAGCGCCAATAAACAACATATTTACATTTAGCAGACGCTTTTATCCAAAGCGACTTACATTGCATTTCAAGCTACACATTTTACATTCTTATCAGTTCTTGCTTTCCCTGGGAATCGAACCCATGACCAACGCTCGACTGTTTGAGCTACAGGAAAGCTTGTTTTATATATATATATATATATATATATATACACAGGTGAAACTCGAAAAATTAAGAGTATCGTGCAAAATTTCATTTATATCAGTAATACAACTTAAAAGGTGAAACTAATATATTATATAGAGTCATTACATGCAAAGTGAGATATTTCAAGCCTTTATTTGTTATAATTGTGATGATTATGGCTTACAGCTTATGAAAACCCCAAATTCAAAATTATATTATTCATATCTGTGAGCCATAATCATCAAAATTATAACAAATAAAGGCTTGAAATATCTCACTTTGCATGTAATGAGTCTATATAATATATTAGTTTCACTTTTTAAGTTGAATTACTGAAATAAATGAACTTTTGCATGATATTCAAATTTTTCGAGTTTCACCTGTATATATAATAACTTTATAAGAGGATAAGGTGCTCTTTTGGTTTTCAACTGTGATAACTAATGTGCTCACTCACAGAATCAGACACTACTGCTATTTATTTAGCACATTTTCCGTTATGAATTATAATACCATTTGGTCCGTTGGGTCGGATTGCTTCCAAGATCTCGTTCAGGCGTTCATCCGTGTTCACACATGCCTAAACGAACCGATCCTAGGGAGAAAACGCACCAGGTTCTGAAACAAAGCTCCCTTAATGTTGCTTAGCTTTTTTGCATATGTGTAATATTTCGCTGTGGTGTGTTTAGGCAGTCGGTGACGCGTGTCTGAGCGCGTTTGTGTTCACTGCTGACGGGACGCTCACCGTCACCTTGCTGAAAATCCAGTGGGACTCGACATGGGAAAACAAACTCAGGTCAGATGATGTTAAATGTGCGTTTATTTATTAGAATTCCGCCATCATTTGTTTATTTCACTTGGAAGTATTGTTTATGGTGATTTTTTATTATTATTATTATTAATAATAAATGTAATTATTTATTTTACATTGGGCTTTTTTTATATTTTTATTATAGATATTTTCCACGCTATTAAATATATGCAAGAAAATACAATTAAAATACAGTGTAGGAAGAGATTATTTAAAGTCTCCAGCTACATCAAACTAATAAAAACAGTCAATATAATCATAACAACTACAAATATTAAAAACCACAGATAGGCAAAAAAGCTACGGAAGCGTATTGCATTCACTTGAGGAAAAAAAATCTACTCTGTTTTTCTGAATTAACGAGTTAATTATCTCAGAATTACGAGAGATTTTTTTCATAGGAAAAAAAGTTTTTGCTCTGTTTTTCTGAATTAATGACTTAATTATCTAATTAAGTAACTAATTAATTTATAAAAACAGAGTGAAAAAATGTTTTTCAAGAAAAATGTATCTCATAATTCTGAGATAATTAACTCGTTAATTCAGAGTAAAAACTTTTTTTTCATGAAAAAATCTCGTAATTCTGAGAGTTTTTTTTCCTCATGTGAATGCAATACGCTTCCGTAAAAAGCATATGTATATATTTGTAATATGTAAGCGTGCATATGTACATGCTTGTGTGAATGTGCATACATATGTCTATCTATGAAAAATACATACATATACATTATATATTATATCACCAGTAATTTACAGGTGAAACTCGAAAAATTTGAATATCGTGCAAAAGTTCATTTATTTCAGTAATTCAACTTAAAAGGTGAAACTAATATATTATATAGACTCATTACATGCAAAGTGAGATATTTCAACCCTTTATTTGTTATAATTTTGATGATTATGGTTCACAGCTTATGAAAACCCCAATTTCAAAATTAGAATTATTATTCCTTTTCCTCTAATATTCCTTTTCACAGAATGCTGTAATCCATAATCATCAAAATTATAACAAATAAAGGCTTGAAATATCTCACTTTGCATGTAATGAGTCTATATATTATATTAGTTTCACCTTTTAAGTTGAATTACTGAAATAAATTAACTTTTGCACGATATTCAAATTTTTCGAGTTTCACCTCTATATATCAGAAATAATGAGTAATAATATATGCATTTGTATATAATAACAAGCTGCTTTTATCCAAAGCAACTTGCATTGCATTCAAGATACGTATAGTGTTTGTTCAGTTCATGGATTTCCTGGAATCATTCCCTGGCCTCTCGATCTTTATTGCTTTATTGTGTTTTGTTTGGCAGTTCAGCAGGTTTCAGTGTTCACTGGTCCTCTAAGTGTTTCCCGTTCAACCAGCTCCTGCCTCCATGTAAACAGGTGAAATCCAGAGGGTCTCTGGTTCCAGCGTTCTCTCCAGATGCTCAGCTATTAGCAGTAGTCCTGAACCAGAAAGACCCGAGGGTAAACTCAACGCTACATTCAGACCCACAGGCACAGGAATGACATGTGTGCAGTGTTAAACATGTGTTTCTCTGTTATCTGAAAGGCCACACAGGTGTTGTTCATCAGCACTCAGAACTTCGTGACGGTTTCCAGCCTGTTAGGAGGATGTGGCGTTAAGACGCTCATTATTCCAGCTAAATATGTCAGGTGAGTGTTTTAAAAGTCTCAGTTGGGTGGCATCTGATTGGCTGGTTGTAAGAACAGGTTTATATTAGCTTGTATGGAAAGATGTTGCCAGACTGCTGCAATGACATATCTGATATTGAGGAATTTGTGAGGTTGTTTCCTTCCCCAAGATTTAAGATTCACCATTTTTATTTGTCACATGCACAGTTAAATAAACCTATAAATCTGGTCAGCTGCTTAGATGCATAAATAAAGATGATAAAATAAGATGTGCATTAAATACAGGAGGTAAAAATGGTGAAATAGAATGTGCATTAAATAGGTAAAAATATCAAATAAAATTTAAATATAAATAAATACTTGGTAAAAATGGTAAAATAAGATGTGCATTAAATAGGTGAAAATATAAAATAAGATTTAAATAAATACTTGGTAAAATAGAATGTGCATTAAATAGGTAAAATATAAAATAAGATTTAAATATAAATAAATACTTGGTAAAAATGGTAAAATAGAATGTGCATTAAATAGGTGAAAATATAAAATAAGATTTAAATATAAAATAAATACTTGGTAAAATAGAATGTGCATTAAATAGGTAAAAATATAAAATAAGATTTAAATATAAATAAATACTTGGTAAAATAGAATGTGCATTAAATAGGTAAAAATATAAAATAAGATTTAAATATAAATAAATAGTTGGTAAAATAGAATGTGCATTAAATAGGTAAAAATATAAAATAAGATTTAAATATAAATAAATAATTGGTAAAAATGGTAAAATAGAATGTGCATTAAATAGTTAAAAATATAAAATAAGATTTAAATATAAATAAATACTTGGTAAAAATGGTCAAATAAGATGTGCATTAAATATAATTAAACAGAAGGTAAAAATGGTAAAATATGTACATTAAATAGATAAAAATGATAAGTTAAACATATTTATTGACCAATGTACCATCTGACATATATGCTTTCATCAATTTTGTTTTATGTAAGAATGTATTGGTGACCAAACGATTGTTCTGAACAATTGTATGTTGTTGTGGCTGGTTTTTTTCTCTCTCTTTTTTTCAAAAGGAAAAAGAATAAAAAAAAAAGTAAAAAAAAAAAAAAAAAAAAAAGTTAAGATGTGAATTAAATATAAATAAACAGATAGTAAAAAATATGATGTCCAGTGCATTAAATATAAATAAATAGTAGTTAAAATGGTGTAATAATATATAAATAAGAAATAATAATGAAAAAAAAGTAGTAGTAATAATAATAATAAACAAAATAGCAATAAGGCAATGAGCCAATGTACAGAGAATGTGTAAGAATAGGAAGAACAAAAATGCAGAGTATGTTGCGAGGGAGTAACAAAACAAGTATAGTAAAGTATAACCGAGAGTTATGATTTTGAGAATGATAAATGTTGTGTTTTCCTGCAGGTCGTACTGGGTGTGTTCTGTCAGCTGGACACCGGAAGGGCTTTATCTGGCCTGTGTGCTCAAGAGAGGCTCTCTGCTCATGCTGGCTCGTCTGGGGGGACTCGTGTCTCTGTCCACCACAGGATGTAGTGTTGAGTTCGGCGCCGCCCACTTCCTGCCTCTTCACCCACTCGTCACCTACAGGTGATCTGATTGGTTCCTCTGGTTGACGTTTCTCTGCCTGAAGGAAGTTGATATTGCACTCTATCAGATATTGGGTTGTTTTTCTCACGCCGTTTTAGAAACACAAATGAAAGAGATGTGCATTAAATATAAATAAATAGTTGGTAAAATAAGATGTGCATTAAATATAAATAAATAGTTGGTAAAATAAAATGTGCATTAAATATAAATAAATAGTTGGTAAAATAAGATGTGCATTAAATATAAATAAATAGTTGGTAAAATAAGATGTGCATTAAATATAAATAAATAGTTGGTAAAATAAGATGTTCATTAAATATAAATAAATAGTTGGTAAAATAAGATGTGCATTAAACATAAATAGTTAGTAAAAATGATAAAATAAGATGTGCATTAAATATAAATAAATGGTAATTAAAAATGGTAAAATAATATGTGCATTAAATATAAATAAATAGTAAGTAAAAATGGTAAAATGAGATAATTAATAAACAATTAAACAAAAACCATTAAACATTTAGTTTTTTATTTTGCAACAATTACATGTTTTGTGTAACTTTGTTGTTCTTTTAATCAACATTCTTACATCTGTATTAATTTTCATCCTACGACATATACCTTTTAGGTTTTTGACATTTTTTTTAATGTTTATAATAACATTTTTTGTTAATATTCCTTTGTAATTCTGTTTTTATTTTATTTTCATAATTTTATTAATTATACAAATATTTACAGATGCAATCAAATTAGTTATAAAACATAAAAATTAAAAACAAAATTAAAATAATTTCACATTTTTTATGAAATAGATTTTAAAAAAAATATTTTTTTTATTATAATGTCGTAGACCCTCCAACATATCTTAGGTTTTATGACATGTTTATAAATAACAATTCAATGTTTTAATAAATTTAAATGTTATAAATTATAAAAAACGTATAAAAGTAATAATTGTACTTGTTATACGAATATTTACACATTTAATAAAAGAAAAAATTCTAAATAATGAAAACTTTTCCAAATAATTAACTTTTTTTTTTTTTTTACACTAATTGCATTTTACAAAAATTGTGTTTAATTATAATGTTGTATTTATTAAAAATACATATAATTTTACTAACACAAATAAGGACCTTTTTTTATTAAATAAATACTTATTTTAATCAACATTCTTACATCTTTATTCATCTTTTTCTTCCTCCTCCGCGGGCATTTAATGCTCTGTTCAATGCAAGTACAAGAATAGTAAAACATCTTTATTTAACAATCGCATCATCATGGCATAAGGCATAATTTCCTCTCACATTTGCGATGTGCAACACTATAAAAAATATGAATGCAAGATGCATGCTTTCATGCATGAACAATTTATCACTTTCAATCAGCGTTGCCAGATGTACGATAATTATGTACCTTAATTTTGATCAGTAATGAAAAAAATCCCATAATGTACGATAAGTTCCATCTCATCTCACGTAGGCCTATGTCTTCTCGGCCAATCATGGTGGAGAATGACTCTCTCTCACGAGCACAAGTTAAAGTTCCCTTTGTATATTTTATACAAAGTTGTATATCATTAACATGTCATCTCTGTAAGAATAAAAAAAGTTTTACGTCCCTGCTGCAACACTCAGTTGTTTTCAAGCGGAGGTTGATAGTTTAGCAATAAAGTAGTCAAAATACTCTGTGTTCTGTACGTTTGACTCGTGTATGATACTTTTCTTCCAAATACGATAATTTTGAGCTTCTGTTACGATACTTGGTACGATTCTCAATCTGGCAACACTGTTTCCAATTTCATCCGTAGAGCTCCGGTGCCTTTGCAGACACAAGATGGCGGCCTGTCCAGCTCGAGCGTGTCGCTCCGTGACCCCATGAGACAGCGGTTCTCCGTGACCTGTCATCCTCGCCAGCCGCTCCTCATCGTGTCCGACGGGTACATGATAACTGTGCTCAGGATGAGCAAACGCCCGTCCGCTGTCGGGATCATGAGCGCCCTCCTGCTGGACGCTGCTCGAGGACTGGAGAACATACGCGAGGTCCTGGGCTCATCTCAGGTCAGCGGGGGGACGGGAAATCAATGTCAATAGCCACGTTTCCATTACTCTTCAAATTGCGCAAATTGAAAATAATACGCACAACGGAAACACGTAAATTTCGCAAATACTCAAAAAAGTTTATACGCTCGCATGAGGAGGTTTTTCAGGCAATTCCAAAAAGGAATATTTCGCAAAACTGCAATGGAAACAGTTTTTGCGCATTTACAGTCGCCTGACGTAGATGACGCGGTGTGTTTGGACAGAATACGAGACAGAGTTCTTTATTATATTCATAAAAGACAAAAGAATTACAGGAATACTGGATTCTAAACCTCAAAGAAATGCCACAATCAAGACCAAATGAGGGAGAAACACAGAGAAACTCCTCATATGAGCCTTTCCTTGCCATTAATGCTGGATAACACACACACACACACGTCTCCTTGCATTAATAATAATAATGTCTAGTGCGGTGGCTTTGATATATATAAACCTACCAACGTCCGTTGCCATGATTTTTGGAATGACTTAGAGGAAAAAATTACATTTTAGTCGCGTAACATCGGCTAATGGAAACGCCGTCATTTTGCAATAGTTTTTTATCGATTTTTAGAAAAAAATTGGTCTGAAAGGGCCTTTACATTAACTTTTATTGTTATAAAAAAAAAAAACAAGCCCAGCCCAGATGAGAAAAAGTAACGCAAAAGTAACGTAACGCATTACTTTTCTTAAAAAGTAACTAAGAAATGCAATTAGTTACTTTTTAAGGGAGTAACGCAATATTGTAATGCATTCGTTTTCAAAGAAACTTTCCCCAGCACTGTTCACTAGTGTGTTCTGGGTGTTTCAGCCTCAGGTCAGGTCTAGGCTGGAGTCCATGTCCACTCTGACGTTCACTGGAAGTCTTCTGGCTCTGAAAGAGAAAGAAATCCCTCTGTCCACACTACCGCTCTACCTGCAAGGTACAGGAGACCTCACACAGTGTACTGAGACAGCTCAGGTAAGCTCATCTCAAACGCTTTTTGCATATAAATGGTCATTAAAGGGGTCATGACATGAAAAATCAAATTTTCCTTGATCTTTTGACATATAGGAGGTATTTATAGCATTAAAACACCCTGCAAGTTTCAGAGTTTAAAATGTTCTCCTCATTATAAACACAGCATTTATTTAATCAAGCTCCAAAAACAGATCGTTTTGATATTGGGTGATCTATGACGTCACACGGGCAAATACATTTGCATATGACGCCTCCAGAGTGGTTATACATCATTGCACAATAGGCCACGCCCACTTGCCACATAGGCCACGCCCGTTGGCCACATAGGCCACACCTACTAGCCACATGTCACGCCCACTTACATTTACATTTATTCATTTAGCTGACGCTTTTATCCAAAGCGACTTACAATTGCTATATATGTCAGAGGTCGCACGCCTCTGGAGCAACTAGGGGTTAAGTGTCTTGCTCAGGGACACATTGGTGTCTCACAGTGGATTCGAACCCGGGTCTCTCACACCAAAGGCATGTGTCTTATCCCCACTAGCCACATGTCACGCACACTGGTCACATAGGCCACTCCCACTAGCCACACATGCCCCTAACCCTTTATTTAAAAATAACTTTTACAAATAATTATAATTAAAAAAAAATGTAATAGTGATTCAATCTATATAAATTACTCGTCCAAATAATGAATAATATTATCTCCTTAGGATGAGGAAGATCATGACTCTGATGAAGACCCGTACGCCTGCTCACACATGCAAGATGGAGGCAAGCTTGAGTTTGCGTCGATGTTTGACACTCTTCATGCTCAGGCACAAGCAGATCCAGAGTCCACGTCCTCAGATCTGCCGGAGGATCTGAACCGGGTTCACAAGAACCTTCTGAGAGCCTGGGCTCTGGCCGTTTCTCTGGGTGGGTCCATGGAGCAGAGAGAGCGTCTCCTCAAATACACAATCCTGTGCGTCGTTCGCCTCGTAAAGCTTCTCAGGGTCAGCGACTCGAAGAGTGCGAGCACATGGCTCACACACGCCCTTCACACACTCAGAGCTCTCCTGTCGTTTCTGCCGTGGGACGCCACACACTCCTCAGGCAGGGGCTGTCTAGGCGTCACAGTGGAGCTCACTAGATGTTTCGTAGACCTTTTCGTCCCGCTTTCATCATCAGGTGTAGCACTTTCCTCACAGAACTTCAGCGCAGCGCTCTTCGTCCTTCAGCAAGCGTCTCGGAGCGTGGATCGGGCCTACAGCCTCCCGTCGAGAGCATTGCATCATGGGGAGGATGGCCAGCGAACATATTCCTCTGACATGTTTTCTGTTCCGATATTACAAGAAGACACTGAGACAGTAACACAGACTGCACGACAACAACCTTCTAATAGGTACTTTTTGGTGTTCTTGAGAAGTAGGGTTTTTCCTAAATTTCAAACCTTTTTTTTTTTTTTCAGTCATCATCTATTACGGTTCATAGTTACCTCCCAGAACACCCTAGTAACTTCAAAGCAACATATAAAAACACTCAGAACAGATTAACAACCACATAGCAACACCCTAGCAACCACCCAGAACACTCTAGTAACTTCATAGCGACATATTAAAAAACACTCATATAGTCTAACCACCCAGAAAACCCTAGTTACTTCATAGCAACATATAAAAACACTCAGAACAGATTAACAATCACATAGCAACACCCTAGCAACCACCCAGAACACTCTAGTAACTTCATAGCGACATATAAAAAACAGTCATATAGTCTTAGCAACCGCCCAGAACACCCTAGTAACTTCATAGCTACATATAAAAACACTCAATCACGTAGCAACACCATAACAACGACCCAGAACAACCCACTAACTTCATAGCAACATCTAAAAACATTCAGATAGTCTTAGCAACCATCCAGAACACCCTAGTAACTTTGTTGCAACACATAAAAAACAATCAGAACATATTAGCAACCACTTACAAACACCCTAGCAACCACCCAGAACAACCTAGTAACTTTATAGCAACATATTAAAACCACTCAGCACGTCTTCAAACCACATAGCAACACCCTAGCAACCACATAGAAACACCCTAGCAACCACCCGGAATAACCTAGTAACTAGAAAGGTATTAAAACCACTCAGCACGTTTTAAAACCACATATCACCTTAGCAACACTAGATGGTAATACTTCTAGCCCTTAAAAATAAAAATAAATAATCTTAAACATCTTTAGTTTTATTTTTGAATTACTAAACCTGGCTCTCGCCATGAACATACAGTAGCTATAGAAGCTGGAATGGCGTTAAAGGAAAAAAGAATGAAAGAAAGACAACACCCTAGCAACCATCACACTAGCATCATGGCAAGCACTACTCACTATTTTTTATTTTTTATTATTTATTTTTTATTATAACAAACATTAGAAAAAGTCGACAGCATTACCGTTTTAGCCTGAGGTCTCTGTTGTGTGTTTCAGATTGGTGGTTATTTGGCGTGAGCTGTACAGATTGGCTTTGCGGTACCAGGAGGAGTTACGCCACCAAAGAGGTCAAGGGGTCGTAAAACACGAGTTGGAGAAGATGTCCGTTATTATAGCTCAAGTCCAGCAAGCTTTACAGTCTGCTGGAGATCGTCTTGAGGAGAGCCACACATTGCGTAGTTTCACCGGTGAGCACGTGTAACCATAACAGAAGCGACTTATGTTACACCATCATATCATAATAATGTTCTCCATCCTCAGGGGAACAGCACTTTATTTTAGGTGAATATGCGGAGAGTGTTCAGATTTGGAGGGCTGAATTATGGGCAGAGAGAGAGAAAGGTCAGTCCCTGTTTTTATTTCAGCTCACATTGTCATGTTAAATGTCACATGTCACTCACTACATCCGTCCTGCATCCCGCAGCAGGTCCAATGACGTGTTACCTGGAGACACGCCACTGTCTGGCTCTTCTGTACGCGCAGCTGTTTCAGTATCGACTGCGAGAGGCTCAAGGTCTCTGTGACCGTCTGGCACATCAACTACAGTCGCGTGCAGGACGAGAGGAAGAGGACATGCCAGGAGGGGCTGGTAAGCTCATTACTTCTGCAGACACAATTAAAGGTGACCTATTATGCCCCTTTTCACAAGATGTAATATAAGTCTCTGGTGTCCCCAGAATGTGTCTGTGAAGTTTCAGCTCAAAATACCCCACAGATCATTTATTATAACTTGACAAATTTGCTCCCATTTGGGTGAGCAAATACGCTGTTTTTGTGTGTGTCCCTTTAAATGTAAATGAGCTGCTACTCCGCCTCCTTTCCAGAAGAGGGCGGAGCCTTTACAGCTCGTGCTTCGGATACTCCGGCAACAACAAAACTGGAGAATGTCACGCAGCCAAAATGTCACGGAGAGAATGTCACGCAAACAAAAGACTTTTGTTTTTGTAATCAGTCTCAAATATTATATAAAAACTTGGATTCAGATTTATCAGCCAATATATCGGTTATCGGCTTTCAAAATATAAAGGATGATTGTATCGGCCAATATCGGTGCATCCCTAATTCTAATATGCTGATTTGCTGTTCAAGGCACATTTGTATTCCTAGATTGCTACAGTGAGGACAGTATGAGATTTCTCCCATCACTTGTACCCTGCAGATGAGTCTGTGTGTGAGTGCTGGCTCTCGGGGCCGGTGGGGCGTGAAGCGGCCTGCGCAGTGGTTCAGTCTCTGGGCAGGTTTATGGCTGCGTACTTCACCAATCGCCCGCTCTGCATCCTCCCGCCACACAATGTGGACTTGCTGCCGCCTCTTCACTTACCAAACAGTGAGTTCAGGAAAAACAAAATACCAGTGTGGCTATTTCTCTGCACAGTATGCTAATTTTTTAACTGTGTGGAATGCGTAGTTTACAATCAGAGCACTCTGTATCCCATAATGCAATGCATTGCACTTGACCTTCAGTGTCTAATGTGACGGTTGAACCTGAAACTATTTTTAACATCTATTTCTTGACTTGACTGGATCAGGCTATTAAAACTTCAGACATTTTTACACAAAATTTGGTTCAAATGCAAAACATTTTTTTGATATGATAATCAGACATGCAGCATGAAATGAGGTCATGTGACAGACAGATGCAGGTGTGTGTGTGGTGGAGTTGATGAGTGTAACTGATGCTGTCTCAGACACAGGTGTGTGTGTGGTGGAGTTGATGAGTGTAACTGATGCTGTCTCAGACACAGGTGTGTGTGTGGTGGAGTTGATGTGTAACTGAGATGCTGTCTCAGACACAGGTGTGTGTGTGGTGGAGTTGATGAGTGTAACTGATGCTGTCTCAGACACAGGTGTGTGTGTGGTGGAGTTGATGAGTGTAACTGATGCTGTCTCAGACACAGGTGTGTGTGTGGTGGAGTTGATGTGTAACTGATGCTGTCTCAGACACAGGTGTGTGTGTGTGGTGGAGTTGATGAGTGTAACTGATGCTGTCTCAGACACAGGTGTGTGTGTGGTGGAGTTGATGAGTGTAACTGATGCTGTCTCAGACACAGGTGTGTGTGTGTGGTGGAGTTGATGAGTGTAACTGATGCTGTCTCAGACACAGGTGTGTGTGTGGTGGAGTTGATGAGTGTAACTGATGCTGTCTCAGACACAGGTGTGTGTGTGGTGGAGTTGATGAGTGTAACTGATGCTGTCTCAGACACAGGTGTGTGTGTGTGGTGGAGTTGATGAGTGTAACTGATGCTGTCTCAGACACAGGTGTGTGTGTGTGGTGGAGTTGATGAGTGTAACTGATGCTGTCTCAGACACAGGTGTGCGTGTGGTGGAGTTGATGAGTGTAACTGATGCTGTCTCAGACACAGGTGTGTGTGTGGTGGAGTTGATGAGTGTAACTGATGCTGTCTCAGACACAGGTGTGTGTGTGGTGGAGTTGATGAGTGTAACTGAGATGCTGTCACAGACACAGGTGTGTGTGTGGTGGAGTTGATGAGTGTAACTGATGCTGTCTCAGACACAGGTGTGTGTGTGGTGGAGTTGATGAGTGTAACTGATGCTGTCTCAGACACAGGTGTGTGTGTGGTGGAGTTGATGAGTGTAACTGATGCTGTCTCAGACACAGGTGTGTGTGTGGTGGAGTTGATGAGTGTAACTGATGCTGTCTCAGACACAGGTGTGTGTGTGGTGGAGTTGATGAGTGTAACTGATGCTGTCTCAGACGCAGGTGTGTGTGTGGTGGAGTTGATGAGTGTAACTGATGCTGTCTCAGACACAGGTGTGCGTGTGGTGGAGTTGATGAGTGTAACTGATGCTGTCTCAGACACAGGTGTGCGTGTGGTGGAGTTGATGAGTGTAACTGATGCTGTCTCAGACACAGGTGTGTGTGTGGTGGAGTTGATGAGTGTAACTGATGCTGTCTCAGACACAGGTGTGCGTGTGGTGGAGTTGATGAGTGTAACTGATGCTGTCTCAGACACAGGTGTGTGTGTGGTGGAGTTGATGAGTGTAACTGATGCTGTCTCAGACACAGGTGTGTGTGTGGTGGAGTTGATGAGTGTAACTGATGCTGTCTCAGACACAGGTGTGTGTGTGGTGGAGTTGATGAGTGTAACTGAGATGCTGTCACAGACACAGGTGTGTGTGTGGTGGAGTTGATGAGTGTAACTGATGCTGTCTCAGACACAGGTGTGTGTGTGGTGGAGTTGATGAGTGTAACTGATGCTGTCTCAGACACAGGTGTGCGTGTGGTGGAGTTGATGAGTGTAACTGATGCTGTCTCAGACACAGGTGTGTGTGTGGTGGAGTTGATGAGTGTAACTGATGCTGTCTCAGACACAGGTGTGCGTGTGGTGGAGTTGATGAGTGTAACTGATGCTGTCTCAGACACAGGTGTGTGTGTGGTGGAGTTGATTAGTGTAACTGAGATGCTGTCTCAGACACAGGTGTGTGTGTGTGGTGGAGTTGATGAGTGTAACTGATGCTGTCTCAGACACAGGTGTGCGTGTGGTGGAGTTGATGAGTGTAACTGATGCTGTCTCAGACACAGGTGTGTGTGTGGTGGAGTTGATGAGTGTAACTGAGATGCTGTCTCAGACACAGGTGTGTGTGTGGTGGAGTTGATGAGTGTAACTGAGATGCTGTCACAGACACAGGTGTGTGTGTGGTGGAGTTGATGAGTGTAACTGATGCTGTCTGTCCCAGACACAGGTGTGTGTGGTGGAGTTGATGAGTGTAACTGATGCTGTCTCAGACACAGGTGTGCGTGTGGTGGAGTTGATGAGTGTAACTGATGCTGTCTCAGACACAGGTGTGTGTGTGGTGGAGTTGATGAGTGTAACTGATGCTGTCTCAGACACAGGTGTGCGTGTGGTGGAGTTGTCTCAGGCTCGTGCAGCGGTGGCGGTTCGCTTCGATCAGCTGTCGGAGGTGTGGACGGTGGATTACGCTCTAGAGCTCCTCCTGCTGGGCGGGCTGATCCCTGAGGCCGTGTGGATGGCACAGCATCTGGGAGACTGGAAGATGGCCGCCACCCTCGGCCTGGCGTACACCAACTACTGCAGTGGCCATTTAGACTTCAGCAGGTTTGTTGTAAGCATGAACAGTGTTGGGGTAACTCATTACAACTAACTTGAGTTACGTAATCAGATTACTTTTTTAAGTAACTAGTAAAGTAACACATTACTCTTAAAATTTACAACAAAATATTTGAGTTACTTTTTCAAACAAGTAGCGCATGTTTCTAGGGGTGCAACGATTCCCTTATGTCACGATTCGATACATATCACGACACTGAACTCACGATACGATAATATTACGATACTCCAAGACATATGATAAAAGGTTAACAAAAAATATGCTGTTGATTAAAATGCTCAATTTGATATTACATTTTGGGTGTAAATTAATGGGCTTGGACGTGGTGCTGATGCACAGGACAAGAAATATTCATGATTCTGAAGCTGAAAATACATAATTATTTTAAACGAATATGCTTGCACTCTGTTACTGACTGTACTGGTAACATTAAAGATTTGGCATTATCAGGACCCACAAATATTCCCTCATTGCATCACTATACATTATATTCAATGTTATATAGTAGTTCCATGTAGTACTGACTAACACTAACTATACACAATACATATTATCACTATCCACAATACATATTGTTGCATTTTTGTATTGCAACATATTGTGACATCCCTACAAGTTACTTTTTCACATTTATTGACTGACAGCTCTCTTGTCCCCATTTTGAGAGAAATCGAAGTGCAGAGGCGCTGTGTGTAAACATGATGGTTATTGTAGTTCTAGACTAAATGTGAGCGTGCATTTACTCCTCTCACTTGCACAAAAAAAGATTCAATATTCCTCAAAATGAATAAAATCAGTGAAATGCAGAATCAGAATACTATGCAAACCTCCAATAACTAAATACATTTCTATGCATTTAATCTCACTTTATTGACCAATGTACTTGCTTCTGACCTTCAATGATTCAGTTAAACCATAAGCAAAAATGACTAGATTTTTTTTTGTTTTTATTGGTAAATTAGTGTTAAACTTTTTTCTCCTGCATCCTATTCTTCCGTTATCCAGAACAGCATCAGCTGAAAGGTTTGCTTGAGCGGCTTATTATTTCACTTTTGGTGTGAAAGGGTCTTTACAACAAGCCCAGGTGGAAAAAAAAGTAACGCCAAAGTAACGTAACTTTTCTAAAAATTTAACAATGTAATGCAATTAGTTACTTTTTAAGGGAGTAATGCAATATTGTAATGCATTACTTTTTCAAAGTAACTTTCCCCAACACTGTGTATGAATGTCTGGTATCCTCGCTTCAGATGCCACAGTGATGTTTTTCCCATATTCCTCATGTTTTGGTCCTCAAGCCTGCAGTGGAGAGAGCTGCACCTTCCCACCGAGCTGAAGCCTGCAGGGATATTCCACGATCAGCTGGAGAAGTTACTGGGTCGAATGCTTGGGTCTGAAGGGGATGATAACAAAGGTGAAAAAAAAATGTTGGTTCCTTGCCACTGTCGCTTTTGGCTTGCTTAGTTGGGACACTTAATATTCAACAATATTATTGCTCTGCCTGCATTGACACCATTATATGAGAACTGAACTGAGCTGGACGATGACATCACTGTTTTCTCCAGAGAGGCTGTATATATAAATGAAATATATTAATAACTTATGTATATAATTATATATACATACATAATTATTATATTATATATACTGTGTATAATTATTTTGTATATATAAATACACACATATGCATGTATTTATTTAAGAAATATTTGCATTTATATACATATATATATATATATATATATAGACACACATAGTTTATATTATATAAATATAAATATTTTATATATAAATAACACATTTTTCTTAAATATAAAATTATTTATTATGTACATTAATGACATATGTAGGGTGACTAACCTCTTAAAATTTGTGATTTTTGCTGACGATACTAATATTTTGTGAAAATCTTGAGCAGCTTTTAGAGTTGGTCTCAGCAGAAATGAATAAGTTAAAAATATGGTTTGATTTAAATAAATTATCGATAAATTTAGACAAAACCAAACTTATGCTGTTTGGTAATCTTAAAACCGATACACAAGTAAAAGTATTGATTAATAATGTTAAAATAGAAAGTGTACGAGATTACATTTTTGGGTGTGATTCTGGATCACAAAATCTGTTGGAAACCCCACATTAAATATGTCAGAACAAAAGTAGCGCAGAGTATTGGAGTAATGGGGAAAGCAAGGCATGTATTGAGTAAAAAAGCACTTTATATTTTGTATTGTTCACTTGTGTTGCCTTACCTGAATTATTGTGTTGAAGTATGGGGCAACACCTACAAGACCACCTTACAAACATTAAGCACAATACAAAATATAGCTGCGAGCAGCGATTACGGGCCCAAGCCGGTGGCACCGCAACACCGGTGCCTTTAGTTACCTAAAGGCACCGGAGTGGCGGTGCCGCCGGCTTTGGCCCTTCATCGCTGCTCGCAGCTATATTTATATATATATATATATATATATATATATATATATATATATATAAACAAGCCGGTGGCACCGCCACCGAGGTGCCTTTATATATATATATATATATATATAAACAAGCCGGTGGCACCGCCACCCCGGTGCCTTTAGGGTTACTGTGCATGACGGGCAATATCGTAACTCCGCTTTGACCTTTGAGATGTGTGCTGTAAAGCTTGCATTGGTGTGGGCTCTGCAAAAGTGTGCATTGAGGGCACATATCAACCACAAAGTATGCGTGAGCAACCTTCTGAAACCTAAAATGAAAAATGAGACACCCTACGGTCTCATGGACTTAATGGACACATGAAATAAGTTATGAAAGTTAAATCAATTGTGCCAAGACAGAATATTACTTGCCTGATCTGATTAGAAAAAAAGTTTGTGTGTGTGTGTGTGTGTGTGTGTGTGTGTGTGTGTGTGTGTGTGTGTGTGAAACGTGATTGAACAATGTAGACATAAAAACATACTCCTTTTGTTCATACAGGACATTATTCAAACTGTAAAGTGTTTACTTATATTTGTGAACAATCGCAATAAAACACAACATTGTGCTTTTGTCAAACTGTAAACTACAACTGTCACCCAACCAAAATCTCTTTTTTATTTTATACAGAAATAAATAATCTATCATTCAGATGAGAATAAAGTTAGTGTTAGTTCAAATTTTAAGGAAAACTCTGAAATATAGCACATTCATTTAAAATTCATTCAGGTTCAATTACCAAACATACAAATCTTAATGTAATTTAAAGCAAACAATACATTTAAAATATATGGGTTGTATGCCTATTTTTTTTATATAAAAAGATATATATCCAAAAAGACAAGGCCTAAACAATACATTTAAAATATATGGGTTGTATGCCTATTTTTTTTATATAAAAAGATATATATCCAAAAAGACAAGGCCTAAACTTTAACAAGGGTTAAACAATCACTGTAACAGACACAATCATACACACACACACACACACACACACAGACACAGACACAGACACACACACAAGTCAAATCACTTACATTTTATATGCAATATTGACTTTTTTCTGTTTCAGCACCCGCTCATTAAGACGGTCGCCTGGCGACACCTAGTGACGGTTTAGTGTTATTTGATTATACACTCAAAATATTCCACAACAAATCCTTTAAATTTAATGATATTCAGAACAGAACACGAATAAAAAAATAACTATAATAAAGCCAAAACGAAATAATTTAAAACAAAAGTAAAAGTAAGTGGTGTTAGGCTCACGTAAATCTCTCTTTAGAATCTAAATGTTGCAACATTTGCGATGTATTTGGATGCTAAACTATTCTTTATTACAGGCTTTGTACTTCACTCACGTTCCAATATCGACGGAAAAAATCATCCTCTTCACTTGTGCAAAAATGTGCTTGGAAAAATCACAGTGGAGCGGTGCTTACTGTGAATGATACAAATTGTACTACTGACTATTTCAACATAGCAGTGTAATTTGTATATGTTAGGTTGAATGTTTTATTATTGTGTGTGTGTGTGTGTGTGTGTTTGTGTGTGTGTGTGTGTGTGTGTCAGTGTGTGTGTGGGGGTCTGGGTGGCTCAGCGCGATTGAACAGTGAAACATACTCCGTCATTTTCTTCATACAGGACATCATTCAAACGTCAAAGTGTTTACTTATATTTGTGTACACTCGCAATAAAACACAACATTGTGTTTTTGTTAAATAAATTAAAGTAATACGTCCCCCGAAATGGCGCTAATTTTAAAATGAAACTAAAATGCTCACGGCTGCACGGGCATTCATAACTCTGCGCGCCCACGGTGAGGGACGAGCAGAACAGAGCGAACGTTGTTTAGTTCATTCCTACTTCCATAGGAATTAATTGAAAAAGCTCACTCTACTCTGCACCATTATTAATGAATTGTGCAGACGTCCTTATTTTACTTTAGCTTTTTACCTGATTTTGAACACAAGAGGGCAGTATAACACTATGTATGATTTGGGAAAAAAATTTTTTTGACTAAACAACCATTCTGGCTGTTTTTAAACTTAAACATTATTCTCTAATTGCTCTCACCATGCCCGTTTCTGAAACTCTGCACATGTCTACTGTCTAATAAATGTGATGTGTCTGTCGGGTTTCATGCAATTTCAAGTATGTTAAGAGTCTCAAAAGCATCAACAAAGAATAATAAAGTTTGATGCGTTGCCACGGCAACAGTATCTAAGATATCAATAATCCTTTCTCAGGTCTACATCTGCCGTGTGTCTACATTATACACATAAAGTTTGAAGCAAATTGGGTAAAAATAAGAGGGTGATTTCAAAGCCTTTAGGAAGTGACACACTTCCTGCTGCCAGTTGGTGGCCCTATAACTTTGACTCACAATAGTCACATCCATGTGATCGGACTCTTACAGCGAACACACTGCTGAAGTTTCATCAAGATCAGTTAATGTATGCAGAAGTTATAACACACTTCCTGTTTCCTTTATTCGCCATAAATTCGTTTCCTCGCCACGGCCAAACCGTTCGAGATATCAAAAATCCCCTGGCAACTTTTCATCCTCAATGTCTTGACTTCATGCTGACCGAGTTTCGTGGCGATTGGTTGAATTCTCTAGGAGGAGTATATCGAATTCCAGGGGCATACGCTTCCAAACAAACCATAATAGCCGACTTCCTGTTGGGCTGGGGTAAAAAGTAAAAGTACAAAGGATATATGAATCGATGAGATCTATATGTGTACCGAGTTTCATATTATTACATTCAAGCGTGTTTGATTTATGGACCAAGTTTTCGGACCCCGTTCCAGGGGGCGCTGTCGAGCCCCCTTGCCACGCCCGGGTACCAGCTTCAGCCCGGCCCTGATGGCCACGGGTTCTGACCCGTGTGCAAAGTTTCAAGAGTTTTTGAGCACGTTAAGGGCCCCCAAAGTGCGCTGAGAGTCTCAAAAGTATCCAAAAAGAATATTAAAGTTTGATGCGTTGTCACGGCAACAGCATCTAAGATATCAACAATCCTTTCACAGGTCTAAATCTGGCGTGTGTCTACATTATACACATCAAGTTTGAAGCAAATCGGGTAAAGCCTGTTTGATTTATGGACCAAGTTTTAGGACCCCATTCCAGGGGGCGCTGTCGAGCCCCCCTGCCACGCCCGGGTACCAGCTTCAGCCCGGCCCTGATGGCCGCGGTTTCTGACCCGTGTGCAAAGTTTCAAGAGTTTTTGAGCATGTTAAGGGCCCCAAAAGTGCGCTAAGAATCTCAAAAGTATCCAAAAAGAATATTAAAGTTTGATGCGTTGTCACGGCAACAGCATCTAAGATATCAACAATCCTTTCACAGGTCTACATCTGGCTTGTGTCTACATTATACACATCAAGTTTGAAGCAAATAGGGTAAAGCGTGTTGGATATATGGACCAAATTGTCTGACCCGTTCAAGGGGGCGCTGTCGAGCCCCCCTGCCACGCCCGGGTACCAGCTTCAGCCTGGCCCTGATGGCCGCGGGTTTTGTCCTGTGTGCAAAGTTTCAAGAGTTTTCGAGCACGTTAAGAACCCCAAAAGTGCCCGAAAGCATAAAAAAGCATGAAAAAGCTTAAAAAAAGGAATATTAATGTTTGATGCATTGCCATGGCAACAGTATCTAAGATATCAATAATCCTTTCACAGGTCTACATCTGGCGTGTGTCTACATTATGCACATGAAGTTTGAAGCAAATCGGGTAAAAATAAGAGGGTGATTTAAAAGCATTTTGAAAGTGACACACTTCCTGCTGCCAGTTGGTGGCGCTATAACTTTGACTCACAATAGTCACATCCATGTGATCGGGCTCTTACAACGAACACACTGCTGAAGTTTCATCGAGATTAGTTAATGTATGCAGTAGTTATAACACACTTCCTGTTTCACGTTTCTCGCCATAATTTCGTTTACTCGCCACGGCCGAACCGTTCGAGATATCAAAAATCCCCTGGCAATTTTTCATCCTCAGTGTCTTGACTTCATGCTGACCGAGTTTCGTGCCGTGTGTTTGAATTCCCTAGGAGGAGTATTTCACATTCCATTGCATGTGTTTTCCAAACAACCCTTAATAGCCGACTTCCTGTTGGGCTGGGGTAAAAAGTAAGAGCATGAAGTATATATGAACCGATGAGATCTATATGTGTACTGAGTTTCATATTATTACATGCAAGCGTGTTTGATTTATGGACCAAGTGTTCAAACCCCGTTCCAGGGGGCGCTGTCGAGCCCCCCTGCCACGCCCGGGTACCAGCTTCAGCCCGGCCCTGATGGCCGCGGGTTCTGAGATGTGTGCAAAGTTTCAAGAGTTTTCGAGCACGTTAAGGCCCCCAAAAGTGCCCAAAAGGTAGTAAAATAATAATAATAATAATAAAATATAGCTGCGAGCAGCGATTACGGGCCCAAGCCGGTGGCACCGCAACCCCGGTGCCTTTAGTTACCTAAAGGCACCGGGGTGGCGGTACCACCGGCTTTGGCCCGTAATCGCTGCTCGCAGCTATATTTATATATATATATATATATATATATATATATATATATATATATATATATATATATATATATATATATATATATATATAAAGCCGGTGGCACCGCCACCCTGGTGCCTTTAGGGTTATTGTGCACGACGTGCAAAAACGTAACCCTGCTTTGACTGTCGAAAAGAAGTGTGCTGTAGAGCTTGTATCAGTGTGGGCTCTGCAAAAGTGTGCATTGAGGGCACATATCAACCACAAAGTATGCGAGAGCAACCTTCTGAAAGGTCAGGTCTACATCCAGGTCTACATCTGCCGTGTGTTTACATCATAGTAGTGAAGTTTGAAGCAATCAGGTGATTTCAAAGCTTTTTGAAAGTGACAGACTTCCTGCTGCCAGTTGGTGGCGCTATAACCGGGGTGGCGGTGCCGCCGGCTTTGGCCCTTTCATCGCTGCTCGCAGCTATATTTATATATATACACACACAAACACACACACACACACACACACATATATATATAAATATATATATATATACATAAATATATATATATTGTTTTTTTAAGAGACAAGACAGAATATTACTTGCCTGATCTGATTAGAAAAATAGTGTTTGTGTGTGTGTGTGTGTGTGTGTGTGTGTGTGTGTGTGTGTGTGTGTTTGTGTGTGTGTGTGTGTGTGTGTGTGGCGTAATTGAACAATGTAGACATAAAAACATACTCCGTCCTTTTGTTCATACAGGACATTATTCAAACTGCAAAGTGTTTACTTATATTTGTGTACACTTGCAATAAAACACAACATTGTGCTTTTGTCAAGCTATAAACTCTTGTCAAACTGTAAACTACAACTGTCACCCAACCAAAATCTCTTACACACACACACACACACACAGTTTAAAAGCAAAAAATATCAAACAATCCTATTTAAAAACAGTCTGTGGGAGCCATCTTTTGGACATTCATCATATCGCATTGGTTTTCATTTCTTGTCATCAAACAGAGCCCTAATCTGTTTATTTTTTCAGTTACACATTCTACATTGATTAAAAAAGAAAAATCAAATGTGTTTTTATTTTATACAGAAATAAATAATCTATCATTCAGATGAGAATAAAGTTAGTGTTAGTTCAAATTTTAAGGAAAACAAATATATGATCTGAAATATAGCACATTCATTTAAAATTCATTCAGGTTCAATTACCAAACATACAATCTTAATGTAATTTAAAGCAAACAATACATTTAAAATATATGGGTTGTATGACTATTTTTTAATATAAAAAGATATATATCCAAAAAGACAAGGCCTAAAGTTTAACAAGGGTTAAACTCTTATCACTGTAACAGACACAATCACACACACAATCACACACACACACACACACAAGTCAAATCACTTACATTTTACATGCAATATTGACTTTTTTTCTGTTTCAGCAGCGAAAATAGTTAAACAAAGATCACAGCAGAACCATCGCGCATCTCACAGCAACGCGTTCTCATTACTGAATGATTCAGCATTTTGAACGAATCGGTTGACTCAAAGATTCAATGACCAATCAATCCATAAACATCTATCTCATTCATGAATGACTCAGTCGTTCAAACGAATGAATCAATGACTCGCTCATTAAGACGGTCGCCTGGCGACACCTAATGACGGTTTAGTGTTATGTTTAAAAGTATCATTCTTTCCAACGATTGTTAATTAACTCATATTTGAAACATAAGCTATATTTATATATATACATACATATACACACACATACACAAAAATAAAATAAAAACACATTTGAAACGTGTTTGCTTACTAAATTGTGAGCTGAACGAAAGTTGCAGCAAATATCAGCAACAGGAGTCAAATTTCATTAATCACGAGAGTGAAGAGCTGACTGAAAAGATGATGATGGAATAGGCTATTTTATGTAAAAACGCCTATTTAAGCGAATCTGTCATTGTACTCTTTTATTGTTGTGTTTTCCGTGAAAAATAATAGACTATTGAACTCACAATTCAAGCAATCGGCCCCCGAAATTGCACTAATTTTAGTGGCACTGAAAAGTATGCGGCTGCACTGGCATTCATAATGGTGCGCGTCCATGGCGACGAGCGAGCAGAACAGAGCGAACGTTTAGTTAATTTCTACTTCCATAGGAATTCATTCGAGCGCCACCATTTCAATGTCTGTGCGGACGTCCATATTATACTTTCGCTTTCAAGTTAGTGTTTTTAAACCCCCCAGCGGGAGGTTTACACAATTGGTTTACACAATCACACGTTGATTAACCGGTGGGAAAATATTCCCATAGTAACATCCCTAATATATAAATATTTATAAATTCAATAGGCCTACCTGATTTTGAACACAAGAGGGCAGTATAGCACTATATATGATTTGGATTATTATTATTTTTGACTAAACAACCATTCTGGCTGTTTTTAAACTTAAAAATAATTCTTAAATTGAAAAAAAGGAATAAAATGGGTTTAGTTCTAATATTTGTATAATTTTATATAAAAATAAATGGTGTATAATTACATTTTAGAAAGATATGAGACATGCCCTGATTCTTTTTTTGACATTACTTGAATCCCTCAACCATAGCAAAACCGTTTGAGATATTCAATATCTGTTCACAATTTAGCATCTTCAATGTATTTTCATCATGTTGAAAAAGTTTGGCATGAATAAAATAAACTACTTAGGAGGAGTAGCTAAAAACTCAGAATCTGAAATCCACATTCAAACCAAAATATCTGACTTCCTGTTGGTCGTAGCTAATTACGGTAAATTAGAAAGTTGTCCGGCTCGAAGAGTACAATATACATATCGAGTTTTGTTACTGTAGATAAAACTAACCCCCCCACTTTTGTCAAAAGCATTGAGAAAGTGACACACTTCCTGCTGCCAGTTGGTGGCGCTATAACTTTGACTCACAATAGTCACATCCATGTGATCGGCCTCTTACAGCGATCACACTGCTGAAGTTTCATCAAGATCAGTTAATGTATGCAGAAGTTATAACGCACTTCTTGTTTGTTGTTTCTCGCCATAAATTCGTTTCCTCGCCACGGCCAAACCGTTCGAGATATCAAAAATCCCCTCGCAAACTTTCATCCTCAATGTCTTGACTTCATGCTGACCGAGTTTCGTGCCGTTTGTTTGAATTCTCTAGGAGGAGTATTTCACATTCCATTGCGTGTGTTTTACCAACAACCCTAAATAGCCGACTTCCTGTTGGGCTGGGGTAAAAAGTAAGAGTGTGAAGTATATATGAAACGAGGAGATCTACATGTGTACCGAGTTTCATATTATTACATGCAAGCGTGTTTGATTTATGGACCATGTTTTCGGACCCCGTTCCAGGGGGCGCTGTCGAGCCCCCCTGCCACGCCCGGGTACCATCTTCAGCCCGGCCCTGATGGCCGCGGGTTCTGACATGTGTGCAAAGTTTCAGGAGTTTTTGAGCATGTTAAGGCCTCCAAAAGTGTCCAAAAGGTAGCAGAAAAATAATAATAATAATAATAATAATAATAATAATAATAATAATAATAATAAATAATCCTAAGGAAAACAATAGGGCCTTCGCCCTTTGGGCTTGGGCCCTAAAAAGAGCATTTAGGTTAGAAAAATTAAATATTTAAATAAGTATAAATATTAGATGAAACACTTTAACCTAAAAAAAAAACTTAATTGAAAATTTGAAATGTTACTTTGGCAACTAAATAAAATGAGTTTATGCTGAAGTACTAAAATGACTCAGAACGGAAACAAAATAAATTAAAGATAAATAATATACAAATATAAAAAACGAATAAAAATAACAAGCACATAGAAAAATTACTAAAATTGATATATAATATAATACAATATATTTCAATATTGCAATATGCTGCTTGTTTGTCTCTCCTTTAGACGCAGTGAGTGTTGAGGACGTGGATCTGCTTCAAGTCTCAGTGCAGGAGATCCTGAGGGCGTCCGTCATGGCGGAGGTGAACGTCGTCTCTCAGCCTTTAACACGACTGATGAACGCAGCCAAAGAGCGAGCGACATCACTTCCTGCGCTGGTTCCTCCTGCGTTTTACCTGCCCGCTCCTCCTCTGTACTGTCCACAGCCTTCACCAAACACACAGGTCGCTCACACACACAGAGACGGCCGACTGTCACGTCTATCTCTGTCATGTCCTTCTCATCTTACAATACAATGTTGACAATACAACCAAGGCTGGCCAAAGTGCTATACAGGACAGAATAAGATATTAAAAATAAAGTAACACACAAAAATAGATAAACAATAATCGTACCTAAATCAAGGAGTATTAAAAGCCAAAGAGAATAAATCAGTCTTTAAAGGGAGCTAATCTAATGTGCGCTTTGAGTGCCAAGAAAAGTGCTATCAATATACAGGTGAAAAATTAGAATATCGTGCAAAAGTTTTGAATTTATTTCAGTAATTCAACTTAAAAGATGAAACTAATATATTATATAGACTCATTACATGCAAAGTGAGATATTTCAAGCCTTTATTTGTTATAATTTTGATGATTATGGCTTACAGCTTATGAAAACCTTTTCACAATATTCTAATTTTGAATTTAGGGTTTTCATAAGCTGTGAACCATAATCATCACAATTATAAACGAATAAAGGCTTGAAATATCTTACTTTGGATGTAATGAGTCTATATAATATATTAGTTTCATCTTTTAAGTTGAATTACTGAAATAAATTAACTTTTGCATTTACGATTTTTCGAGTTTCACCTGTAAATGTAATGAATTATTAATGTAGAGAGGTAGACTGTTCCAAAGTTTTGTCGCAAAAGCGTGATCGCCTTGTTTTTTAAGTCTAGATCTAGGCACAATGAGTAGACCGTGATCACTAGATCTCAAGAGTTGTAGAAGTAGTGTCTTTAGTAGGGCTGTAGTCAACCAAAGAAATCCTTAGTCGACCAAAGTCCTGTCCTGCGCAACGATCAGTCGACAAAAAAAAGAAAAAAAAAGATGTTTTGCATTTTGATTGAACATTTCTTAAACAATTGTCATAGAGCATTTAAAAAGCAACAACGAAAAAACATCAATAAAACATAAAACTATCATAATAATACAATTCTTTGAAAATCAAGTGATTTTTTTTAACTGCAAAGTGAGGAGCTCTGTCCTAGGTCTATAGTGACAGTCACAATCGCGCACCTGACCACACCACACGCTACAAAAAAATATAACTGCTAAAACTGCCAAATAATGACAAATCCTATCAAAAGCTCTCGTTTATACAGGCTGTATATTCTTCTTTACTTTCAAAGCTATGGGTTAACTTTTGTCTAGGCGTTTTAAAACAAACACAAAAAAACCAAATAGCCTAAAAAACAATCCTAATAATAATAGGCTGTATAGTAGGAAGGCATATAGGTTTATTTTCGTTTTGTTACATTATTTAGGCTATTTTCAAACGCGTCAAGTGTACAAATAAAAACAAAAACATAAGAAAACACAATCTATTGAGTCAGCATGATAAAGCCGTTAAAGGGACTGCTCACATATCGCGTCTTTTGCGCGCTCAAGTTCGTTATTTCAAATGTAGGCGCGCGGTATGCGCGCTCATTATGGAAGCGATGCGGTCGCGGCCACAGGTGCGGTTCCCGAGTGTTCTACGTGGTGCGCTAAACTGTGGCGCTGTTACAAAATAGCCTAAATTACAGCATTTAAAGTGGGGATAAAACCATGGATAAAACATAGGCTAATTATATTTAGAATACAGTAATATATAACTGCTTATAAAGGAATAAATATCAAGGAGTAAATCAATGAAAATTTCTTTCTATTGGTAAAAAAAAAAAAAAAAATGCAACTGGTCGACCAATGAGAATGTCAGTCGACCAAGACGGCATCGACCGATTAGTCGACTAAACGATTAAAGTTGACAGCCCTAGTCTTTAGCTGTGTTTCGATCTCATCAGGACTCTGTGAGAGATCCAGCTCTGGTTCTGGAGACTGAGACTCGCTGTGGGATTTCTGGGCTGGTTCAGAAGGTTCTGATGATCTTCAGGGCGGCACACGGTTCTCTGCCCGCCGCGCAGTGGTACATCAGCAGCCTGCATCGCTGCAGACACTTACTGAACAAGGTGCGATTCTCTCTTTGCCGTTTCCCACTGAAACTGACATTTGGACCATTCAAGCCGTTGAAATGAAGGTTTTTGAGGAAAACGTTCCAGGATTTTTCTCCATATAGTGACTTCAATGGGGTCCAACGGGTCGAAGGTCCAGATGTGAGTTTCAGTGCAGCTTCAAAGTCTCGACACGATCCCAGCCGAGGAATAAGAGTCTGATCTAGACAAACCAGCGGACATTTATAACAAAATACACATTTATATACTTTATAACCACTAATGCTGGTCTTGCTCGAGCTGTGATGCGACACACATTACGTCATCAGGTTGAAAGGTCAAGCGTGACGTAGGCGGAAGAACCGACCCAGTGTTTATAAAGCGAACTTGCAAAGACTAAGTCAAACGGCATTTACACAAAAAAAAAGGTAAAACAATGATTTCGGACGATTTTGAAGTTGGAGGAGAAAGTGAGATGGAGTTTTTCGACCTATCCTACATTTTACGCCTACGTCACGCTTGACCTTTCAACGTGATTACGTAATGTGTGTCGCATCACAGCTCGTGCAAGACGAGCATTTGTGGTTATAAAGTATATAAATGTGTATTTTGTTATAAATGTCCGGTGGTTTGTCTAGATCAGACTCTTATTCCTCGGCTGGATCGTGTCGAGACTTTGAAGCTGCACTGAAACTCACATCTGGACCTTCGACCCGTTGGACCATTGAAGTCACTATATGGAGAAACCCTGGAGTGTGTTCCTCAAAAACCTTCATTACTTTTCCACTGAAGAAAGAAAAAATGAACATCTTGGATGACGTGGGGAGAGTAAATTATAAGGAAATTTTAACATGTTTGGATGTTCTTTTAAAGTTAGCATTAAAGGTAAGTTGCGCTAGACATTTCGTCCCTATGTCTATCCGAGTGAAACGCTTCTGGAACAAGAACAAATGTGGGCGGGGCTTGATTGTGTCAGTGGGGATTTGATTGGATGGTTGTGGTTTGCTATTGGTGGATCTCATGTGAGTGACAGGTTGCCCCGCCCACATCATCAGAAGTTATTCTGATTCAAGAATACCAGGAACATGAATTTAACACAATAATGATGTGCACCAATAAATCATTTATGATAAATACTGCAATATTACATTAAAAATTAAAAATCAAGAATTGTTTATTTTGATTTCATGGAGATTTTAAGTATCTTCTTGATTGTTTTCTGTTGGTAGATCCAGAAGAAAGTGTCCGAACCCAAAGCCGAATTGATTCCTGATGGACTGAAAAAATTCTTCACTCATCGTGGGTTCTTCCAGTCAGGGCCCAGCAAAGACATGGATGGTGTCACCACGCACATGATAAGTATGTTTAATTTAATTAACTGTCAGAACTTTAAGTGAGTAGTGTCCATTTGAAGTTTTGTGTATTTATGTGATTTTCGTGGCTTTGTTCAGCATGTTTCCGTGAGTTGTGTGCGCTTTGCTGGATGCTCCATGTGAGGGACCAGCTCACTATTACCTGTCGAAGGTACCAGACTGCAAGAAAACGGGAGAAAGACACTCAGGTGCGCTTAAAGAAAACGGTAACACTTTACAATAAAGTTCATTAGTTAGTTCACTACGAACTAAGAATGAACAATACTACTTCAGCATTTATTAATCTTAGTTAATATTAATTTCAACATTTACTACATTATTAAAATCTAAAGCCGGGTGCACACTGTGCGATTTATTATAGTGCTTTACGATTGTTGCTTGTCAGACTGTACGAACATGATCCTCGCTGTAAGCCATGTCACACCAAGATCTCAGTTGTCATTAATGTCAGACTCTACGACAGTCAAGACTGTAAAAAAACATGGATGACGCCCCTTCGCTCTCTTCCATTGGTCAGAAGTGAAGCCGCCAGTGTCCCGATATGGCGCTGACATCTTGGAACTTGAGTCTGCGCAGAAGCGATCTCGGGACCAGACCTGCGCAAGAGTGAGCCAGAAGTAAAGCCGCGAAATCAAGGCCCCGCCCCCACTCTCGCAGAATCAATCGCAAGCACACGCTCCGGCACTTTTTTAAATTAATTATAGAAATTTAGATATTCAATTTAAAGCTCCAATCTCCTCAGTCATCCGAAGATCCAGAAGAAAGTCTGTTGGTGCTTCAGTGACTACTTCGCTCAGAGAACCTGTCAATCACAGCTGTCAATCATGACGTCACACCACCGCATCAAATAACTAACTAAAAACAAACTTATTTTAAAAACAAACACTTGAACTTACATCAGCGTGATAAAAACTACAGTAAATGACAGAAACCATATTTGGAAAAAAGATATTTGAAGTGTAATTTAATTGTTTAGTTGGTCTCACGTCCCGTTGAATAACACAGGGAGGCGGGGGTTTATGAGTTATACTGGGACCGGCCACCGGGAGGCGATCGAGACACTGGGTTTATGAGCTATACTGGGACCAGCCACCGGGGGGGCGATCGAGACTCTGGGTTTATGAGCTATACTGGGACCAGCCACCGGGGGGCGAGTGAGACTCTGGGTTTATGAGCTATACTGGGACCAGCCACCGGGGGGCGATCGAGACACTGGGTTTATGAGCTATACTGGGACCAGCCACCGGGGGGCGATCGAGACTCTGGGTTTATGAGCTATACTGGGACCAGCAACCGGGAGGCGATCGAGACTCTGGGTTTATGAGCTATACTGGGACCTGCCACCGGGGGGCGATCGAGACACTGGGTTTATGAGCTATAATGGGACCAGCCACCGGGGGGCGATCGAGACACTGGGTTTATGAGCTATACTGGGACCAGCCACCGGGGGGTGATCGAGACTCTGGGTTTATGAGCTATACTGGGACCAGCCACCGGGGGGCGATCGAGACTCTGGGTTTATGAGCTATACTGGGACCTGCCACCGGGGGGCGATTCGAGACACTGGGTTTATGAGCTATACTGGGACCAGCCACCAGGGGGCGATCGAGACACTGGGTTTATGAGCTATACTGGGACCTGCCACCGGGGGGCGATCGAGACTCTGGGTTTATGAGCTATACTGGGACCTGCCACCGGGGGGCGATCGAGACTCTGGGTTTATGAGCTATACTGGGACCAGCCACCGGGGGGTGATCGAGACTCTGGGTTTATGAGCTATACTGGGACCTGCCACCGGGGGGCGATCGAGACTCTGGGTTTATGAGCTATACTGGGACCAGCCACCGGGAGGCGATCGAGACTCTGGGTTTATGAGCTATACTGGGACCAGCCACCGGGAGGCGATCGAGACTCTGGGTTTATGAGCTATACTGGGACCAGCCACCGGGAGGCGATCGAGACTCTGGGTTTATGAGCTATACTGGGACCAGCCACCGGGGGGCGATCGAGACACTGGGTTTATGAGCTATACTGGGACCAGCCACCGGGGGGTGATCGAGACTCTGGGTTTATGAGCTATACTGGGACCAGCCACCGGGGGGCGATCGAGACTCTGGGTTTATGAGCTATACTGGGACCTGCCACCGGGGGGCGATCGAGACTCTGGGTTTATGAGCTATACTGGGACCAGCCACCGGGGGGCGATCGAGACTCTGGGTTTATGAGCTATACTGGGACCAGCCACCAGGAGGCGATCGAGACTCTGGGTTTATGAGCTATACTGGGACCAGCCACCGGGAGGCGATCGAGACGTTTTGGCTTCAGTTTTCAGGGCTTGTGCGGCACGCTTGGTCAAGACGTGTTAAAAACGGATGCACGCAAGAAAACTTGTCCAGAGTTTTACATCATCAATCAATGACACGTTCGGTGATGTGAGCTGCATTAGCAAGTAAGCCAAAATTACACGCGGGATTGAAACGGTGGCTACAAAGAAATCTCTAACGTCTATTTTGGTCATGGCTTGTCTTGAAAAACGAAGACAATTTGATGGTCGTTGTAGGAGAACTCACCGCAGGACTGAGAGTCAAATCTTCTGACCCTGCCAGAATTTCGTCTGAGGAAAAATTTGATCGCAACGGTCATTAATCGGCAGACGGTGCCGATAAAGACTTTTAGATTTTAGCCTAGGATCAGAGGAATCTTTTAGGATTTGCAAAATTTGGCCAAATAGTGTGCATCCGGCTTAAGGTTGTATTTGTTAACATTAGTTAATGCACTGTGAACTAACATGAACACACAATGAACCGCAGAATGTTGCAAAGATGTGAGATGTCTATCCATGTGTTTGTGACTCAGGTCAGTGACTTGAGTGTGTCAGATGTGTGTGTTGAGGCTCTGTGTTGGGCTCGCCGACTCCTGCCGTTCTGCCGGTTCATGAACGCAGAGGAAGCCCTGCAGGACTTAGTGCTCAGCCTGGTGTCCGAACTGCCACCCAGTCATGTGGTAATAACATATATCACTAATCTAAACTCATTGAGGATACTTAAGGCTTGTCTTTTTGTGACAAAAATAAAGGTTACTAACTAACTTTACATTTTTGTAATTTTTTGGACATGTACAGTTGTAATGTTTTGATATTCTTTGGGAGTTAGTTAGGACCTTAATTTAACCAGGATAAAACTAACTAACTAACTAACTAGTAGTGTTTGGACATGCACCATTGTAATGTCTTGGTATTTTTTGGGAGTTAGTTGGTAACCTTTAACCAGGTTAAAATATATAGCTAACTAACTAACAAACATGTTAGTAGTTTTTTTGACATGCAACATTGTAATGTCTTAGTATTTTTTTGGAGTTAGTTAGTAGCCTTTAACCAGGTTGAAAAATATAACTAACCAGGTTGAAAAATATAACTAACCAACTAACATGTTAGTAATTTTTGTACATGAATCATTGTAATGTCTTAGTATTATTTGGGACTTAGTTTGTAACATTTATTTGACCACTTTGAAATTCTATTTCACTATTCTTTGGGAGTTAGTTAGTGTTAGTAATCTTTATATACTTTATATATTTAACCTAGTTAAATAAAGGCTACTAACTAACTCTTGGACAATACAATGACATTACGTGTCCAAAAAACAATCGTAGTAAATATCAAAGTCTAATCTGAATAACTGTATCTGATACATCACAGTACTTTAGCGCCTGACTCAGTGACTCAAACTCAGGTGTCATTTCTGATGTTCAGACAGCAGAAACTCTAGCGAGAGTGTTTCCTGACGAGAGCGAGTCTGTTCGCGTGCCGCTGCGGGAGAAGTACACGTCACTGGTGCAGAGACTGAGACCCGTGGTGGTGCCAGACACCTCGACAACAGGCAAGAGATGCTTTAAAGGAGTAGTTCACTTTAAAATGAAAATTACCCCATGATTTACTCACCCCGAAGCCATCCTCGGTGTATATGATATTCTTCTTTCAGACGAATACAATCATAGTTATATTAAAAAATGTCCTGGCTCTTCCTAGCTGGATAATGGCAGTGAATTGCAACCAACAGTTTGAAGCTCAAAAAAATCTATCCATCGTAAAAGTGCATCCATCCATGATAAAAGTGCATCTATCCATCATAAAAGTGCATCCATCCATGATAAAAGGGCATCCATCCATGATAAAAGTGCATCTATCCATCATAAAAGTGCATCTATCCATCATAAAAGTGCATCCATCCATGATAAGTGCATCTATCCATGATAAGTGCATCTATCCATGATAAAAGTGCATCTATCCATGATAAAAGTGCATCTATCCATGATAAAAGTGCATCCATCCATGATAGAAGTGCATCTATCCATCATAAAAGTGCATCCATCCATGATAGAAGTGCATCTATCCATCATAAAAGTGCATCCATCCATGATAGAAGTGCATCTATCCATCATAAAAGTGCATCTGTCCATCATAAAAGTGCATCTATCCATGATAAAAGTGCATCTATCCATGATAAAAGTGCATCTATCCATGATAAAAGTGCATCTATCCATCTTAAAAGTGCATCTATCCATGATAAAAGTGCATCTATCCATCTTAAAAGTGCATCTATCCATCTAAAAAGTGCATCTATCCATCATAAAAGTGCATCTATCCATGATAAAAGTGCATCTATCCATGATAAAAGTGCATCTATCCATGATAAAAGTGCATCTATCCATCATAAAAGTGCATCTATCCATGATAAAAGTGCATCTATCCATGATAAAAGTGCATCTATCCATGATAAAAGTGCATCTATCCATGATAAAAGTGCATCTATCCATCTTAAAAGTGCATCTATCCATGATAAAAGTGCATCTATCCATCTTAAAAGTGCATCTATCCATCTTAAAAGTGCATCTATCCATCATAAAAGTGCATCTATCCATCTTAAAAGTGCATCTATCCATCTTAAAAGTGCATCTATCCATCATAAAAGTGCATCTATCCATGATAAAAGTACATCTATCCATCATAAAAGTGCATCTATCCATCATAAAAGTGCATCTATCCATCATAAAAGTGCATCTATCCATCATAAAAGTGCATCTATCCATCTTAAAAGTGCATCTATCCATCTTAAAAGTGCATCTATCCATCTTAAAAGTGCATCTATCCATCTTAAAAGTGCATCTATCCATCATAAAAGTGCATCTATCCATGATAAAAGTACATCTATCCATCATAAAAGTGCATCTATCCACGATAAAAGTGCATCTATCCATCATAAAAGTGCATCCATCCATCATAAAAGTGCATCCATCCATGATAAAAGTGCATCTATCCATCTTAAAAGTGCATCTATCCATCATAAAAGTGCATCCATCCATCATAAAAGTGCATCTATCCATCATAAAGCTCATTAGCAATTCGCCTCTGCGTTGTGGGCGGAGATCGTTGGATTGGCTCCCGACAGAAAAGCGCCACTTTGGCCGCACTGTGCTAGCAAACAGGCGGGATCGTTGAACTAGCTCCCGACAGAAAAAAAAAAAACTTACCGGTAAAGACACAGGCTGTCCAGTTGATGGTGTCTTGATGGAAGGCACTGCATCCGGCTTCAAAAACAATTTACTGACGAAGCCCATTTTTTGGTGAAACAGTCTTCTGTGAAGTGCTGACCGCAAACCGATGTGTGGTTTTTAACATTGCCGTGACCAAGGAATGTAATCCATCTATCTCTCACAGCAACATGTTTTGGTAAAGCATGAAAGCTAATACCACTATCTCTCCTCTTAGCATTGCAACCCGCTACCGCACATAGGTGTTGATCCGCCATCGTCTTCTCTACTCCTCAGAACCTGAGCGGGCGGGGCGGAGGGGAGGATGAGCTTGTGGCCCCGCCCAGTGGAGTTACTACGTCACAACTCCAGTCTATTTTAGCCGGCATTTTAGCGTCTGCTACTGATTCACAGCCATTTGAATGTAGAAATACTCAGAAATACAACTTTGAGCTTATTTTTCTCAAGATATGTCCTCTAACATCAGAAAAATGCCACAAGAACATGTTAACACCTAGAAAAACATTATTTTCATCGGAGTGGGTCTTTAAGTCTAAAGCGCAACTTATGTGAGTAATGCGACGTACTGCTGATATTTACGCTACACACACACACACACACACACACACTACATTACTTCTAACGTCACAAGTTGTGTAAGTTCCGCTTTATCCACAAGTAAACTGCGTTTGGCCGGAAGCTAACTCTGATTGTATTGGTCTGAAAGAAAAAAAGTCATATACACCTAGGATGGCTTGAGGGTGAGTAAATCATGGGCTAATTTTCATTTTAAAGTAAACTACTCCTTTAAGCAATAACTCACCCAAAATTATGATTCTTTGCTTTGTATATAAAGCAGAGCTTCTGATCAGTGCTTCAACCCCTAACCAGATGTGCTCGTGTTCACAGATGTGCCTCCAGGAACTGAGAGGGAAGATGAGGGCGATACCGTGATGATTCTGATCCAGGATCAGCTGAGGCAGCGACGCCGGGAGCTTCGGCGCCTGGAAAAGTATCTGGGAGCAGCGGAGCCGTACTTGTGGGAGAGAGAGGAGGAGGAGGACAGGGGAGCCGCCGTCTCCATACTGAGGAGACTCTCTCTCGGGACCAGTTTGAGTGACAGCACACTGACCGACGGTGGACGCCCCCTGGTGTACAGTGAAGGAGACACGGCCGAGACGTTGTCAGAGACTCTTCCCCCAGAACCGCAGACCCAATCTGCACACAGGTAATCCTGCTGGCGAACTGTGCTGGACATACTGCATTACAGCCGCATAATGCATTGAAATAAAATGTCGCGATATGGCTTAGTGCGAATATCTAATCGAGCAGGCTGAGATTAAGTTATATAAATATAGACTGTATGTAGCCACGCCCCTTTGCAGCGCTGTAAAATAAAATAAAAGCTTGATTGTGTAACTTTTGAAAATTAAGTAAACATTAGGATGTATAGTAGTGCTGTCAAATTGATTAAAAAACATAACTTTAAAACATAAAACTTTGTTTACATAATGTGTTTGTATGTGTATATATATATTATAAAAATAAAATGATACAGTATATATCATGTATGTGTGTGTGCGCGTGTCTGTGTATATTATGTACGTGTGTGTGTGTGTGTGTGTGTGTATACAGTATATACACTCAGACATATATACAATATATATAATAATATATACACATATATTATGTAAACAAACTTTTATGTTAGATGCGATTTATCAATGTGACAGCACTAATATATAGTAATTTTACAGTTGTCCTTTAAAATAAAATAATTTGTATTAAAAACAAAAAATTTATTTTACAATACTGTAGTATAATTTCCATATATTTCTTGTTTTTTAATACTATTCACTATAAAACCATAATTTATTATTTTATTGTCATGTGGAATTGGCCAAAACAATTTTTATTTTCTGTGAAGATGCACTACATTCACATTTAGCAACTAAATGTAAACGAAAGTGCTAAAAGTTGACCTCTTTTGGTGTGTTTTTTTTAGCTCTAAGACAGCAAAGTTTCATGATGCACCTGAGAAATCAAAACAAGACAGAAAAGGAAACGTGGAACCCAAAGAGCCAGAGTCGAGCCGTGTGGGTTCTTCTGCACCGACAGTGGGAACCTGGGAGTTTGAGTTGGAGGATGACGAGTACATGCTCTTCCTAGATTTGTTCCTCAGTTATGTTCTGGGAAAGGACAGATTAGACGCTGAGGAGTCCGAGCTTCCTTTACTGAGTAGTTTCTCACAACGTTTTCATGCTAGAGAGCTGCACTCGGTGACCTTTGACATGTTGACGTCTCTCAAACGCCGTCAGAAGGATGGACGTAAGCGAGGCGCACGTTTGCCCCTGTTTCGTGCCGGTCACTGTTTCCAGAGTCTCCCGGTCTCTCCCGAAGCTTCACCGGTTCAGGACACTCACGATACCACGTCTCCTTGGACTCTTCCTGGAATCCAAGCTGGGAGGCATCAAGGTCTTTTCAGCCGTCGTCGACACCATACGTCAATATCCAAAGTGAATCGGACCGGGTCAGATGTCGGCTCCACGGGATTTAGGATCCTCTCTCCGGATGAATTGGGTGTTCAGATGCAGTTGGACTCCTCGATGGAGATCCGCTTTCCTCGACTGGCTCGGTTACTCGAGTGGATGATGCGCTGGGCCGACAGGCGGGTTCTGCTCTCTCAGCCAATGGGAAAGAGGTCAGAGGGAAGTGATGCGGTGGTCATCAGGGTCAAAGGCTCGACCCCTGCGGTTCTGTGTGCACTGGAGCTGCTCGAGGAGAGATACAGCGCCGCCCTTCTGGGAGAAGACACACATCACTCCCATTATAAGGTAAGGTGTAGGGCTTTAGATCGAACCGTTTATTCCATATTCGTCATATCAGATGGGGTGTCATCTAAAGTAAAAAAAAAAAAAAAAAATTACTTTTTTTTATCAGTTCTGCCTAGAAGTTACATTAAGCATGCGTTCAAATCCCGACTCAATATATTTTTTATATAACAAATATAACAAAAATCTCGAATGGATCATGATGGAACTACATGATTTATGAGATTTTGATAGAAATGACAATATAGAAAATTAAACTAAATTAATTAATAAAAATTAATAATTCATATATAAAAAAAAAATATATATATATATAATATACACACAAAATATTATATATATTATTTTATATAATAAATTATTTTACACATTATATATATTTTTTAAATAAAATCTGTAACATTTAAACAATGAGAATATTAAACTTTACTCTGATCTTATATATAAAAAATCTATTTTTGATTATTGACAGGTTTTTATTTATTTATTTTAGTATTAATTATATACTGTTATTTATATTTTGAATTAGCTTCATTTTACTTTGTTTGATTTTTAATAATTTTGTTATATCCTTTTGTTCCATTATATTATTTATATCCATTAATATTATTATTTTTTATATTTTTCTTATTGTTTTAATTTATTTTTATTTCAGTGTTTGTTTTAATTTTAATTCAGTTTTAGTTTATTTCCAGTTAGTGATTGTAGTGCCTATGTCATTTAGTAGCCATACAAGGCAACTTTATTTTTTTTTACTTTGTTTTTCTTTTAATATTTCTAATTAATTTTATTTCAATTAACAAAAAAAGTTTTAATAGTTTTAGTAAACAATAACAACCCTGATCATGCAGTGACACACTGACATAGCAAGTGAAGTGTTCGGTTGTGAAATCAGTCCTTTTACCAATCAAATCCAGTCACATGATCAGATCACATGACATGGATGATTATACCAGGGCTTCAAGGGTTACATATATAGTCCGTATTTTAGTTCATAGGGCTTCAGTTAACAAAAACACCCTGATCCAGATCATGACACCACCGGAACTTGATCCGAAATGTGAAACAGACGCTGAACTTATTAAATGATTACATTGTTTAAATTAATACATTTTTAGCTAACTGTGATTTTGTATACTATATATACATTTCTGAAATACATAACTGAGACGGTTCCCTCTGATAACAGATCACTCTAAATTGTAATATGGACTAGAAATGATGAAATGAAATGATGTGTATTGTGAAAAGCGCTATACAAATAAATGTGAATTGAATTGAACTCTCTGGTGAAAGCTGCTCCATCAGAGGGCGGGGCCTGAGGCTCCGGTGCTGCAGCCAATCACAGGCTGGGGGAGGGACCAAGACAGCAGTGTGGACACGCCCATCACTCTCCACAGACACAGCCATGCGTGAGTCCACTGCACACATCTGATCAAAACATGACTGATAATAAACCTTCCCAATGTTTTACTGATACAAAGGACCCATCATTCATCATAGCAATATTTATTTAATTTGTCAATAATAATTGTGTATTTATTTATCAATTATATAATAAAAATATATACAGGATATACTATACATATATGCTGTATATGTAAAATTTATATATATATTCTATATAATTTATATATAATTATTAATAAGACTTAAATATAATTTTATATTAATTATATTTATATAATTATAGATAAAATGTATATTATTATCATCCATCCATTTATTTCTGTGAATGATGTAGTGAAAAAAAGTGACAAATGAAAACTGTCTCAAAGTATTATTCGTCTTGATTCAGTCAAATGTGTCCAGACAATCAAGTCAAAGCTTTTAAAGTACTTATGAACAGCAAGAAAGTGCATCTGCCTATAGTTAAAGACAAATGTATAGAATTAACAAATAAAAAGGCTTTCTTTTACCGATGTTGTGTGATGTTTGATCACAGTGTGCGTGACCCCGAGGATGTCGTGGATCAAACAGATGATCAGCTGTCTGAACATGAAGACACGATGACCTCTGACCTACAGAATAACGTCACTGAGATCAGACAAACGACTGAGGCTGAAGACGGTCAGATCTCTGTACTACACATCACAAACATTTACATGCCTTTATTTTGTTTTTTTGTAGGTTTCTGTTTTAGAAAACATTTAATTTAATTCTGTCTCATTTAAAGGTGGGGTAAGTGGTATTTGAAATATAGAGAGAACGAGCAAGAGGGAGATTTGAAGAAAGACTGCAGAAATAGAGATGAGACAATACAAAATAGAAAAGCTCAGAAGACATCACTGGAAAATAAAGGGTTATGTCTGGGCAAGAGCTTTAGGACCCGTGTTAATATTAGAAACGCTGTCCTGCGCTGGAGAGAGCGAAGCGGGAAGGCCTGAAAACACAGGTGGAGGTTGCTTTGATTCGGGTCCACACGTGAGTAACACTGAATAACGTGAGTAACACTAACATGTGAGTAACACTGGGTAACGTGTGAGTAACACTGGGTAACACGTGGGTAACACTGAATAACGTGAGTAACACTAACATGTGAGTAACACTGGGTAACGTGTGAGTAACACGTGGGTAACACTGAATAACGTGAGTAACACTAAGTAATAGGGGTGTAACGATACACGTATTCGTATTGAACCGTTTGGTACGAGGCTTTCGGTTCGGTTTTCGGTACGCATTTTTAAACCGAACGGTTCATTTTTCCTGCCGACCAAAATTGCGTCATTTCAAATATAGGCGCGTCGCAAGCGCGATCGGCAAGCGCGATCATAATGTAAGAGAGTCTGGCGTGACCACAACATAGCCCAATCAATGGCAAATGCAGCGCGAGCCGATCTTAATCATCAGCACTGTTACTACACAGCCAAATCCAGTAAAGAAAAAAATTTAATTTGCCACTGAAGTAATAACATCGCTGCGAGATCTAGTGAGAAACATTCACATTTCTCCGTTATTAACGGATCAAACAGCGCTGACGTGGAAACCAGGAAGAAACATTGTGCCATGAATGAACTATCCAGTGCCCACAGATCAGCAACATTCACCATGGGTTGACTGGAGTAACACTACTAACTGTAACCATGGAAGTGTGGCAGGAATAGTAGGCTATAATGCTTTCAAGTAACATCACATCACGTCAGTTTTATTTCGACATTATTAATACAATTGCTGCCCTCAAATGTTAATCTGAACTAAAATAAACCTTTGATTATAACTACTACAATATTACATTTCATTTTGTCCAAGGAGCTGTTTTGTTTTATACGCTCCTAAGAAAAGTCAAGTATAGCTCCATCATTGCTCAAAGTAAAAAAAAAATCATACTTTATGATGTTAGTTTTAATAAAAAAAATTAAAAAAAAATTTTAAATCAAGCAATTTCTCTGGCATTTCTTTCTTTTTGCTGTATCGAAAACGTACCGAACCATGACACAAGTGTATCGTATCGAACCGAACCGTGAATCTTGTGAACCGTTACACCCCTACTAAGTAACGTGATTAACTGAGTAACACTAACACGTGACTAACACTGGGTAACATGTGAGTAACACTGGGTAACCCTGAGTAACACTGGGTAACCCTGAGTAACACGTGAGTAACATTGGGTAACACTAAATGACATGCGAGTAACACGTGAGTAACAGTAACACCTGAGTAACCCTGAGTAACATGTGAGTAACACTGTGTAACCCTGAGTAACCCTGGGTAACACTGAATAACATGTGAGTAACACTAACACGTGAGTAACAGTAACACGTGAGTAACCCTGAGTAACATGTGAGTAACACTGTGTAACCCTGAGTAATGTGAGTAACATTGGGTAACACTAAATAACATGCGAGTAACACGTGAGTAACAGTAACACGTGAGTAACCCTGAGTAACATGTGAGTAACACTGAGTAACATGTGATTGACATGTGAGTAACACTGAGTAACACTGGGTAACATGTAAGTAACGCTGTATAACATTGAGCAGGGATGTGATTCTTCCGGATTAATCCGGAATTCCGGTTATTTCAGCCTAAAATCATGACCCACGTGAATCATCCAGATCAGTAATAAAAATAAAATCGGGGGTGGTGGGGGGTGTTTGGAAGTTTTGGGAAAGTCATTGTCATTTGTTTCAAAATACTTATATAATAGAATATGTTTAAGTGATAATATTAGTTAAACAAACTACAATACTTAACGTTCATTCGATCCATCTGACTACGGCATTTCCATCAGATTTTGTTTTGCAGCGTTGAGCATTTTAACCAATCGCACACGTTTCCGTTGAGTTTATGAGCATGATGACCAATCAGAGGCGCTCAGATTAGTCATCGCTGAAACGAATAGTTTTGTTCAGTGCGCTGACTGAATTCTTCTGACTTCCATCATAAACAACAAAGTGCAGATTCGATGTAAGAGATTCATGTCACACGTTTCTGTGATTTTTAATGGGAGTTTTGTTCGTGCTTAAACTCGCGCTAGACCCAAGTTATGGACAGCCTCACGATCGTTCCTGGCACTGCGTATCTAGGCCTATAGCACGAGTGCTTTGATTAGGCTTGCTTTTTATACGCAAAACGTAATACGTGCATCTGGTAGGCAAAAAAAGTGCGTATCATATGTAGCCTATGGCGCTTAATTGCTTATTGGATGCACGTAAAAGGTCATTTATGCGTATAAAGAGCACGCAAAGCTCGATCGGTCACATTCTCTGCTCCCTTTCTGTGTACAGTTTATTCCAGTTAATATTCATCATGCTGATAAGATTGTGTAGTCTTCATTTTCTAATGCGTAAAAAGCATTAATATAATTCATAAATAGTTCTTAGGTTGTTTTTATCTGTGTAGCCAGAATATGATGTGCAGTTTACCAAAACACACACAAAAAAATGTATGTTACCTATTCCTATTGTAGAAGTTTGAGTGGAATTTTATTTACTGAATGAGATTGATCGGTATTGGAAACACAGTTGTTTTCTTTACAGAACTACAGAACAGTTATCGCCCTTACATTTTCCCCAAAGATAAGTTAAGACGTCCTGTTTTGTATTACTAGAAATAAATTATAACTGTTAAATATATTTCCATGTGTGTCACTCATCACAGTTCCTGGTAGTTCATGCAGTAAATGGCTGATTCACGTGTTTAAAAAGTAAAAAGTGCTTTACGCTGGGTCTTAAAAAAATGTCCCGCTTTTTTTCACTCGCACAATCACATCCCTGATTGAGTAACATGTACCATGTGAGTAACACTGAGTAACACTGTGTAACCCTGAGTAATGTGAGTAACACTGGGTAACACTGAATAACATGTGAGTAACACATGAGTAACCCTGAGTAACATGTGAGTAACACTGAGTAACCCTGAGTAACATGTGAGTAACACTGAGTAACATGTGATTGACATGTGAGTAACACTGAGTAACATGTGATTGACATGTGAGTAACACTGGGTAACATGTGATTGACATGTGAGTAACACTGAGTAACATGTGAGTAACACTGAGTAACATGTGATTGACATGTGAGTAACACTGGGTAACATGTAAGTAACGCTGTATAACATTGAGTAGCACGTACCATGTGAGTAACACTGAGTAACACTGAATAACATGTGAGTAACACATGAGTAACCCTGAGTAACATGTGAGTAACACTGAGTAACATGTGATTGACATGTGAGTAACACTGAGTAACATGTGATTGACATGTGAGTAACACTGAGTAACATGTGATTGACATGTGAGTAACCCTGAGTAACATGTGAGTAACACATGAGTAACCCTGAGTAACATGTGAGTAACACTGAGTAACATGTGATTGACATGTGAGTAACACTGGGTAACATGTGATTGACATGTGAGTAACCCTGAGTAACATGTGAGTAACACATGAGTAACCCTGAGTAACATGTGAGTAACACTGAGTAACATGTGATTGACATGTGAGTAACACTGAGTAACATGTGATTGACATGTGAGTAACACTGAGTAACATGTGATTGACATGTGAGTAACACTGGGTAACATGTGATTGACATGTGAGTAACACTGAGTAACATGTGATTGACATGTGAGTAACACTGAGTAACATGTGATTGACATGTGAGTAACACTGGGTAACATGTGATTGACATGTGAGTAACACTGTGTAACATGTAAGTAACGCTGTATAACATTGAGTAACACGTACAATGTGAGTAACACTGAGTAACACTGAGTAATGTGAGTAACATGTGAGTAACAGTAACACGTGAATAACCCTGAGTAACATGTGATTGACATGTGAATAACACTGAGTAACCCTGATTAACATGTGATTAACACTGAGTAACATGTGATTGACATGTGAGTAACACTGGGTAACATGTAAGTAACGCTGTATAACATTGAGTAGCACGTACCATGTGAGTAACACTGAGTAACACTGAATAACATGTGAGTAACACATGAGTAACCCTGAGTAACATGTGAGTAACACTGAGTAACATGTGATTGACATGTGAGTAACACTGAGTAACATGTGATTGACATGTGAGTAACACTGAGTAACATGTGATTGACATGTGAGTAACCCTGAGTAACATGTGAGTAACACATGAGTAACCCTGAGTAACATGTGAGTAACACTGAGTAACATGTGATTGACATGTGAGTAACACTGGGTAACATGTGATTGACATGTGAGTAACCCTGAGTAACATGTGAGTAACACATGAGTAACCCTGAGTAACATGTGAGTAACACTGAGTAACATGTGATTGACATGTGAGTAACACTGAGTAACATGTGATTGACATGTGAGTAACACTGAGTAACATGTGATTGACATGTGAGTAACACTGGGTAACATGTGATTGACATGTGAGTAACACTGAGTAACATGTGATTGACATGTGAGTAACACTGAGTAACATGTGATTGACATGTGAGTAACACTGGGTAACATGTGATTGACATGTGAGTAACACTGTGTAACATGTAAGTAACGCTGTATAACATTGAGTAACACGTACAATGTGAGTAACACTGAGTAACACTGAGTAATGTGAGTAACATGTGAGTAACAGTAACACGTGAATAACCCTGAGTAACATGTGATTGACATGTGAATAACACTGAGTAACCCTGATTAACATGTGATTAACACTGAGTAACATGTGATTGACATGTGAGTAACCCTCAGTAACATGTGATTGACATGTGAGTAACACTGAGTAACACTGAGTAACATGTGAGTAACAGTAACACGTGAGTAACACTGAGTAACACTGAGTAACATGTGAGTAACAGTAACACGTGAGTAACACTGAGTAACAGTAACACGTGAGTAACACGTGAGTAACATGTGAGTGACACTGAGTAACACGTGAGTAACACTGAGTAACACTGAGTAACATGTGAGTAACATTAACACGTGAGTAACACTGAGTAACACTGAGTAACACTGAGTAACATGTGAGTAACAGTAACACGTGAGTAACACTGAGTAACACTGAGTAACACTGAGTAACATGTGAGTAACATTAACACGTGAGTAACACTGAGTAACACTGAGTAACATGTGAGTAACAGTAACACGTGAGTAACACTGAGTAACACTGAGTAACACTGAGTAACATGTGAGTAACAGTAACACGTGAGTAACACTGAGTAACATGTGAGTAACAGTAACACGTGAGTAACACGTGAGTAACATGTGAGTGACACTGAGTAACACGTGAGTAACACTGAGTAACATGTGAGTAACAGTAACACGTGAGTAACACTGAGTAACACTGAGTAACATGTGAGTAACAGTAACACGTGAGTAACACTGAGTAACACTGAGTAACATGTGATTGACATGTGATTAACACTGAGTAACATGTGAGTAACACTGATTAACACTGGGTAGCATGTAAGTAACGCTGTATAACATTGAGTAACACTGGGTTTAAGTGTCATTGTGTGTCTGGAGCTGCTGTGCTGTTGGCAACTAACAACTAACGTTTGTTTGTAATTACTATTGTGTAGTGTATGTTAATATTTTGTGCTTCCATGTCATTCGTTCATCATCTGCGCTTTATTTTTCATGAAGCATTATTCTGTTGCGCTTCTGCTATGATAAACAGACATCCACTCTTGGGTCGCGTGTGTAACGGAGGACAGCTAGTGCGAGTCGCGCTGACGACTGCTAGTGAATGTGGGGTTTAGTGTCATTGTTAGTGCACTCGACTGGGTCAGGGTTCGAGACCGACTCGGAGCAGGGCGTTTAGGATAGGAGTGTGGGTTTTGGAGGCGGAGCAAAAAAGAGTGTATTTGTTTGGGTTGATGTGAAATATCAACATTGTCCAACAGTGTTTTAGAAATATCACTTACCACACCTTTAATTTGGTCAAAGTATTATTTTTAAATTATTAATTTTATACTGATCACTATTAATGTTATTACTGAATCATTACAACTGTATTATCCACTGTTGTTCATTGTTGTTTGGTTTACAGTTGATAGCAGTGCTGATGATGTCACCGAGGCATCATGGGCCAATCAGAGCAGAGATCAGGTGATTGTGTGCTGCCCTATGAATCTACAGAGAGGATTAATTAATGATTCCATACATTACTGATGGCTTGTTTGTTTTGATGTAAAACACTGGGTAACACTTTACCTTACAGTGTTCTTGTTACATATGTACTTATTTTGTATTTACAGACTATCACACTGGCTGATCTTGAGTGTCCCGACATACACGAACATTCACTACATTCACAGTGAGTCTGCACATATCAACTTTAACCTTTGAAACATGCCTGATGCTCTTCATTTACACATTAAGAGGCTGTTTGTTTGTTGGAAAGGTTGTTGTTAACTCATGCAATTGTTTAATATGTTACATGTTTAAGGTATGTTGTTGTTGCAGCTTTCAGTTATTAATCACAGGCAGTGTTTCGGTTGCTATGGTGACGACAAACAAAGCTTAAATGCTCAGGTTACCTTCGTGTGTTTAATATCAGCTGATGTTTGCGTTTTAGATCTCGTTTGGAGGGAAATCACGTAAATCACGTCTCCTGCGAAACACACAGGTAAAGATAATCTAATCTCACTGTCATGAAGGAGGATTTGAGATATTCTCTCTGTGATCTCGCCTGTGTTGTTCTTCCAGACCTGAGGTTTCTGCATCCGTCAGTGTTCAGCATGTAAACGGGCCGACAGACACACATATCAGAGGTCATCCTCCTCACAGCGAAGCCCAAACACCACCAGACCCCGTCAGACAGCTGATCCACGACGAGTTATTCAGGCTAGTGCAGGTGCGTTTGAGCTTCAAGACTTTCCCTGTCAATCAAATGCTGGAAAACCTCGGTTTGGACACCATGGCTGTGTCTGAAATCGCCTATACCCTTAAATAGGGCACTATTTAAAGGGACAGTCATTTGTATCGGTGTCCAAAACCATAGTGAACGCATTCAATCACACAATGCACTGCAATAACGAGTGTACAACTGATGTATGCTCAACGGCTAGAGAATACCCATAATGCACTGTGAGAGACTCGCTAGAAAAACGTCTCGAGACCGGACTCGAGTACTACAGCATTACTTAAAGCTCTCTTGAAGTTCTTCGATACCACATCAAAAACTACTTGCCTAACATATAAAGTTAAAACATTATTAAAAACACGTGAACAAGTCAGTAATAAAAATAAGAACAAACACACAAATTACAAGCAGAGATGAATACTAAATAACAAAGTTACAAAGTCTAACAGTTGTGTTCAGGTACAGAAATTAATAATTAAGCCTAAATGTAAAATAACACTATTTGTTCACTGTAGAAATTAAATAGAGTTTCATCTTTGTTAAAGCTATATTTTATTGTTTTATTAACATTAATGACACGGAATATTTTATTGTTTTATTAACATTAATTACACAGACGACAGCAGGAATATTAGGCCGATGTCACTTTAAGACCGAATAAACTGACAAACATCCGGTTTCTTTCTCAACTGTTCACTTATGACATAACCGAGAGAATACTTGCCGAGATATTTAGGGTATTTAATCATAATTTTGTGTGTATGCTGTCTGAAACACCCCTCTCTCTCTCTCTCTCTCTCTCTCTCTCTCTCTCTCTCTCTCTCTCAGCGTGTGTGTGGTTGTGCGCACAGATAACGCGCGAGTCCCGATTTTCGCTTCGTTCGCGTTTAAAATAGTTTGAATGTGTAAACATTGGCAAGACTAAACACGTTCAAATGATAAACTTTCACTCTATGGTGGTTAAATTTTGTCATCTCTATAGCACGTATTGTGTTTATCGTGTAATTTATACACGAAAATGAGCTTTTACGTGCATATAATACGCAGTTTTCACGTGTATATGATACGCACTTTATTGCGAGTAATACACATGCACCCCACACCACTAATCCTAACCAAACGTATAATAAATACGTACCCCACACCACTACTAAACCTTCCCTAAACCCATGCGTATCATATGCACGTAAAAACTCATTTTCGCGTATAAATTGCACGATAAACACAATGTGTGCTATAGAGACGCATTTTGTGTGACCGGGTTGATTTTGCAGTTAAGGCCCTTGCACACTGAGTCCGACATTTTCGTATGCGTTTTTTCGGTGGCTCTGAATTGTCAAAAACGATTTAAACTGCTCACTACGGATGTGGAAAGTAGAGATGCGCGGTTGGCGGTTACAGCCGCGGATAAACCGCGGATCGGGCGGATGACGTGACGGAAAAAAATATTTTAATTAAATTCGGGCGGGTGGCGGGCGGTTGAACCAATCAAATGAAAAATATATGTATACATTGTTAAATATTGTTATCTGACTATACCTACATCCAAAAAAAAAATCGAGCACACTTGAAATAGTCAAATTTTCATCAGGCAGCTAGTCGAGTCTATGCAGAGACTGCTTGTTATTATCAGAGATGGCAACGCCGGTGTTGTGCCTAATTTCGACCCCCTGCCAAATTATTACCCCCCTCGTTGAAGTCAGTACCTGATTGCCTAATCCCAACCCCGCCCCTAATCCTACCCCCTACCCCACAACTAATCCTAAACCTACCAATGCTAGGGGGGTAATAATTTGGTGGGGGTCGAAATTCGGCACAACACCGGCGAAGGAGGTGCGTGACAAACTCAAAAAAGGAGAATTAAAAACAAAGGAAATAGAAGGTCAGAAAAGTGTTGCCTGGAATAAGTTTTACAAAGTGGTAAATCAGGATGACACCAGTGCTGCAGGCTATGTAATGTAATTTGCAAAACCTGCGAAGCAGATTATGTTCATGACAGCCACAAGACGGGTAGGCCTACTTCTAATATGGTGCATCACAAGTGTGTGATGTGATTACCAGTTTTTTAAACATTGTTTGAAGCTAAATGTGACAAAATATTGCTGTTATTTTCAGCGTGAGCCACTTTACAAACGGCGCCCCATACAATAGCAGCATGTTCAAATTATGTGCCAAAATGCGTTTTCTATTAGGCTACAATGAAAATATTGTACAGTAGCCTATCGAATAAGGTCAGGTTTGCTGAAGTGCGTTTAATTTAGGCTATTTATTTATTTTTGTCCCTGCGCGCCGATCGGAGACGGAGTTCACTGCTGATATTCTGAGAGCTTTCTAGTCTGCCTTGTATCGGCCAATCAGCGGATGGCGGGCGGGTGCGGTTTAGAAAATTGGTCAAAAACGTTGGTGCGGATGGATGGTGGACGGATGATGAGTTTTGTGATGCGGTTGCGGATGAAATAATAGCCCATCCGCGCATCTCTAGTGGAAAACGCAGAAAATCGAACCTGATCCGATTTTTTTTTTATGACGGACGAAAGTTTCGGAGGCAGTGTGCAAGCGTGATTGACATAACGTGAGTTCCAGGGCTTGACGTTCACACCCGCCATATGCGGATGTATTTCAGCAGTATTTCACTCCTACTAGCCACTTTGGCGGGCTGAGTTTTATATAGGACTAATATACATTTTTCAATTGTAGTCTTTTAAAAAGGCATCTGAAATAAGAAACTTAGTGCAATCTAGTATTATAGATTTTTCGATACATTTCGATACTGAACTATCTGAAACTCTTCCTCAGGACGCACCAGCAATGCGTCCGCCCTCTTTAATCTGTCCGACAGCGAGTTGACACCCTTTACAGTCTATGGTTGACACACAAACCCGCGTCCCTTTACTCACTCGTTTAATTTGCTCCGGATGAATATTGTTGGTGTTACAGGGTGAGAGATTGCGCATATTAACCCTCTGGGGACCAAGGGGTTTTTGGGGCCCTTGGGATGTTTTGACATGCACTGACATTTGTGCTTTTTTCAGTTATTTATAAACATGTTAATGGCAAAGGTGTAAATTCACTCTATATAGCACAAACGGGGCTACCATAATATGTGAGCAACATGTATGTACAAGTTTGTATTTTTGAGAGAATATTATTTATGCATGGTTATTGAAAAACTTAAAAATAAAAGTTTCTGAAATAAGGCCACAAAACACATATTGATTATTTCTTCACAAGAATTTTGAAAATTGTATCACATGGTCTAGAATATTTGTTCCAAAACTATGTGAGAATCATCCTGACTACTCATTCAGATAAGTCAATAAAGTCTTTTAGAATGTGTATGACGTGTTTTGTTTGAGAAAGCTTAATGCGAGGAGGCGTGATCTCTCATTAATATGTATGGCATTTCACACCTGAGAAAGACAAAGACCCTCCCATAATGGCCCTATTAGGTGCTATCAGGCCATATCATTAGAGGAGCCTTGCACAAAGAATGAGGAGATTTAAAAAAGAATGGCTTTTAGATTGTTTGGATTTATTTACAACACAACATAATCCAAAGATACACAACAAAGGACTGGTTTCTGGTTAAAATGGCTTTTTAATTATTAGGGGCGTAACGGTACATGTATTCGTATTGAACCGTTTCGGTTCGAGGCTTCCGGTTCGGTACGCATACAAACCGAACGATTCCTTGGGCCATTTTTCTTGCCGACAAAATTCGCGCTGGCGCGACCACCACAACGTTGCGCAACATCAAATGGCAAACGTAATGAAAGCGGAACGAAACTGCGCTACTCCTTATATTGTGCTTCACGGATCGTTTGACCAGCAACATCTGTGCAGCGCGAGCCGATCTCGATCAAGCGACACTGTTACAACACAGCGCTAAGAGATCCAGTAAAGAAAACAGTTGAATTCGCCACTGAAGTAATAACATCGCTGCGAGAACTAGTGAGAAGCATTCACATTTCTCCATTATTAACCGTAGATCTCTATTAGATCAAACAGCGCTGACGTGGAAACCAGGAGAAACATTGTCCCGTGAATGAACTAGTAATACTTTACGTCCACAGACCAGCAACATTCACCATGGATTTAATATAGTAGGGCAGGCTAACACTAACTGTAACCAGTTTGGCTGGAATAGTGAACTGCTTTCAAGTACTTCACACATCTTTTTCCAGCTCTTCAAAACTCAAATAATATATAAATAAATATATATATATTTAAATGTTATTTTTAATGTGATGACCAAAACATTATTTGTTCATCCTTCAAAGATGACCCCCATTTATAAACCTCAAAGTTTCAAGATGTAGGAAAACTCAGTTATTTAAAAATATTTTTTCTTTTAACAAATAAGAAATTTCTCTGGCATTTCTTACTTTTTGCTGTATCGAAAACGTACCGAACCGTGACTTTAAAACCGAGGTACGTACCGAACCGTGATTTTTGTGTACCGTTACACCCCTATTAATTATATATACACACACACACACACACACACAGACTGCTTAGAATAAGTGAACACACCCATGCTAAAGTTGACTAAAAAGAGGAATAAAAAATCTTAATCCCTTCATTTAAAAAATGAGGAAAACTCCAACCTTTAGGGACGTGTATAATGTCCCTGAATTCTTTGTGAATGAATAATGTATCGCAAATAATTAAATGTTCTTCTTTAAAATACAGGGTGCATACGTCTGGACACTTCTATCACACACCCTTCACCATATAGACATGGTTTTATTTCAGTTCAAAGTTCAAAGTTAGAGTTGGAAACATCTTGAAAAGAAAATTGTCTTTTTCCATAAATGTCTTAGTTTGATCATATATTTCAAAGTTGAGGATTCATTATTTTGATATAGCTTGCATTGGAACAAACATCTTAGTTGATTAATTTAATTGACAAAACATAAGCTTATTTGATGTCTTTATTTTGAAGCTTATTTGAAGCTTATTTGATGCTTATTTATTTGAAAAACTTTATCCAAAACTAGTCAACGAAATTTTGTCTTTTATTTTGTCTGTAACAGTGCGTATCTGTGCGTTCATTCATTCATTCATTCACACACACACAGAGAGAAACATGATTCACATTTAAACAGTATGCTATTTGTCCGTTTACAGACACTAACGTTATTCTATATCGCGATTAGAACAAAGCACAAAACACTTACACTTCTCAGCTGAATCTGTTGCTCCTCCTCGAAGTGAAACCAGCACTTGTTCTGTGGTAAATGTCCCAGGATTATTCCTCATAGCCGCGCAAGACGAATCTTAATCTGACTAAAAAATATAGTGCGTTTACAGCATTTGCCTGGGGGCGTTTATCTATTTTGCATATGGCCTCCTCAACACATTATCTTATGAATAGCGCGCTCTGCGAGTGGGTGTGAACAAATTAACGATAATGAGCTGAGACAGGAGAAACTGTACTTCTCTTTAGTTTCAGACAGATTACATTGCAGGAGAATATTTGTTTTAAATGTGAATTGTTTTATTTAAAAGTAGAAATTTAAAGCGTTCTTTAGACGTATGTTTCATGTTTGTGTGATAAGTATTAGCGGAGTTTCCGTTCATTTTCCAGACATGTTTCAGAAAGATTTTTGCGGAGACAGAGTGAGCTGAAAGCGCACCCTGTTTATTTTATTTATAAAAAAAAAAAAAAAAGGTTTTGATGTTAATGTGAGTGCACACAAAAAAAGAAGACCCTCTATAGTTTATAATCATGTATTGATTTTATTTATATGACCATAAATGACGGAGTATTATGTTGCTGCTATGTGAAAAAAAACAGCAAAACGCGCGGGCGCGTTCTTGGTCCCCAGAGGGTTAAGCAGAATTGTACTCATTCCCGCAGATTTTGTGCCCACACCCAAAGTGCTTGCACATAAAGACAAGTATATTGGCTATTTAAAACAGTATAATGGGTCAGTCCGTCAGGTATTAAAGCGACAGCAGCCTAATATACCGGCTGCCAAATAATGAGATAATATTAAAAATATCTATATGGTAGTTATTCCCCTATGGTATCGATGTCAAAATTGTGGCCAGTGAAAATGCGGAGTGGCTAGTAAATTTGAAAAACCACTAGCCACAGTGGCTGGTGAGCAAAAAAGTTAATGTCAAGCCCTGGTGAGGTCGTATTTATTTTTTCGGTGTGTAAGGGCCTTTAATGCGCGAATCACCTGCGATCCGTTGCTCTCCAACTAAACCCCATTACAGTTTCCTGATTCCCTTGTGTTTCAGCTGCAGCAGATCAACTTCATGAGTCTCATGCAGGTCGTCGGCGCGTCCTTTGTAAACCTGCCGCTGTCTCAACCCAGCATGCATCAGTCTAATGTGAATGTGCCACAGACCACTGCCATACCTGCACAGCATCCGCCTCAGCCTCAGCCCATCTCTCTTACCCACAATGCCCAGCACACTACATGTGATGATACCAACCTCCCAACACGAGCTACCAGGCCTGAGAGGGTTAATAATGACGAACATCCCGTGAATGTGAATTCTGGCTTGCCTCTGAATCCAAATATTACCCTCAAAACTCAGGTAATATTGGTAATTATATGTATCATTTACACTATCAGTCAACAGTCATATAGACTGGGTTCAGTAGGATATTTATACTTTTAGCGAAATTAATACTTTTATTCAGCAAGGATGCATTAAACTGATGAAAAGTGACAGAGAAAGACATTTAAAATGTGTCAAAAGATTCTATTTCTAATAAATGTTGTTATTTTGAACCACCAAAGAATCCTGAAAAATAAAATGAATCAGTTTCTACAGAAATATGAAGCAGCGCGACTGTTTTCAACATTGATAATAATCATAAATGTTTCTTGAGCATCAGATCATCATATTAGAGTGATTTCTGAAGGATCATGTGACGCTGAAGACTGGAGTAATGATGCTGAACATTCACAGGAATAAATTACACTTTACTAGATATTCACATAGGAAATAGATGTTTTACATTAGAATAATATTTCACTGTTTTTACTGTATTTTTGATCAAATAAATGCAGCCTTGGTGAGCAGAAGATTATTTTTGAACAGTGTTTTTTAATGCTATAAAAATATATACAAATTTCACAAAATTATTTGAAAACATGCATTATCTTTAAATTTTTGTTAAATTGTATGTTTCTTGAGTTCAATTAATTAGACATGCTTTTTGATTACTAAAAATATAATATAAACATTAAAATGGAGTCCAAAAAAAAAAAAAAACGTATTCCAGAAAAATTAAAACAGAATTTGGGAAAAAATAAAATGGATTTCATTGGGGCCTCAGCTAGTGTGGCACTCTTAAAGCCCATTCTCACCAAGAACAAGAACTATAAAGATAACTATAATAGTAACCATATTAGATGAACGATTACACTGTTCATTCTCCACATGGACTGCAGGTTTGTCGTCTGCCACTTTAAATGTTGGAGCTCTTTAAAGCGGAATGAATTTTTATTGGCTGTCGATGTTTTTTATCATTCTTCAGCTGGAATTTTCTTTTTCAAAATCACTTTTTTTTCTCATGTTCTTGAATCTCACAGGAAATTCATCAGTTGACCATTCGCTCAGACTGGCCAGAGAACGGTCAATCTCCCGGCCAGAGCTTCATCCCGCCGTCACACGGGCTTCTAACCACAGCCAATACTCACTCGGCATTTAATGGTGTTTCTGAAGCTCCAAAACCACACGGCCTCAGACTCCTCCAGCTAAACCCATCTCAGAGATCTCCTCCTCCTCCTCTTCCTCCTCCTCTTCCTCCTGTGAAGGATTCCTGGGGTCCAGATCCCCCATCTGTCCCGAGGGTCGAGGATCGTAACCGTACCCGAGCCGAATCACACCGCTATAACACACACACACAGGAATCTCTTCGTCCTCACAGATCTGTTGCTCTTCCTCTTCTGCGGTTTCACCCAGAGACCCAGAGAACCGTGACGTTGCCACGTATCCCACAATGCACCTTGGCAAAACCCAGTCTGGGCGTCACAGCCACGGGCCGCTATCCCAGAATTCAGCTTCTGCACAGAGAGCCCGATCCACCCGCCGCTGTGAGTTTACATTTAGTTTGTCTTTCTACTTTACTTTTCACTGTGAGCAATAACCACATTTACTCATCACTTTACTCATCACTTTACTCATCACTTTACTCATCACTTTATTGATCACTTTACTCATCACTTTACTGATCACTTTACTCATCACTTTACTGATCACTTTACTCATCACTTTACTGATCACTTTACTCATCACTTTACTGATCACTTTACTCATCACTTTACTGATCACTTTACTCATCACTTTACTGATCACTTTACTCGTCCCTTTACTCATCACTTTATTGATCACTTTACTGATCACTTTACTGATCACTTTACTCATCACTTTACTGATCACTTTACTCATCACTTTACTGATCACTTTACTCATCACTTTACTGATCACTTTATTGATCACTTTACTCATCACTTTACTGATCACTTTACTCATCACTTTACTCGTCACTTTACTCATCACTTTACTCGTCACTTTACTCATCACTTTACTGATCACTTTACTGATCACTTTACTCGTCACTTTTCTCGTCACTTTACTCATCACTGTACTCATCACTTTACTCGTCACTTTACTCGTCACTTTACTCATCACTTTACTCATCACTTTACTCATCACTTTATTGATCACTTTACTGATCACTTTACTCGTCACTTTACTCGTCACTTTACTCATCACTGTACTCGTCACTTTTCTCGTCACTTTACTCGTCACTTTACTCATCACTTTACTGATCACTTTACTGATCACTTTACTGATCACTTTACTCGTCACTTTACTCGTCACTTTACTCATCACTGTACTCATCACTTTACTCATCACTTTACTGATCACTTTACTGATCACTTTACTCGTCACTTTACTCGTCACTTTACTCATCACTGTACTCATCACTTTACTCATCACTTTACTCATCACTTTACTCATCACTTTACTCATCACTTTACTGATCACTTTACTGATCACTTTACTCGTCACTTTACTCGTCACTTTACTCATCACTGTACTCATCACTTTACTCATCACTTTACTGATCACTTTACTGATCACTTTACTCGTCACTTTACTCGTCACTTTACTCATCACTTTACTGATCACTTTACTCGTCACTTTACTCGTCACTTTACTGATCACTGTACTCATCACTTTACTCATCACTTTACTCATCACTTTACTCATCACTTTACTGATCACTTTACTGATCACTTTACTCGTCACTTTACTCGTCACTTTACTCATCACTGTACTCATCACTTTACTCATCACTTTACTGATCACTTTACTCGTCACTTTACTCGTCACTTTACTCATCACTTTACTCATCACTTTACTCATCACTTTACTCATCACTTTACTGATCACTTTACTCATCACTTTACTGATCACTTTACTCATCACTTTACTCGTCACTTTACTCGTCACTTTACTCATCACTGTACTCGTCACTTTACTCATCACTGTACTCATCACTTTACTCATCACTGTACTCATCACTTTACTCGTCACTTTACTCATCACTTTACTCATCACTTTACTCGTCACTTTACTCATCACTTTACTCATCACTTTACTCGTCACTTTACTCATCACTTTACTCATCACTTTACTCGTCACTTTACTCATCACTGTACTCGTCACTTTTCTCGTCACTTTACTCGTCACTTTACTCATCACTTTACTCATCACTTTACTGATCACTTTACTGATCACTTTACTCGTCACTTTACTCGTCACTTTACTCATCACTGTACTCATCACTTTACTCATCACTTTACTGATCACTTTACTGATCACTTTACTCGTCACTTTACTCGTCACTTTACTCATCACTGTACTCATCACTTTACTCATCACTTTACTCATCACTTTACTCATCACTTTACTCATCACTTTACTCATCACTTTACTGATCACTTTACTGATCACTTTACTCGTCACTTTACTCGTCACTTTACTCATCACTTTACTGATCACTTTACTGATCACTTTACTCGTCACTTTACTCGTCACTTTACTCATCACTTTACTCATCACTTTACTCATCACTTTACTCATCACTTTACTCATCACTTTACTCATCACTTTACTGATCACTTTACTCATCACTTTACTGATCACTTTACTCATCACTTTACTCGTCACTTTACTCGTCACTTTACTCATCACTTTACTCGTCACTTTACTCGTCACTTTACTCATCACTGTACTCATCACTGTACTCATCACTTTACTCGTCACTTTACTCATCACTTTACTCATCACTTTACTCGTCACTTTACTCATCACTTTACTCGTCACTTTACTCATCACTTTACTCATCACTTTACTCGTCCCTTTACTCATCACTTTACTCGTCACTTTACTCATCACTTTACTCATCACTTTACTCGTCACTTTACTCATCACTTTACTCGTCACTTTACTCGTCACTTTACTCATCACTTTACTCGTCCCTTTACTCGTCCCTTTACTCATCACTTTACTCGTCACTTTACTCATCACTTTACTCATCACTTTACTCATCACTTTACTCGTCACTTTACTCGTCACTTTACTCGTCACTTTACTCGTCACTTTACTCATCACTTTACTCGTCACTTTACTCATCACTTTACTCGTCACTTTACTCGTCCCTTTACTCATCACTTTACTCATCACTTTACTCATCACTTTACTCGTCACTTTACTCATCACTTTACTCGTCACTTTACTCGTCACTTTACTCATCACTTTACTCATCACTTTACTCGTCCCTTTACTCATCACTTTACTCATCACTTTACTCGTCACTTTACTCGTCCCTTTACTCGTCCCTTTACTCATCACTTTACTCGTCACTTTACTCGTCACTTTACTCGTCCCTTTACTCGTCCCTTTACTCATCCCTTTACTCATCCCTTTACTCATCACTGTACTCATCACTTTACTCGTCACTTTACTCGTCACTTTACTCGTCCCTTTACTCGTCCCTTTACTCATCCCTTTACTCATCACTGTACTCATCACTTTACTCATCACTTTACTCGTCCCTTTACTCGTCACTTTACTCATGTCGCAGCAGGTGAAGATAATCGGTGTGTTTGTCCTGTAGGATGTGCGGTTGGACTCGGCTCCTGTACGAACTCCTCGTCTCATCCCACTGGAGGAGCTGTTGAAGTGGACCAACGCCAAACACACCCAACTACAACTCTTAAACACACACACCGTCCCGGAGAACAAGCCCACGACGACCAGCCCGTCCAACAAGAGGTCATTGTGCTGTGTGCTCAAACCTAGGGCTGCGCATCCATTCAGATTTCCAAGCTCTCGATTCACAAGCTCTCGATTCGATTCGCAAGCTCTCGATTCGATTCGCAAGGTTTCGATTCGCAAGGTTTCGATTCGCAAGCTCTCGGTTCGATTCGCATGCTCTCGATTCGATTCGCACGCTCTCGATTCGATTCGCAAGCTTTCGATTCGCAAGCTCTCGATTCGATTCGCAAGCTATCGATTCGATTCGCAAGCTCTCGATTCGATTCGCAAGCTCTCGATCCGATTCGCAAGCTTTCGATTCGCATGCTCTAGGTTCGATTCACAAGCTCTCAGTTCGATTCGCAAGCTCTCGATTAGATTCGCAAGCTCTCAGTTCGATTCGCAAGGTTTCGATTCGCAAGGTTTCGATTCGCAAGCTCTCGGTTCGATTCGCAAGCTCTCGATTCGATTCGCAAGGTTTCGATTCGCAAGGTTTCGATTCGCAAGCTCTCGGTTCGATTCGCATGCTTTCGATTCGCACGCTCTCGATTCGATTCGCAAGCTTTCGATTCGCAAGCTCTCGATTCGATTCGCAAGCTATCGATTCGATTCGCAAGCTATCGATTCGATTCGCAAGCTCTCGATTCGATTCGCAAGCTCTCGATCCGATTCGCAAGCTTTCGATTCGCATGCTCTAGGTTCGATTCACAAGCTCTCAGTTCGATTCGCAAGCTCTCGATTAGATTCGCAAGCTCTCAGTTCGATTCGCAAGCTTTCAGTTCGATTCGCAAGCTCTCGATTAGATTCCCAAGCTCTCAGTTCGATTCGCAAGCTTTCAGTTCGATTCGCAAGCTCTCGATTAGATTCCCAAGCTCTCGATTAGATTCCCAAGCTCTCGATTAGATTCCCAAGCTCTCAGTTCGATTCGCAAGCTTTCGATTCGCATGCTCTAGGTTCGATTCACAAGCTCTCAGTTCGATTCGCAAGCTCTCGATCCGATTCGCAAGCTTTCGATTCGCATGCTCTAGGTTCGATTCACAAGCTCTCAGTTCGATTCGCAAGCTCTCGATTAGATTCGCAAGCTCTCAGTTCGATTCGCAAGCTTTCAGTTCGATTCGCAAGCTCTCGATTAGATTCGCAAGCTCTCAGTTCGATTCGCAAGCTTTCAGTTCGATTCGCAAGCTCTCGATTAGATTCCCAAGCTCTCAGTTCGATTCGCAAGCTTTCAGTTCGATTCGCAAGCTCTCGATTAGATTCCCAAGCTCTCGATTAGATTCCCAAGCTCTCGATTAGATTCCCAAGCTCTCAGTTCGATTCGCAAGCTTTCGATTCGCAAGCTCTCGATTCGCAAGCTCTCGATTCGATTCGCCAGCTCTCGATTCGATTCGCAAGCTCTCAATCTGATTTGAAAAAAATCAATTCGTGGCCTTTGAGAATGGATTTTGAATCGACCACATAAAAAAAAAAAAAAAAAAAAAAAAAACGATTAATCGACAAATCTTTTTTTTTTTTTTTGCCCAGCCCTAGTCAAACCATGTGACATATGATGATTTTTTTTGTGGTTGTTGCAGATTTGTGTTTTCTGTCTAATATTATATCTCATTTAGACGGAAGAGGAGAGAGGAGAAAAACAAGGAGGACCGGATTGGAGTCACGTTCAGACCGGAGGACTCCATCATTCCTCCAGATGAGGTACGTGCATCTCAAAACTGTGTTTATGTGTTTTTGCTAAACTCTTGCTTTAATAAAGATGTGACCTTGACTGTTTCTCTGTTTGCTCGTGTGTGCAGCCTGCAGAAGATGTGCCCGATCACAGTGATGCGCTCACCATTCCTTTAGGTGATTTCTTTAGTATTATTTATATACCATTATAGTATTTATTGATATTTTGTATTTATTAATATTAATGTTTTTTTATTTATTTTAGATTTTTTTTCTTTTAGTAATTATGTGTTTTTGTAATTTTTATTCGTTTTTTTTTAGTAATTTTATTACTTTAATTTAAAATTATCTTATTTCAGTTAGTTGCCAAGACAACATTTATATTTTCATTTGTTTATCTAATATTTATATTTGCAGTTTTGCTTTCAGTTTGAGTAATTTTATGCGTTTTTGTCCTTTTGTAATTTATTTTTTAAAAATATTTGTATTTAGTTTTAATTCTTTTTATGACAGTTTTAGTTTTATTATTTTTGGTATGCGTTTTTGTAAAAAAACAATTTATTTAAAAATATTTTTTATTTAATTCATTCATTTTATTACAGTTTTAGTAATTGTGCTGGTCTTTTTTTAAATATTTTTTATTTAATTAGTTAATTTTGTTACAGTTTTAATAATTGTATGTGTTTTTGTCATTTTAAAAAATATTTTTTATTTAGTTTTAATTCATTTTTTTTTGTACAGTTTTAGTTTTGGTAATTTTGTGTTTTTGTCATTTGTAAAACATATTTTTAATTTAGTTTTAATTCATTTTATTACAGTTTTAGTTTTAATAATTTAAGTCCTTCAATTTCAACTTTACCAAGACAACATTTCTCATTTTCGTTTAAGTTTTTTGATATAATCTCTATATTAATATTAAGACTTGTTGAGATGAAGTCAGTTCTGCTGTAAGATCATCGGCTAGTAAATGTGTCTGCGCTGCAGGCGTTGAGTGTGAGTTGAGTGGCCTGGCGTTGTTGGATCAGGCGTACGTCACCTCGGCTGAGCTTCATGCTTTCGCCTCCACACAGAAGAGACCGCCTGAGATCCAGGACGCCTGTACAAACACTGACAACGGTATGTGCTCTGATCGCTCATCCGCATATCACACACTTTAAAGGGGGCATCGGATGCCCATTTTCCACAAGTTGGGATGATTCTTTAGGGTCTTCATGTAAAGTTTGTAACATTTCTTGGTTAAAATTCCTCAATGGTTGTGTGAAACACCCTTTTTACCTCCTCAGAAACAGCTCTGTTTAAATACAATATATTTAAATGCATATTATAATATTACAATACCACACTGTACTAAAATGTTTTAAATAAATTTCGGTGCATGTCTCTTTAAATGATAATGAGCAACTGCCCCCCCCCCCCCCCTTCTGTGGGGCATGTCGAGACAAGACAGTATACAAATGGCTGAGGGCGTAAATATGCTAATATGGTATGCTAATATGGGAAATATGCTAATACGGGACAGTCCGTCAATGGTCGTGGGCGGAGCATGAGCATTATGACATTATATTGCTCAGAAAATCCAAACGGCTTGATTATTGTGATTATTGATTATTGTATCTGATTATAGAGTGTTTAGGCTTTTTTAGGATAAAAAAAAGGTTTGAATGGATTTTTCTCATTGTATGGTGGTTGTGTCCACACACTGCAAACACACATTTATATGCAAACACAATATAAAAGTGAATTCTGCATCCGATGAGCCCTTTAACTTCGCTAATGTAAGTTCTGCTTTGGTTTCCTCTAGAACTGCCTCGCTGCATCACAGATCCAGATGTTTCTGTCCAGACTCAGTCTCCTCCCAGCATGCCGTCTGCTCGTAAGTTCATGACAGGAATGTGATCTTCAGCTCTTTGTTGAATTCACACGGGGTCCAAAATGAGCACTCGAGACGCAGATTCAAATCAAATTTGCCTTTTTTATGAATTGATGAATTGCAAAATGATGCTTGGTTTAAATTTTTGATCCATGGGAATTTTTTTTTTTTTTTTTTTTACTTAAGCACCATAAGCAAATCTAGTGGGAAAAAAATTAATAAAGATGGTCTACTAAAAGAAAAAAAAATCAGTGACACAAATTCTTGGAAAATATTTGTATTTAGCACTTTCTTAGAGAAAAATATTATTATCATTACTATTATACAGTATATGTACTTTTTGTCTGGGAAATTATGCAAAATACTATTTCATGGCCAGCAAGAAATATTTATATCCAGTAAATGTCCATACACACCATTGGAAGATAAAAAGAATAGGTGACAGAAAATTGTGAAAATAATCCCCAAAATGAATTTGAAACTGCACAATTATCGCAGTTATCTCAATGATCATGCAATCAATCCATAATTGCAACAGGCCTGTTTATATACCATTATAGTGTTTATTAAGATTTTACATTTATTAATATTAATATATTTTTAAATGTATATTTAGTTTTGATTTTAGATTGAGAAAATCATGGGGAAAATGTAGTATTTAGCATAATTTCCCAGATTTTTTTTTTCTAATAATAATTATCATCATTATTATTATTATTATATGGGGTGTTTTTTCTGGAAAATTATGCAAAAAATACTATTTTATAGCCAGTCAAAAAAAATATGATAGTAAATGTTCATACACAGCATTTCAAAATCATGAAAATTATTATACAAATTTTCCAAAATAGCATACTGTGTGTGTGTGTGTGTGTGTGTGTGTGTGTGTGTGTGTGTGTATATATATATATATATATATATATATATATATATATATCATCATCATTATTATTATTTTATTATATATATATATATATAGCATCATCATTATTATTTTATTATATATATATATATATTTATATATATATCATCATTATTATTATTATTTTATTATATATATATATATCTATCTATCATCATCCTCATCATCATTTATATATAAATATATATATTGTGGCTTTTATAGAAATGCCGTATTGTAGTGTTTTTTTTTCTTTTTTATATCTTTTTATCTTTTTGTATCTTTTTATATATGTATCTGTTTTATGTATGTTGCATGTTATGTCTGTGCCTTCTGAATGGACCAAGAGTCTGGAAATAAAGTTGATGATGACATATATTTGTCATTATTTGTGTAGATGTGATTTATGGCACATTATTTGTGTACTGTGTGTTTCTACACCCACAGCTGAAGGCGGGCTGCTAGATGTGGCTCCAGTCGTTCCTCCAGATGTGTTCTTGAATCTTCGCTTCTCTAAAGATAACTCATCAGACCAGCCGGAGACCACAAGCCTTGCAGAGTCTAGCGCAGATCTCGTAGGGCAATGCTGCACTCAAAGCCATCAGACCAATCTCATCAAATAATCTTTGACAGTTTGAGTGTTTTTAAGGAGTAATTCTCTCTGTTGTTCTTGTATTGTAGAATCCTGAGGGCCGGAGGTTTATTAATGTGATCGATCTGACAGACGACTCTCTTCTTCAGAGTTTGCCTTCGTTTCCCCCGTCGTCTGCTGAGCTCCACCTACTAGCAGCTTCTGTCATAAACCCCGCCTCTTCCGTGGCAAACCACGCCCCTAAACCTGCCTTAAACTCCGCCCCCAACAACACTGAGCACTTTACTGAGACTCCGATTGGAGAGATTCCAGGTACACTGTCTTTTAGGGAAGGGATTCCCAATCATCTTTGACCTAAAATACAAGTTAATATTTCAATAATAATTAACCATACATTTGCATGTTCACAATTCTCTGATGTCAGTTAATGGTCACATGTCATGCAGGTAAACAAATAGGTTTTATTACTATTGTTTTGTTTTTTTATGCTAATTTTACATTTAAATGATTTTATTAGTAGCTTTTCATCAACCAAGTTTGGTTAGGGCATAAACCAGACAAAATCGGTTTTGTGTAGTATTTAGTGGAGGTGGATGTTTTTCATAAAATATAATACAATGCCTTCAAGGTACAGTATATGCTTTATCAGTTCATATAACTCAATTTACCTATAAATATATATGTTTAGTATGGTTTCGATATAGCAAATAAAACATGCTTGAAATTGATTTAGCTATAACTAAATACATTGGCAGTCAAAAGTTTAGATGGAAAGAAGTCTCTTTTACTCACCATGAGGATGCATTCATTTGATAAAAAAAATGCTGTAAAAATAGTGAAATATTATTCCAATGTAAAACTGCTGTTTTTTTATGTGAATATATAGTAAAATGTAATTTATTCCTGTGATCAAAGCTGAATTTTCAGCATCATTACTCCAGTCTTCAGTGTCACATGATCCTTCAGAAATCATTCAAATCATAAAAACCCATGATCTTAATTCTTGAGCGAATCCAACGCTCTACTGTTTGAGCTACAGGAAAGCTATATTTAGTTATCGTCTTGTTTTCGTCTGTGAAAAAATGTCGTTGACAAAAATGTATACGTCAACGAAATCAACACTGATCCAAACTAACCGCTCAAACTTTATTCCCTGCAGGTGTGTGTGTGTCTCCTGAAGCTGTGCTGGGTGGAGACCCCGTGACTCTGAGCGAGCTGAAGGCCGTGAACATGCCTGGTCTGGAGCGAGCGCTGATGTCCAGGAGTCAGATCTCCGCTCGGCTCTCAGAGATGGACTCTCAGCTGCTCAGACTGCAGAGCATCGCAGATCACATGGACAGAGAGTTCGCCAACACCAGACTGGTGAGAGACCAACAGCGCGTGCTGGGGAACACTGTGTTCTGTGAAACACAACCAACAAACAATATAAAATATAAATCACAGAGAGAGAAAAAAATGTATTAAAGTTCCTCATTATGCTTTTTTTGTACAACAGACAGGGTCGTATGACCAAGCAGAGCAGAGTAGACCAATCACAACAGACTGGGCCATCTGACCAATCAGAGCAGAGTAGACCAATCACAACAGACTGGGTCATCTGACCAATCAGAGCAGAGTAGACCAATCACAACAGACTGGGTCATCTGACCAATCAGAGCAGTGTAGACCAATCACAACAGACTGGGTCATCTGACCAATCAGAGCAGAGTAGACCAATCACAACAGACTGGGTCATCTGACCAATCAGAGCAGAGTAGACCGATCACAGCAGACTGGGCCATCTGACCAATCAGAGCAGAGTAGACCAATCACAACCGACTGGGTCGTATGACCAATCAGAGCAGAGTAGACCGATCACAGCAGACTGGGCCATCTGACCAATCAGAGCAGAGTAGACCAATCACAACAGACTGGGTCGTTTGACCAATCAGAGCAGAGTAGACCAATCACAACAGACTGGGTCATTTGACCAATCAGAGCAGAGTAGACCGATCACAACAGACTGGGCCATCTGACCAATCAGAGCAGAGTAGACCGATCACAACAGACTGGGCCATCTGACCAATCAGAGTAGAGTAGACCGATCACAACAGACTGGGCCATCTGACCAATCAGAGCAGAGTAGACCAATCACAACAGACTGGGCCATCTGACCAATCAGAGCAGAGTAGACCAATCACAACAGACTGGGCCATCTGTCCAATCAGAGCAGAGTAGACCAATCACAACAGACTGGGCCATCTGACCAATCAGAGCAGAGTAGACCAATCACAACAGACTGGGCCATCTGTCCAATCAGAGCAGACTAGACCGATCACAACAGACTGGGCCATCTGACCAATCAGAGCAGAGTAGACCAATCACAACAGACTGGGCCATCTGACCAATCAGAGCAGAGTAGACCAATCACAGCAGACTGGGCCATCTGACCAATCAGAGCAGAGTAGACCAATCACAACAGACTGGGCCATCCGACCAATCAGAGCAGAGTAGACCAATCACAACAGACTGGGCCATCTGACCAATCAGAGCAGTGTAGACCAATCACAACAGACTGGGCCATCTGACCAATCAGAGCAGAGAAGACCAATCACAACAGACTGGGTCATCTGACCAATCAGAGCAGAGAAGACCAATCACAACAGACTGGGCCATCTGACCAATCAGAGCAGTGTAGACCGATCACAACAGACTGGGCCATCTGACCAATCAGAGCAGAGAAGACCAATCACAACAGACTGGGTCATCTGACCAATCAGAGCAGAGTAGACCAATCACAACAGACTGGGCCATCTGACCAATCAGAGCAGAGTAGACCAATCACAACAGACTGAGCCATCTGACCAATCAGAGCAGTGTAGACCAATCACAACAGACTGGGCCATCTGACCAATCAGAGCAGAGAAGACCAATCACAACAGACTGGGCCATCTGACCAATCAGAGCAGAGTAGACCAATCACAACAGACTGGGTCATCTGACCAATCAGAGCAGTGTAGACCAATCACAACAGACTGGGTCATCTGACCAATCAGAGCAGAGAAGACCAATCACAACAGACTGGGCCATCTGACCAATCAGAGCAGTGTAGACCAATCACAACAGACTGGGCCATCTGACCAATCAGAGCAGAGAAGACCAATCACAACAGACTGGGCCATCTGACCAATCAGAGCAGTGTAGACCAATCACCAGACTGGGTCATCTGACCAATCAGAGCAGAGTAGACCAATCAAAACAGACTGGGCCATCTGACCAATCAGAGCAGTGTAGACCAATCACAACAGACTGGGTCATCTGACCAATCAGAGCAGAGAAGACCAATCACAACAGACTGGGCCATCTGACCAATCAGAGCAGTGTAGACCAATCACAACAGACTGGGTCATCTGACCAATCAGAGCAGAGAAGACCAATCACAACAGACGGGGCCATCTGACCAATCAGAGCAGAGTAGACCAATCACAACAGACTGGGCCATCTGACCAATCAGAGCAGTGTAGACCAATCACAACAGCCTGGGCCATCTGACCAATCAGAGCAGAGAAGACCAATCACAACAGACTGGGCCATCTGACCAATCAGAGCAGAGAAGACCAATCACAACAGACTGGGTCATCTGACCAATCAGAGCAGAGTAGACCAATCACAACAGACTGGCCCATCTGACCAATCAGAGCAGAGTAGACCAATCACAACAGACTGAGCCATCTGACCAATCAGAGCTGTGTAGACCAATCACAACAGACTGGGCCATCTGACCAATCAGAGCAGAGAAGACCAATCACAACAGACTGGGCCATCTGACCAATCAGAGCAGTGTAGACCAATCACAACAGACTGGGTCATCTGACCAATCAGAGCAGAGAAGACCAATCACAACAGACTGGGCCATCTGACCAATCAGAGCAGTGTAGACCAATCACAACAGACTGGGTCATCTGACCAATCAGAGCAGAGTAGACCAATCAAAACAGACTGGGCCATCTGACCAATCAGAGCAGTGTAGACCAATCAAAACAGACTGGGTCATCTGACCAATCAGAGCAGAGTAGACCAATCAAAACAGACTGGGCCATCTGACCAATCAGAGCAGAGTAGACCAATCACAACAGACTGGGTCATCTGACCAATCAGAGCAGAGAAGACCAATCACAACAGACTGGGCCATCTGACCAATCAGAGCAGAGTAGACCAATCACAACAGACTGGGCCATCTGACCAATCAGAGCAGTGTAGACCAATCACAACAGACTGGGCCATCTGACCAATCAGAGCAGAGAAGACCAATCACAACAGACTGGGTCATCTGACCAATCAGAGCAGAGTAGACCAATCACAACAGACTGGGCCATCTGACCAATCAGAGCAGAGTAGACCAATCACAACAGACTGAGCCATCTGACCAATCAGAGCAGTGTAGACCAATCACAACAGACTGGGTCATCTAACCAATCAGAGCAGAGTAGACCAATCACAACAGACTGGGCCATCTGACCAATCAGAGCAGAGTAGACCAATCACAACAGACTGGGCCATCTGACCAATCAGAGCAGAGAAGACCAATCACAACAGACTGGGCCATCTGACCAATCAGAGCAGAGAAGACCAATCACAACAGACTGGGCCATCTGACCAATCAGAGCAGAGTAGACCAATCACAACAGACTGGGCCATCTGACCAATCAGAGCAGAGAAGACCAATCACAACAGACTGGGCCATCTGACCAATCAGAGCAGAGTAGACCAATCACAACAGACTGGGCCATCTGACCAATCAGAGCAGAGTAGACCAATCACAACAGACTGGGCCATCTGACCAATCAGAGCAGTGTAGACCAATCACAACAGACTGGGTCATCTGACCAATCAGAGCAGAGAAGACCAATCACAACAGACTGGGCCGTCTGACCAATCAAAGCAGAGTAGACCAATCACAGCAGACTGGGTCATCTGACCAATCAGAGCAGAGTAGACCAATCACAACAGACTGGGCCATCTGACCAATCAGAGCAGAGTAGACCAATCACAACAGACTGGGCCATCTGACCAATCAGAGCAGTGTAGACCAATCACAACAGACTGGGTCATCTGACCAATCAGAGCAGTGTAGACCAATCACAACAGACTGGGTCATCTGACCAATCAGAGCAGTGTAGACCAATCACAACAGACTGGGTCATCTGACCAATCAGAGCAGAGAAGACCAATCACAACAGACTGGGCCGTCTGACCAATCAAAGCAGAGTAGACCAATCACAGCAGACTGGGCCATCTGACCAATCAGAGCAGTGTAGACCAATCACAACAGACTGGGTCATCTGACCAATCAGAGCAGTGTAGACCAATCACAACAGACTGGGTCATCTGACCAATCAGAGCAGTGTAGACCATTCACAACAGACTGGGTCATCTGACCAATCAGAGCAGAGAAGACCAATCACAACAGACTGGGCCGTCTGACCAATCAAAGCAGAGTAGACCAATCACAACAGACTGGGCCATCTGACCAATCAGAGCAGTGTAGACCAATCACAACAGACTGGGTCATCTGACCAATCAGAGCAGAGAAGACCAATCTCAACAGACTGGGCCATCTGACCAATCAGAGCAGTGTAGACCAATCACAACAGACTGGGTCATCTGACCAATCAGAGCAGAGTAGACCAATCACAACAGACTGGGCCATCTGACCAATCAGAGCAGTGTAGACCAATCACAACAGACTGGGTCATCTGACCAATCAGAGCAGAGTAGACCAATCACAACAGACTGGGCCATCTGACCAATCAGAGCAGTGTAGACCAATCACAACAGACTGGGCCATCTGACCAATCAGAGCAGAGTAGACCAATCACAACAGACTGGGCCATCTGACCAATCAGAGCAGAGTAGACCAATCACAACAGACTGGGCCATCTGACCAATCAGAGCAGAGTAGACCAATCACAACAGACTGGGCCATCTGACCAATCAGAGCAGTGTAGACCAATCACAACAGACTGGGTCATCTGACCAATCAGAGCAGAGTAGACCAATCACAACAGACTGGGCCATCTGACCAATCAGAGCAGAGTAGACCAATCACAACAGACTGGGCCATCTGACCAATCAGAGCAGAGTAGACCAATCACAACAGACTGGGCCATCTGACCAATCAGAGCAGAGTAGACCAATCACAACAGACTGGGCCATCTGACCAATCAGAGCAGAGTAGACCAATCACAACAGACTGGGCCATCTGACCAATCAGAGCAGTGTATGCTCTCGGAAAGGAGTTAGAGACCAAGTCCTTGATCGAACCGTTTCAGACATTCTTAGAAAAGAGCTAGTATGATACTGCTACTTTAATAACCAGTTGATTCTGTTTTTATTTTTGTAATATTTTATAGTTATTGTTATATATTTTATAGTATATTATTATTATTATTACAGTTTATGATGTATTTAATCTTAAGCTATTTTGTGCATGTCTCATTTGCTACAACTAAACTATCATATAATGTGTAAATTATATCACCTCTTGACCTCTATATATATCAGCTATTATTCATTGAAAAACATTCAAATCTGTGAACTATCACTTACTACTGTTGTGTGTCCAGCTGGTGAACCGCGTCGAGACCCAGAGCCCCTCCGTGAAGAAGCCTCTCTCCAGCGCGCTCAGAGTCACACGAGAAGGTTAGAAAGCGTTAGCCGCTTTATATAGAGAAAATACACACAAGCCCATTGAACACGTGTGTGTGTGTTTCTACAGTGAGGAGTTACTGTCCTTCCCCGCAGCGGTTCGACCCGGACAGAGAAGATGAGGAGTTTCTGTCGTCCTCTGTATCGAGCCGATGTTCAGTCCATCAGGAGCGCTCTCCTCCTGAAGGTACATCATCTCTACTCACATGTGTCTAGCCAATTCATGATCTGCCCAAGGGTTAAACCCATAGATATCCATAATAAAGGCTAGATGTCTTACGGCGGAGTCTCTATCGTCATCACCGGCGGCCATCTTGTCACAGGCAAGCGTTCTGGCGGGCTCTGTGGTGCCTGATGTAAGATGAGTGATCAGCACGAACACAAATACTCTTATCTCGTCGAAATCTTGACGGATTTACAAACGGTTTGGTTTCTTACAAACGTTATTAACGTGGCTATAATTCTGGATGATTATTTATTGATACACTTATTATTCATAAGTATGCAGTGTCATAACTACATCTCTGACGTTTATAACAAACCAAACCGTTTGAAAATCGGTAGAAAATTGAGCAAGTTATGGTTATTTAAAAAGTACATGCACCATTAAAACACAATGTTAGGAGTGAGCGAGCTGCCTGTGGCAAGATGGCCGCCAGTGCGGACGTCGACCTCCATTGGCCAGCAGCGCGGACGAGACATCTAGCCTTTATTATGGATATCTATGGTGTTATCCACCAGCCGGAAACTGAAGTCTCCCCGGGGGCCGCCATCGGCTAGCAGACCATCACCTGCTGTTAGCACTCCATTGACTCCCATTCATTTTGGCGTCACTTTGACAGCCAATAACTTTACATCTGAGGCGTTTAAAGACTCCATTTGTCCATTGTTTATTTCTAAAGAAACACGACAATGTATAAAAGGCTCCATTACCTTGTATCTTACGTTATGGCCCTGTAGAAGCAGTTTTTGTAAAAATAGGCTAACGATTGCGTCATAACACGTGACACTCTGTCGCACAGTAGAGAAATTACCATATAGACCCCTTTTCAGTTGGTAAACATGGTGACGTGTTTTTGTGGGCGGAGCTTAGCTGGAGGCAGAACGATCCCTCTGGCCGCTTCACTAACGCTAGTTTGCAAGTTTTGTTAGCTTGTTTTTTAACAATGACTGGAGAAAATCCGATTTTATCTTAATGAGCAAGGTCACTCAGTGTCCAGGACCGCGATTGTTATTTGCTAAAGTTAATGTTAACGGACGGAACCAGATTGGCCGACCCGTACTGTCCACATTACAATTTAGAGAGATCTGTTATCAGAGGAAACTGTTATATATGGTAAGTTATGTATTTCAGAAATGTACTTATACAAAATCAAAAATGTATTAATTTAAACAATGTAATAATTAAAGGCAGATATAATGAGCTAGTTGAAGTATTGAATACTTGTTTGTTAACAAATGATTATGACATTAAGAAAAATGTAGCATTGGTGCGTGTTGATTCAGAGTTTATAATGGAGAAAACTGATCCTAGACCAGCAGTTATGATCAGCTTTTCCCACTAAAAGCAGTCAGATACAGCAGCCTGTAAATGATTGTATTTGATATTTTTGTAGTTTTAGTGTAATAGTTGTTCACTGGATCACTGTGTGTATTAATCCAGTTGCAGACGCTCATGTTCACTGGTGTGGCTCCGCTTCCTCAGTTTAACATGATCTTGTTGTTTTCCAGTGAAACCAGAGCAGCGTAAACGAGATACGGATCTAGGTGAGACACACACACACACACACACACACACACACACTCTCTCTCTAACACACACACACACACACACACACTCTCTCTCTAACACACACACACACACACACACTCTCTCTAACACACACACACACACACACACACTCTCTCTCTAACACACACACACACACACACACTCTCTCTAACACACACACACACACACACACACACACACACAAACACACACACACACACACACACACACACACACACACACTCTCTAACACACACACACACACACACACACACACACACACACACACACACACACACACACACACTCACACACACACACTCTCTCACACACACACATGTTGTGTTTTCATGTTTTATGGGGACTTTCCATAGACATAATGATTTTTATACTGTACAGACTGTATATTCTATTCCCTTACACTGCCCCTATCCCTAAACCTGCCCATCACAGGAGACATGCTGCATTTTTACATTTTCAAACAACATCACTTAGTATGATTTATAAGCTGATTTCCTCATGGGGACCAAAAAATGTCCCCACACGAACAAGGATTTCGGATATTGCCATCCTTGTGGGGACATTTTGTCCCCATAACGTAGGGTTTACCAGGCCACATATACACACACACACACACACACACATACACACACACACACACACACACATTCACTCTCTCACTCTCTCTCTCTCACACACACACATACACACACACACACACACACACACACATTCACTCTCTCACTCTCTCTCTCTCACACACACACACACACACACACACACACACTCACTCACTCTCTCTCTCTCTCTCTCTCTCTCTCTCTCTCTCTCTCACACACACACACACACACACACACACACACTTTGTTTCTGTAACGTACACCTGCAGCTGCCGTCATGGACGTCTGTGTTGTCGGCTCTTCCCCTGCAGGTTTGCCTGAGTCTCCGCTGGAGGATGCTGGGAAGTGAGTTAGCATGACAGTATTCGACCCTCTCAGCGTTTGCCGGTGATGTCTCTGCATGTGTCCTTCTGATTATCCTTCTTTTCATCCCTCTGTTAACCTGTGATCAGTGGCGAGGAGACTCTCGGTGTGAGCGGCCTCAGTGACGTGAAGGACATCTTGAGTGAGTTGATCCGGGACGGGGCTTTATCCCGATCCGCGCTGGACCTGTCCCGACCAGCAGCGCCTCACAGGAGCAGGTGAGACTCAGGAATCAGGCTATTCTAGTTTTGATATTAGTTCCAGCATATGTTTCTTTCCCTAGAGTCCTATTGTGTTAGTCAAAGTTTATTTCATCAGATAACAGTTGAGTTTTTCATAAGCAGTTTTTACTCAGATGCAATGCTATTTTAGTATCATTAACATGCCATTATAGTTTTTATTAATATTTTGAATTAGTTTTTATTTTTATGTTTAGCATTTTATTTTTAAGTTTAGTTAATGTTATAGTTTTTTTGTTTTGTGTTTTTGTGCAATTGTTTTTAAATATGTATATATAGTTTTTATTCATTTTTATTTTAGTTTGTCATTTTAGTACTTCAACTTAAACTAAACAAAAATTTGAAATGCTGCCTTTGTAACTAACTAAAATAATTTCTTATATATTTATATAAATATATATATATATATATATATATATATTTATACTGTGTGTGTATATATATATATATATATATATATATATATAAAAATTTCAGATAATTTTTTAAAAATGTTTTATAGTTGTCTTTACTTCCCCTGTTTGGATTAAAGTGTCTGATTGATGAACATCTCAATGTAAATGATCTCTGTTATGATTGGCTAACAACAGCCCTGCTAAGTAGATTAGTGAGGGATGTGTGACATATTTACTGATTGATTTGATTGGTGTGTTTACGTGTGGTGGGCGGCAGGTCAGAGGTCAGTGCGAGCGGAGCCATGATGGAGGAGGAGCGCAGGGATCTGAGGATGTGGATGAGGAGGAAACAGAGAGAACGACTGATGGAATACCGTAAACAGAGAGAAGAGAAGAGAGAGAGCGAGCGCAGACCCTTCGTCTCTCCTCTCACACACGTGAGACGCTTCAGAGCAAGCATGATGTCACTGATTGTGTCAGACTGTTTGCTTTTCATGATAGCTATTCTCAGAATCTGTATTCCACAGTTTTTCTTCATGCAAAGCCTAATTTCTGTTGGATTATGAACTATGTATTATTTGCATATTGATTTTGAATGTTAGTAATTTTTTAGATATTTATACAGTGCTGGTCAGAATTATTTGCCCCCCTGGTAAATATGATCAAAGATGGCTGTAAAAAAAAAAAATCTGCATCGTTTATCCTTTTGATATTTTATTTTTAAAAAATGCAAAAATTTAACCTTTTATTGAAGTAAAATAATTGAAAGTGGGAGGAAAATCATATTATGAAATAAATGTTTTCCTCCAAAACACATTGGGAGAGATTAACAATGCAGATTTATTTTTTACAGCCATCTTTGATCATATTTACCAAGGGGGCAAATCATTCTGACCAGCACTATTTGTATGTGTATATATATATATAATCACTAACATTCAAAATCAATAAAATCACTATCATTCAAAAATTTGGGGTTGGAAAGATTTTTTATTATGTTTTTGAAAGAAGTCTCTTCTGCTCACCAAAGCTGCATTAATTTGATCAAAAATACTGTAAAAAGTGAAATATTGTTAAAAAAATGTGTTTTCTATGTAAGTAAGTAGTAAAATGTAATTTATTCCTGTGATCAAAGCTGAATTTTCAGCATCATTACTCCAGTCTTCAGTGTCACATGATCCTTCAGAAATCACTCTAATATGATGATCTGATGCTCTAGAAACATTATTAGGTAGAGGTACAAACCTATCATATGTAAATAACAATCATAATTTGTAAATAATAATGTTATATAGATACGGTATTACATTTTCTACATAATATCTGTAATGTCTTTATGAGTCAGAAATTATATTTAACATTAATATCTGTAATGTATATGTAATATGTATACATGACAAATATTGTACACCGCTTTACTTCTATACTGAACGAACTCCAGATGAATCATCATTTCCATTCACTTTGCTTTGGATCTGGACAATCTCTAGCTTTTTTTCTCCATATGTTTTGAAGTCTATTATGTAAAGCTTGAAGCTTTAGTTTTGCACAAAACTCTTGATAACTGAATACTTCACCTCCGTTTCAGAATCCAACCTCTGTAGATCTGGCAACCAACAAGAAAAGCAAAGAAGAAAGAGACAGGTATGATTATGTATCTCGCTTGTTAAACTAACATTAGTTGTGTCCAGAATGACTATGCACTACACTATGCACTCAAACCTCTAGTGTATGAACATAATTAAAGCTGCGACAGTTGCATGAAGTGACCAATATTCCACACTTTGTTTTTTTTTTCAGGGGTAATTAAGTGCATTTGCAAGTATTTGAAGTGCACTTTATATTTTTGGAATTTTCAGTGTATTTTTATTTATACTTTATAGAGAGCCTAAGCCCCTCCCCTTCCGGTCGACCACCATGGGACCTTATTTCTGAAAAATATTGTATGGTAGTCAATGGCGAGAGACAACAAATAATTTTTGATCTCGTTTGAATTGTGCCCTGAATTACACATATGATGTTTGTCAATTTAAAAGATACATTTAAAGTCAAGAAAGTCGCAGTTTGATGTAAAACTTTTGAGGTATAAGACTGTGAAAATACGTAATTACAAAGACTACAAACCCCAAAGGCGCACATTTTCTCTCAATGAATGAAGCTAACTTTACTGAAGCTAACTTTACTGAAGCTAACAAGCTAACTACTGAAGTTAACTTTACTGAAGTTAACTTTACTGAAGCTAACTTTACTGAAGCTAACTTTACTGAAGCTAACAAGCTAACTTTACTGAAGTTAACTTTACTGAAGCTAACTTTACTGAAGCTAACTTTACTGAAGTTAACTTTACTGAAGCTAACTTTACTGAAGCTAACTTTACTGAAGCTAACTTTACTGAAGTTAACTTTACTGAAGCTAACTTTACTGAAGCTGAAGCTAACTTTACTGAAGCTAACTTTACTGACGCTAACTTTACTGAAGATAACTTTACTGAAGCTAACTTTACTGAAGCTAACTTTACTGAAGCTAACTTTACTGAAGTTAACTTTACTGAAGCTAACTTTACTGAAGCTAACTTTACTGAAGCTAACTTTACTGAAGCTACTGAAGCTAACTTTACTGAAGCTAACTTTACTGAAGTTAACTTTACTGAAGCTAACTTTACTGAAGTTAACTTTACTGAAGCTAACTTTACTGAAGCTAACTTTACTGAAGCTAACTTTACTGTAGCTAACTTTACTGACGATAACTTTACTGAAGCTAACTTTACTGAAGCTAACTTTACTGAAGCTAACTTTACTGAAGTTAACTTTACTGAAGCTAACTTTACTGAAGCTAACTTTACTGACGCTAACTTTACTGAAGCTAACTTTACTGAAGCTACTGAAGCTAACTTTACTGAAGCTAACTTTACTGAAGTTAACTTTACTGAAGCTAACTTTACTGAAGTTAACTTTACTGAAGCTAACTTTACTGTAGCTAACTTTACTGTAGCTAACTTTACTGAAGCTAACTTTACTGAAGCTAACTTTACTGAAGCTAACTTTACTGAAGCTAACTTTACTGAAGCTAACTTTACTGAAGCTAACCTTACTGAAGTTAACTTTACTGAAGCAAGCTAACTTTACTGAAGCTAACTTTACTGAAGTTAACTTTACTGAAGTTAACTTTACTGAAGTTAACTTTACTGAAGTTAACTTTACTGAAGCTAACTTTACTGAAGCTAACTTTACTGACGCTAACTTTACTGACGTTAACTTTACTGAAGCTAACTTTACTGAAGCTAACTTTACTGAAGCTAACTTTACTGAAGCTAACTTTACTGAAGCTAACTTTACTGAAGCTAACTTTACTGAAGCTAACTTTACTGACGCTAACTTTACTGAAGCTAACTTTACTGAAGCTAACTTTACTGACGCTAACTTTACTGAAGCTGAAGCTAACTTTACTGAAGCTAACTTTACTGAAGCTAACTTTACTGAAGCTATCTTTACTGAAGCTATCTTTACTGAAGCTAACTTTACTGAAGCTATCTTTACTGAAGCTAACTTTACTGAAGCTAACTTTACTGAAGCTAACTTTACTGAAGCTAACTTTACTGAAGCTGACTTTACTGAAGCTAACTTTACTGAAGCTAACGTCTGTCAGTGTTTCTATAGTCTTGCGTTATAATCGTAACGTTACGCCGTCATGCCTGAGTGTTTTGTACCAGACTGCACACACACACCAGCAGCGGATCTCGCTCGTTGTTTCGCTTCCCGGGAGATGTCGTTCATTGAGCGATTTTTACACAAAACTAAATGTCACTCTTCTGTTTTATAACAAACTGCGACTTTCTTGACTTTCAGAATTATCTTTTAAATTGGCAAACATCACATGTGTAATTCAGGGCACAGTTCAGACGGAATAAAAAGATAAGTTTTCTCTCGCCATTGACTACCATACATGTTTTTTCCGAAATAAGGTCCCATGAGCCGGAAGCGGAGGGGAGGGACTTAGGCTCTCTATAAAACGGTTAGTTCCAGTCCTTGATTCTGATTGGTCAATACTCACGATAAACACGGCTATGACCGCTTCACCCAACGTTGTATGTATCACTACACAACACCCCTAGCAACCACTCGTAGCAACGTAAACAAATGTTCTCATTGATATTGTTCATTGAAACTTCTAGAGTAGAGTATTGTGAGTAAGCGAGAGTACCTGCATTTACAGTAGATATAGCATTTTCCTTCAGGTCAGTCCTATATTCGTAATTATAAATCAGTTTGAATGTCTGCAGCGATATATTGTCCTTTTAACAGTTAACGTTAAGGGGTTTTCCAGTGCCCTAGTCATTTGTCTTCTCTGTGTTCACAACAAGTTTGTCCTTTCAATATAAAAGTCTTCTCAACTGACTGACTGACTCATAAAGAGAGTCTTTGCCGCCATCTAATGGTGAAATAATGTAACTTTTGTTGCTGTTGACAGTCAGGGACTATTTTTTCCAGCGGAAGGAAAGCTTTTAGTGATTTTACATCATGGAAGTTACATTGATACATATTTTTCGGCTTTAATATTTGTATTGAGTGGTAACCGTTTTACAAAAGCTATAAGGAACGAGAGGCTAGTGCTGAATCGTGAATAAGTCACCCGTGACCTAATTTCTTACATAAAATAGTGCATAAGCATGTGGATCGGGAGGCACCTATTCAGTGGTTTCCCACATGCTTCATTTCAATTTTATTATTCCCTGTGCTCTCAGGACGGTTCTTCAGGAGCATCATGAACAGAGAGCTCGCGACGCCTGCAGTCTGATCACTGACCTGCTCACCACACCACTGAACCTTCCCACAATCCCCCACGACACGCTCAGGTCAGTGCCATCTGTGTGATCGCCATGGGGAAATCCCAGAGTCAAACTGGGAGCTGGAAAATGAGACGTTTGAGAAGTTTATCTATGTATCCTTTTTTTTTTTTTACTCTTTTAATTCCTGTATCATCTTTGTACCTCTTTTAATTAATTCCTTTTATAACGGTTTTAATTTTCCTTGCTTTTATTTTCTGATTATTTTAATTCCTTTCAGTGTAAAGCACTTTAAATTACCATAGCGTATGAAATGTGCTATATAGCTATTTTAAAGAAACGGCTGAAGACGCATCGTTTTCGGCAACACTTGATCCATTAATACTAACTCTTCTATACGGCACATCCAGGAACTTAACTGTCAATTTCGTCCCGCCCCTTTTTAGGGGAAAACAAACTAGTGTTCCCATAGACTTTAATACAAAAGAAAGGCACAAAGCAACGTCCGTGCACAGCCGGCAGGCGTGAATAACTTAAGAAATCACTCATATAAAACATGTCAAGTAATGATATGTCCACCCTGCCTGCCATAGAGCGTGAACGATGCATACACAAACTTAATTTGGTCAATTTAAAAACATGTCCCTTCATTCTCCCAGCGTCAAATTGGTTTAACAACCCCACCGAATGGGGTTATATACATTATAAGATATATTATAATGTATATTATAAGACATAATACATTTAAAGAATGTTTACTTTCAAAAACGAATTTAAATCATTCACTCGATGAGGTACGACTACGAGTAAGTGTCCGGGTTATACACCTCTGGCCACTGGGTGGGGTTGTTACACCAGTTTGACGCGGGGAGAATGAAGGGACATGTTTTTAAATTGACCAAATTAAGTTTGTGTATGTATCGTTCACGCTCTATGGCAGGCAGGGTGGACATATCATTACTTGACATGTTTTATATGAGTGATTTCTTAAGTTATTCACGCCTGTCGGCTGTGTACGGACGTTGTTTTGTGACACTATTTTGTATTGAAGACACGCCTAAAAGTGGGCGTGAATCTGTTCAGAGACATTCTGTGACGTAGTGCATATTCTATATCTATTTAAAAACAAAAACTGCGTTAGACTAAACTGGGAAGGGTCATAGCACTTGCATATTGTGATCCTATTGTTAGTTTAACTGCTTCTATTGTTCTCATTTGTAAGTCGCTTTGGATAAATGTAAATATAAATAAACTTGCTTTACTGTTCCGTCTGTGCAACGCCTTCTGCAATTAGTGATGCATCTTTACAGGAACCTTTTGGCAACTCTCTGTGTTTTTGAGACGGAGCCAGTGTTTAGTTTTGGAGACGTACCACAAATCACGCTTAATATCCTTCCCTGTGTTTCAGGAGCAGAAGTCAAGCCTCTGGGAAAAACAAGAGGGTTCCCAAGAACCAGAGCGGCCCACACAGACGCTCGGCATCTTCTCTGGGAAAGACTGTTGTGCTTCAGGGGAAATCTGCGGGAAAAGCCCACGGCTCGCTAAACCAGAGGCTCGGGCTGCACAGACCAGGTTCATGTCGTATAATGGACTGATTTCATTTATTAATGGTGATCGTGATCATTTTGAAAACTTTCAATCTCACGTTTCACATGCAGCCAGTGATCTTCCAGGCGATCGGCTATCCCAGGTCACTCGGCGTGGGATGCTGTCCGACCTGAGACCCAGACAAGGGACGAAGAGCGCTCATCAGAGTATGCCGTTTCTGAATGTGTTTGTGTGAAAATATCAGAATCAGAATGAGGTTTATAGACAAGTGTAAATTTGTCTTAAACAAAATACAGTCAAACCAAAAATTATTCAGACACGAGATATAATTTGTGATATTTTTTTACTAGTGTGTGCAGGACACTATAGTTCATTTATGTAAATGAGGAGAGCAAAATAAAGTAAACTGTGACATATTATAGCCAAATATTCTTCATACAGTGACTACCAGTGACATTTATAAACATTTGTTGTAATAATAAAAATGATTCCTCCACTTTGAGCTGATCATGTTTTGCTGAAGTGTGTTTTCTGTAATTGCTAATGCTCTTTTTACACACAGACTGAACAACATGAAGCATTGCTTGGTCACTGGTTGAGCTAAACTGGTATTATCTAATTGTGTAGTTAAGTTTAACAGCTGACAGATATTCAACATAATTCATGTGTGAGAGTCTAACAGAAGGACGGACAAAACCAGTCAAATATCCACTGAGTTCTGCTCATATTTTATTACCATTTTCTAAACTATAGCGAATAAACTGATAATGTGAGAAATGTTGAAGGAGTCTGAATACATTTTGGTTTGACTGTATGTATATTTACACAATAAACAAAACATACAAAATATGTATGTACGGCATAATCTCTATTTATGCAAGCATATATGCAAATATACAACATTCCTTCATATATTCTCATTTGTTCTTCTGTTGTGATGAAAAATGGGTTCCACACGCCTACAGCAAAACCGAGAGTAGTGAAAGAGAGAGATCGGACGCATGTGGAAGAAAGAGACGCAGAGAGTCCAGATGAGCACAGGATTCCTCTGTTGGAGGATCATGATATCAGACAGGTGAGAAGTTCACCAACACTGACAAATGTGACTCACCAATCTAATAAGATTGGTAAGATCGCTATATAAATGAGGATGACTAATAAAGCTGCCTCTATAGGTGTCCTTAAAGGGATAGTTCACCTAAAGATGTAAACTCTGTCAGTAATGACTCTCCCTCATGTTGTTCAACCCCGTAAGACTTTCGTTCATCTTCGAGACACAAATTAAGATATTTTTGGTTAAATCTGAGAGCTGGATCACTCCTCCATAGGCTTCTAAGGGATCGAAACTTGCCGGCCCAGAAAAGTTATTAAAGACATCGTTAAAATAGTCCGAGTGACGACAGTGGCTCAACCTTAAGTTTATCAAGCGACGAGAATACTTTCTGTGCGCAAAAAACAAATTCACGTAGTGTAACAGCGCAGCGCTTCTGGTTGTACGTCACACACATCACACACATGACCAGCGTCGGCCAATAGTGAGCCTGTGTGTGACGTACACCAGAAGCGCTGCGCTGTTACACTATGTGAACTCACTCGAGGCCCACAGAGAAGGGAATGAATAGCTGAATAAAGTCGTTATTTGTTTTTTGCACACAGAAAGTATTCTCGTCGCTTGATAAACTGAAGGTTGAACCACTGTCGTCACTTGGACTATTTTAACGATGTCTTTAATAACTTTTCTGGGCCGGCAAGTTTCGATCCCTTAGAAGCCTATGGAGGAGTGATCCAGCTCTCAGATTTAATCACAAATATCTTAATTTGTGTTCGGAAGATGAACGAAAGTCTTACGGGGTTGAACAACATGAGGGAGAGTCATTACTGACAGAGTTTACATTTTGGGGTGAACTAACCCTTTAAGCCTCTGGTTGTCATTTTAGATCAAACATTTTAACCCTCTGGGGTCCTTCGGCCCAAATGGACCCGAAGCATTTAAATATATATATTTTTTAAATCATTGCTTTATCGGAATGGTCCGAAATTTGGTGACTTTGTTGGTACTTGGCATATGAACACCCCAAAAAATTGGGGACAGGATTTGAATAGTCTAAGTGGTTGTTAAAAAAAATAGTCACACTCAGGACCTTCGGGTCCAAATGGACCCGCATAGGAAATGAATGGGAAATTGGCAAAAATGTGAAAATACAGAGTTATTTTGTGCGTACAAACTACAAATCAGCCACGATCCAGAAAAAAAGCACACAACAGTGAAGGGGTGAATCTATAAAACATCAAGAGTGCAAAACAGACACATCCACACACACACACACACACACACACACAAACACACTTTTATACACATACACACTAATAAATTCAGATTACATATGGGTTTTGAATTTTTAAAATGCTCAGTTTGTCCACCAGATGGCATCCATCTCATTTCAAAAATTGCTTTCATGAGGCCTAGGCTTGACTCTAAAATGAAATACAGCTTTAAAAAATAAAAATAAAATAAAAAATATATTTTTTAAATTTCTATTATATTCAATGGGGAAAAAATGGGTCATAATTTTTGCATTAATATTAATTATAAATCATTTTTATTTTTGAAATTATCTCAAAACACCAAAAAAGAAAAGAAAAAATATTATAAAAAACAAGTAAAAAAAAAAAAAGATGATTTTTTAAAAATAAATATTAATCCCACCCTTCCGGCCCATTTGGACCCGAAGGTCCTGAGTGTGACTCTGAAATGAAGGACCCCAGAGGGTTAAAGTGAAAAATTCATCGAAATTGTACAAAACTTGGTACAAAAGCAAACTTGGAACACATAAAAACTGTGGACATAATTAGAAAAGGCTAAATGGCCAAAAGTTATGACCAGAAATGAATGGGGAATAGGAAAATCAGATTAATTTATTGGGGGTACAATCTACAAACCAGCCACAATTAAGTATTCTAAATGTGTATATATATACACTCACCGGCCACTTTATTAGGTACCCCATGCTAGTAACGGGTTGGACCCCCTTTTGCCTTCAGAACTGCCTCAATTCTTCGTGGCATAGATTCAACAAGGTGCTGGAAGCATTCCTCAGGGAGTTTGGTCCATATTGACATGATGGCATCACACAGTTGCCGCAGATTTGTCGGCTGCACATCCATGATGCGAATCTCCCGTTCCACCACATCCCAAAGATGCTCTATTGGGTTGAGATCTGGTGACTGTGGAGGCCATTTTAGTACAGTGAACTCATTGTCATGTTCAAGAAACCAATTTGAAATGATTAGAGCTTTGTGATATGGTGGAAGTAGCCATCAGAGGATGGGTACATGGTGGCCATAAAGGGATGGACATGGTCAGAAACAATGCTCAGGTAGGCCGTGGCATTTAAACGATGCCCAATTGGCACTAAGGGGCCTAAAGTGTGCCAGGAAAACATCCCCCACACCATTACACCACCACCACCAGCCTGCACAGTGGTAACAAGGCATGATGGTTCCATGTTCTCATTCTGTTTACGCCAAATTCTGACTCTAACATCTGAATGTCTCAACAGAAATCGAGACTCATCAGACCAGGCAACATTTTTCCAGTCTTCAACTGTTCAATTTTGGTGAGCTCTTGCAAATTGTAGCCTCTTTTTCCTATTTGTAGTGGAGATGAGTGGTACCCGGTGGAGTCTTCTGCTTTTGTAGCCCATCCGCCTCAAGGTTGTGCGTGTTGTGGCTTCACAAATGCTTTGCTGCATACCTCGGTTGTAACGAGTGGTTATTTCAGTCACTGTTGCCCTTCTATCAGCTCGAACCAGTCTGGCCATTCTCCTCTGACCTCTGGCATCAACAAGGCATTTCCGCCCACAGAACTGCCGCTCACTGGATGTTTTTTCTTTTTCGGACCATTCTCTGTAAACCCTAGAGATGGTTGTGCGTGAAAATCCCAGTAGATTAGCAGTTTCTGAAATACTCAGACCAGCCCTTCTGGCACCAACAATCATGCCACGTTCAAAGTCACTCAAATCACCTTTCTTCCCCATACTGATGCTCGGTTTGAACTGCAGGAGATTGTCTTGACCATGTCTACATGCCTAAATGCACTGAGTTGCCGCCATGTGATTGGCTGCTTAGAAATTAAGTGTTAACGAGCAGTTGGACAGGTGTACCTAATTAAGTGGCCGGTGAGTGTATATATATATATATATATATATCCAAGTGCAAAACCTAATAAAAGTTAGTAATTATGTTTGAAAATACTCATATAGGCATCTAGGTAGTGATGGCAATTTCAAAACACTGAAGAAATAGTACAAAATAATAAAGAAAAAATAACATTGAAAGAAAATATAGTACATTAATTTCATTAAAAAAATATATGTTTATTGACCTAATGCTCTATCTGGTATTAGTGTGTCATGTGGAGACTTGCAGTGTTTATAAGCAGTGCTGACAGAATCTGTTCCTTGAATGCATTTTGTTTGTTTTTGTTTCCATGTTTTGTAAATTTAGTAAAAAAATAATGGTAACACTTTACAATAAGGTTTTTTAGTTAACATTAGTTAGTGTATTAACTAACATGAACTAACCATGAGCAATAAATTTGTTACAGTATTTATTAATCTTTGTTAATGTTAGTTAATAAAAATACAGCTGTTCATTGTTTGTTCATGTTAGTTCACAGTGCATTAACTAATGTTAACAAGATTTTAATAAAGTATTAGTGAATGTTGAAATTAACATTAACAAAGATTAATAAATGCTGTATAAGTGCAGGTCATGCTAACTAATGTAGTTAACTAATAATGTAAACTAATGAACCTTATTGTAAAGTGTTACTAAAATAAAATAATAATAATGAAATGATTGCCAGAGGGTTACTTTACTGTACTTTATTTTATTGTTTATTTTTACAGGGACAATGTACAATTAAGAGTAATTACACCAGAGTTAGCTAACAGATAATTTACATCTGCTGTCCCTGGGCAGGTAAACCCATAAAATAACATACAATATTACTTATACACCACATAAAACTTCACAATACATATCTCCAGGAATATAACATTAACAAAATCAGTATGAATGGTAACACTTTATTTTACAGTGTCCTTGTTACATATGTTACATGTACTTATCGTAGTAAATTATGCATAATTACACGCAACTAACCCTCAACCAAACCCTAACCCTATAGTAAGTACATGTAGTTAATTATTAATACTCAGTACTTAAATATATAATTACACTGTAACAATGACACCTTAAAAATAAAGTGTAACCCAAAGAATTTACAATAGATATTATCATTAGTGGTTGCAGATTTGTTCAGATAGTAGCCAGTGTTTAAGCTGTCAACGCTTCGGATGTTTATGGGCAAGGAAAAAACAAGTAAGAAGGGTTATAAATAATGTTTAATTTAATTTAAAAAAACATTAGGCACCATCTTTCTCACTCCGCTGGCTAAGGCAAGTATACAGTACAACATGATACTAGCATTGTGTTCTGCACACACGCCTTATTGCACAGAAGATCATGTGATTGTTGTACTTCTCCAGGCCGATGAATCGTTCATAAACGCGGATCATCTGCGAGATCTGGATCTGGACTCTTTCTCTCAGAGCACCGGTAGCGTTCTGAGCAAACTGGACTGGGCCGCCATCGAGAGGATCGTGGCCGAGGACGAGCAGAACTGAAGAGGTGTTGCACACAGAACCGCCAGATGTTGCGCAGCTGTTGACTGTGAAGGATTGTGGTATTCGTGTATGTGTATCATTTGTGTCTTGACTGTTTGAGTAAGCTGTCGGCACAGATTTGTGCGGAATAAACAAGAATCTCTCACAGGTGCGTTGTTGGTTTTCTTCCACGTCGAGTCATTTCTGGACGCCCGACAGAACGCAGAGCTCTCCACAAACTACAACAAGCCTTCAGTGTCTTTTACATTTAACATTAGGTTCTAATGTGTAATTGGTAAAACTGTACAATAAGGTTTCATTTGTTCACATTATTAGTAAACAAACTAATACTACTACAACATTTGTTAATCTAATTTCAACTTTTACTCATACATTTTTAAACCAAAAGTAGCCACGCCCCAAACTCCCCACCTAATTGTATTTTTATGAACTAAAGATGAATAAATGCTGTATATTGCTCATTGTTAGTTAGGTATGCATTGAGTAATGCTAATGAATGGGACTTACTGTAAAGTGTTCGTGTAATTTATGGTTGAATTTGTCTTATTGCATTTCTAAGATTTGTTTATTTGACAATCCTTTAATAAAATACTGTGAAACGGAAGATCTCATATTTCCCAGTTATTAATCACATCCATGTCATTAAAAATTATACCTGAGCTGAAATATTGTCAAGCACAAATTCTATGAAGATATATAATTGTTTGCTATTAATAATAGCGGTAACACTTTACAATAAGGTTCTGTTTGTTAGCATAAGTTAACAAACTAACAATAAACATGACTTTATTGTTTATTGACAAAATGTACTAATACGTCGAAAGGTGTGTGAACATATTACCTTATTATTTAGATAATAATTAGTTGGAATACAATCGTGTATTTATATTATCAGCTTCATAAGTAACAATGGATTTTGGATAAAAAATACAAGGTACAAAATAACAAAAAAACGGGACAATACAAGGGAAAAACATTTATTTATGGTCAAATTATTTATCATTTTCTATTTATTTATTTCTAGTCAAATTATTAAATATTTTTATTCCGTATGAAAATACTCCGTAAAAGCTTCAAGACAAACATTTCTCAAAAGTAACCGAGGACTTGTATTCAGAAGAGACTTTTATTTTGACTTCCGGCGTCCCGGAAGTGTCCGATATTATTGTCATGGCTGATCAGAGCAGTGATTCTGGTAAGTTTGTGAGTTTTATACGTGTTTTATAAAGTGTTTCTCTCTTATAAGTGAGATGAATGTGTTTAAACTGCAGGGCAGTGTTTTGCTGAACGCTGTGATGGTTTAATGAAGTTAGATACTGTCAGAGCAGCCGTTATGATGATCTGAGGCTCCTCAGGCACATGTGATTCTGAACATTATTTATTAATAATTCAAATATAGGAGCCTTTAGCCTTCGTTTCTGTCACTCATTGACTGCCGTATGAGTGAATATGTTTGCAATACCATGTTGGTTGGGCTTGTACCATGGTATCACTATGGTATTCGTTAAAGTGCCCTAGATATACTACACTAACACCAAACACTCGATATAATGCCATAATAATTCGCTATTATAATTGGCATATAGTTTGTATTTCTTTTGTAAAGGTAGAAATTATTCTCTTATTTTCCCTTTAGATTATTATTATTATTTAATCAGTTTTATGTTGTGAATTTTTGCCTATCACCCATAAACTATTCATCGCTGTAAATAAATACATACACAAACTTTATATATTTTTTTTATAGAAAAGTAATAATAGCAATAGAAATTCCAAAAATGAAACTCTAATTTCCCTCTTTAGATTATTATTAATAATTTTTTATTTTATGAATTTTAGCCTCCCACATATATTCATCATTCAAAATAAACAAATATACCCTGAAGTTCTTTTTGATAAGGTGATAGTAAAAATTATGTTGTTATAATAATAGAAAATCTAAAAGGAAAATCATATTTTACCTTTAGATTATTATTAATTTGTCATTTTATACATTTTTGCCTACAAGCCATAAATTATTCATCATTCAAAATAAATCAATAAATATACTTTTTATGAAGGTAGTAATAGAAATTCTGCAACAATATAAATAATAGATATTCTAAAATAACACAATAATTCCCCCTATAGATTATTATTAATATTATTTAATAACTGTTGCCTAAAACCCATACATTATTCATAGTTTAAAATAAACAAATAATGTAATAATCTTTGTAAATTGAAACTTAAATTTGAACTTTAAATAATATTATTATTTGTTTATTTATTTAATTAATTTGTATTTTATAGATTTTTGCCACCCATAAATTATTCATCCTTCAAAATAAAATAAGAATTCCTCTAGATATGAATGCATTGTATTGTGTTCTGTGATTGACAGGTGACTCCAGTAACGATGCAGACATCTCGTCAGTCATGGGCTTCTCTGGATTCGGTGAGTGTTTCAGCTCAGATGTCACAGAAGCAGGAGTGTGTGTGTGTGTGTCAGAGTCACATGATCACTTGTAATATTTCTTTGGCTCTCAGGAAAGAAAGCTCGAACCTTTGACCTGGAGGCCATGTTTGAGCAGACGAGGCGGACGGCGATCGAGAGAAGTCAGCGAGCTTTAGGTCAGTGTGATTATTCACCTGTGATTCAGTCTCAAAGACGCCATTTTAACCTCGATCTTCTTCACCGTCACAGAAGAGCGGCAGAAACAGGAGGTTCAGGAGAGCAGCGGCTTCCGGCCCGTCGGCGTCAAAGAGAAACCGTCCGCATCCACGTCCAGGTAACGTCTTTATTCAATGAGCGTTCAGCTGAAATTTAAATTTAAATGAAAATTTACTCCATTTACTCACCCTGGAGTCATCCTAGGTGTACAAGACATTCTTCTTTCAGACGAATACAATCAGAGTTATATTAAAAAATGTCCTGGCTCTTCCAAGCTTTATAATGGCAGTGAATGGTGCACTTATGCACTTATATGCACTTTTATGATGGACAGATAGATGCACTTTTATGATGGATAGATGCACTTTATGATGGACAGATGCACTTTTATGATGGACAGATGCACTTTTATGATGGATAGATGCACTTTTATGATGGATAGATGCACTTTTATGATGGACAGATGCACTTTTATGATGATAGATGCACTTTTATGATGGATAGATGCACTTTTATCATGGATAGATGCACTTTTATCATGGATAGATGCACTTTTATCATGGATAGATGCACTTTTATGATGGATAGATGCACTTTTATGATGATAGATGCACTTTTATCATGGATAGATGCACTTTTATGATGGATAGATGCACTTTTATGATGGATAGATGCACTTTTATGATGGACAGATGCACTTTTATGATGGACAGATGCACTTTTATCATGGATAGATGCACTTTTATCATGGATAGATGCACTTTTATGATGGATAGATGCACTTTTATCATGGATAGATGCACTTTTATGATGGATAGATGCACTTTTATGATGGATAGATGTACTTTTATGATGGATAGATGCACTTTTATGATGGATAGATGCACTTTTATGATGGATAGATGCACTTTTATGATGGACAGATAGATGCACTTTTATGATGGACAGATAGATGCACTTTTATGATGGACAGATAGATGCACTTTTATGATGGATAGATGCACTTTTATGATGGATAGATGCACTTTTATCATGGATAGATGCACTTTTATCATGGATAGATGCACTTTTATCATGGATAGATGCACTTTTATGATGGATAGATGCACTTTTATGATGAATAGATGCACTTTTATCATGGATAGATGCACTTTTATGATGGATAGATGCACTTTTATGATGAATAGATGCACTTTTATCATGGATAGATGCACTTTTATCACGGATAGATGCACTTTTATGATGGATAGATGCACTTTTATGATGAATAGATGCACTTTTATCATGGATAGATGCACTTTTATCACGGATAGATGCACTTTTATGATGGATAGATGCACTTTTATGATGAATAGATGCACTTTTATCATGGATAGATGCACTTTTATCACGGATAGATGCACTTTTATGATGGATAGATGCACTTTTATGATGAATAGATGCACTTTTATCATGGATAGATGCACTTTTATCACGGATAGATGCACTTTTATGATGGATAGATGCACTTTTATGATGGATAGATGCACTTTTATCATGGATAGATGCACTTTTATGATGGACAGATAGATGCACTTTTATGATGGATAGATGTACTTTTATCATGGAAAGATGCACTTTTATCATGGATAGATGCACTTTTATCATGGATAGATGCACTTTTATCATGGATAGATGCACTTTGATGGACTTCATAACAGAAACGGCCATTCACTGCCATTATAAAGCTTGGAAGAGCCAGGACATTTTTTAATATAATGTCCAGTGTTTCCCCTACCATTTTTTTGGGGGGGCGGCCCCCCCTAAAATGCTGACGAAATCCAGTCATAAAAAAGGAATTTAGTGTGTATCGCGGAATTTCATGGAATTTGTAAATTTGAGGAAAAAATAGAAAGCAGTTCAGTACACTTGAAATCAAATCGCGATGTAGACTAGTGTGTGTGAATATTAAAACACAAAGACTATTTAAATGCGAATCCTGCATGTTCTGTGTGAATGAATGGTGCCGCCGACGCGCAGTTTCATTTACCACACACACACACACACTCACACACTGAAGCACGTGTGACGCTTGCGCTGTTTTTTGGCCTATATGAAGACACAAATGCATGAACTTCCTCTCAGGCTCTAGATCCACTCTGAAAGTCACTTCGTGATCATTTCACCGCTTCATTTGAGAAAAACTATCATCATGACATAAACACACAGAAACTCAAAAGGTACTTAACGGCAACCCGTCAAAATAAAAGTTCGGTTTAACTTGACAGAAATATATTACTGTTGTACATTAGAATTTAGATATGTCCCAATGTAATAATACACTAACACTAATCCAAATAAATTATCATCAAAACTGACATTTTTAAGGAATAATCCATGTTTTAATTTTAACAGTGAAGCTCATTATGCAGCAAGTTATTTGGCAAAAAGTTTATTTAATTTCATATGATTAAAATTGATGATAAATGATACAATTTGTGTTTTATGTCTTCATTTTATTACCAGAAAAAACACAACACAGAATTAGTGTGACATTTTTTTTCATATATTTTTTTTAAAAAGTATTGTTTAATGATTCATAATACATTATTTTAATTAATTAGACATGCTTTTTGATTGCAAAAAAAAATTACACCACGTATCCGTAACACGCCCGCTCCGCAACACTAGCAGTCCCCCCCCCCCCCCCCTGAAAAAAATCCTAGGGGAAACACTGATGTCATATACACCTAGAATGGCTTCAGGGTGAGTAAATCATGGCGTAAATTTTCATTTTTGGGTGAACTATCCCTTTCAGCTCAGTCACCGTGTGTCTCTCCTGTGTTTGTGTGAACAGGAAACAGGAAGCTGAGAGTGACAGTGACTCTGATGTCATTGGCCCACCGCTGCCTCCTCAGGAGGAAGAAGAGGATGATGATGACGATGATGATGTTGTCGGACCTCCACTTCCACCCGGATACAAGCGCAGCAGCGCTGACAGCGACGATGATGATGATGATGATGAAGATGATGATGATGAAGATGATGTAAGTGTATTTTTCATCTTTTTACTCCCATGAACATATTCAATGGTTAGTTTATATTATATACAGTCAAACCAAAACGTATTCAGACTCCTTCAACATTTCTCACATTATCACAGTTTATTCGCTATAGTTTAGAAAATGGTATTTAAATATGAGCAGAACTCAGTTGATATTTGACTGGTTTTGTCCGTCCTTCTGTTAGACTCTCACACATGAATTATGTTGAATATCTGTCAGATGTTAAATTTAACTACACAATTAGATAATACCAGTTTAGCTCAACCAGTGACCAAGCAATGCTTCATGTTGTTCAGTCTGTGTGTAAAAAGAGCATTAGCAATTACAGAAAACACACTTCAGCAGAACATGATCAGCTCAAAGTGGAGGAATCATTTTTGGTCCCGATTTTTTATAAATGTTATTGTTAGTCACTGTATGAAGAATATTTGGGTATAATATGTCACAGTTTACTTTATTTTGCTCTCCTCATTTACATAAATTAACTAGTAAAAAACATATAAAAAATGATATCTGGTGTTTGAATAATTTTTGCTTTGGCTGTATATTTACTTCACACAAATTAAGTTGTTGCTTTAAACTCTGATGCTTCAAAAAGATGAAAAACTAATCCATATGAATGGAGTGATTTAATCCAAGTCTTATGAAGTCGCTCGACCGCTTTATATGATGAACAGACTTAATTTAGGCTTTTATTCAAACATAAACAACGATTGTTTTGAAGCGTCCGAGTTTTGGCTGAACAGACTGTCAATGGAGCGACAGAAATTTCCCAGATTTCATTAAAAATATCTGATGAATTACTATTTAATGTTTAACAGCATTTAAATCAACTCGATTTACTTTAATCCTTGTCTTATGAACTTGACTGTTATTGTTCTTCTCTCTTATTTTTCAACCACGTCATGTCCTACAGTCAGACATTAGTCAGACTTTCCGCTTTGTTTCACGATGAAATGTGTCATATTATAGAAGGAAATGTGCTTTTTGACCTTATTTAATTTATTTGGCTTGGGGGCAGGAGTACTGAAGTCTTTGAATGAGATTTTCATCCTTGTCGTCATCTCCATTTTTTTTTTTCTGATGGCAGTATGATTATGAGTGCTATATGATTGAGTGCTATATGATTATGAGTGCTATATGATTATGAGTGCTATATGATTATGAGTGCTATATGATTATGAGTGCTATATGATTATGAGTGCTATATGATTGAGTGCTATATGATTGAGTGCTATATGATTGAGTGCAATATGTTGAGTGCTATATGTTGAGTGCTATATGATTGAGTGCTATATGATTGAGTGCTATATGATTGAGTGCTATATGATTGAGTGCTATATGATTGAGTGCTATATGATTGAGTGCTATATGATTGAGTGCTATATGATTGAGTGCTATATGATTGAGTGCTATATGATTGAGTGCTATATGATTGAGTGCTATTTGATTATGAGTGCTATATGATTATGAGTGCTATATGATTGAGCGCTATGATTGAGTGCTATATGTTGAGTGCTATATGATTGAGTGCTATATGATTGAGTGCTATATGATTGAGTGCTATTATATGATTGAGTGCTATTTGATTATGAGTGCTATTTGATTATGAGTGCTATTTGATTAGGAGTGCTATATGATTAGGAGTGCTATATGATTATGAGTGCTATGATTGAGTGCTATATGTTGAGTGCTATATGATTATGAGTGCTATATGATTATGAGTCCTATATGTTGAGTGCTATATGTTGAGTGCTATATGTTGAGTGCTATATGATTATGAGTCCTATATGTTGAGTGCTATATGTTGAGTGCTATATATTGAGTGCTATATGTTGAGTGCTATATGATTAAGGGAGCTATATGTTGAGTGCTATATGATTATGAGTGCTATATGATTATGAGTGCTATATGATTATGAGTGCTATATGTTGAGTGCTCTATGATTATGAGTGCTCTATGATTATGAGTGCTCTATGATTATGAGTGCTCTATGATTATGAGTGCTCTATGATTATGAGTGCTCTATGATTATGAGTGCTCTATGATTATGAGTGCTCTATGATTATGAGTGCTCTATGATTATGAGAGCTATATGATGAGTCCTATATGATTATGAGTGCTATGATTATGAGTGCTATATGTTGAGTGCTATATGTTGAGTGCTATATGATTATGAGTGCTATATGTTGAGTGCTATATGTTGAGTGCTATATGATTGAGTGCTATATGATTGAGTGCTATATGATTGAGTGCTATATGATTGAGTGCTATATGATTGAGTGCTATTTGATTATGAGTGCTATATGATTATGAGTGCTATATGATTGAGCGCTATGATTGAGCGCTATATGTTGAGTGCTATATGATTGAGTGCTATATGATTGAGTGCTATATGATTGAGTGCTATTATATGATTGAGTGCTATTTGATTATGAGTGCTATTTGATTATGAGTGCTATTTGATTAGGAGTGCTATATGATTAGGAGTGCTATATGATTATGAGTGCTATGATTGAGTGCTATATGTTGAGTGCTATATGATTATGAGTGCTATATGATTATGAGTCCTATATGTTGAGTGCTATATGTTGAGTGCTATATGTTGAGTGCTATATGATTATGAGTCCTATATGTTGAGTGCTATATGTTGAGTGCTATATATTGAGTGCTATATGTTGAGTGCTATATGATTAAGGGAGCTATATGTTGAGTGCTATATGATTATGAGTGCTATATGATTATGAGTGCTATATGATTATGAGTGCTATATGTTGAGTGCTCTATGATTATGAGTGCTCTATGATTATGAGTGCTCTATGATTATGAGTGCTCTATGATTATGAGTGCTCTATGATTATGAGTGCTCTATGATTATGAGTGCTCTATGATTATGAGTGCTCTATGATTATGAGTGCTCTATGATTATGAGAGCTATATGATGAGTCCTATATGATTATGAGTGCTATGATTAAGGGAGCTATATGATTATGAGTGCTATGATTATGAGTGCTATATGATTATGGGAGCTATATGATTATGAGTGCTATATGATTATGAGTGCTATGATTATGAGTGCTATATGATTATGAGTGCTATATGATTATGGGAGCTATATGATTATGAGTGCTATGATTATGAGTGCTCTATGATTATGAGTGCTCTATGATTATGAGTGCTCTATGATTATGAGTGCTCTATGATTATGAGTGCTCTATGATTATGAGTGCTCTATGATTATGAGTGCTCTATGATTATGAGAGCTATATGATGAGTCCTATATGATTATGAGTGCTATGATTAAGGGAGCTATATGTTGAGTGCTATATGATTATGAGTGCTATATGATTATGGGAGCTATATGATTATGAGTGCTATGATTATGAGTGCTATATGTTGAGTGCTCTATGATTATGAGTGCTCTATGATTATGAGTGCTCTATGATTATGAGTGCTCTATGATTATGAGTGCTCTATGATTATGAGAGCTATATGATGAGTCCTATATGATTATGAGTGCTATGATTATGAGTGCTATATGTTGAGTGCTATATGATTATGAGTGCTATATGTTGAGTGCTATACACTCACCTAAAGGATTATTAGGAACACCTGTTCAATTTCTCATTAATGCAATTATCTAATCAACCAATCACATGGCAGTTTCTTCAATGCATTTAGGGGTGTGGTCCTGGTCAAGACAATCTCCTGAACTCCAAACTGAATGTCAGAATGGGAAAAAAAGGTGATTTAAGCGATTTTGAGCGTGGCATGGTTGTTGGTGCCAGACGGGCCGGTCTGAGTATTTCACAATCTGCTCAGTTACTGGGATTTTCACGCACAATCATTTCTAGGGTTTACAAAGAATGGTGTGAAAAGGGAAAAACATCCAGTATGCGGCAGTCCTGTGGGAGAAAATGCCTTGTTGATGCTAGAGGTCAGAGGAGAATGGGCCGACTGATTCAAGCTGATAGAAGAGCAACTTTGACTGAAATAACCACTCGTTACAACCGAGGTATGCAGCAAAGCATTTGTGAAGCCACAACACGCACAACCTTGACAGGGAACTACACTGCGACCAAAATGGTCGCATATGCGACCTTTTGAAATGCCATTGCGACCCTAATTTTTAATGGGTCGCAAATGTATCACCGTTTGATTATTTTTGTACCTATATGTTTTAGGCAATCTGCTATGATTTACTATGAGCATTTATTAAAACAGAAATGTGTATTTTAAGAATACGTTTTATAACGTTCTCTGAGCATTCAACACATCTAGTTGGCTTCGCGCTTGTTTAACTGAGAGAACGAGAGAGAGTGAAAGCCGCGCGCGCGCACTCTCTCGCCGTCTTCACACTGTCTTGCTCTCTCTCCCGCCCTCGCTCATATTAATGAATTGAGTTGACTGAATATCTTTGAGAATACACGATGGTATTTTTTTCCTGAACTACCACTGGTTGTGAATTGTGCTAAAATAACGTTGCCTCATCTTCTCTGAAAAGCTTTCCACACAAATATGACATAAACCACACTTTCAATAAACAAAACAAAAAAATCTATCTAGTGATGAAATGTTTTCTGTGTTGAGAGTGAGACAAATCTTTTGCGATGTCCTAAACTGCCTGGATAATCACACAACGTGTGCCGTGGTCCGTTAATGACACGTCCGATTCGCGAACTAATATGACTCCTTTGAACCGATTCACTTTAATGATTGGTTAAAACAACTGATCTGTCCAACACTGAACTCAAGAGACATAAATCAGAAACACTTTACAATAAGGTTCCATTTATTAAAGTCTAGTTAACTACATTAAAACATTCTATTAATATTAGTTTCTATGTGGATTTACTCCATGACAAAACCACCCCAGTCATTCTAGAATGATTCATTCTTTCCAAATAGAGCTTTTTGTTTGAAATTGTTTTTATATCGCAATATATATCACAGAAAAATCAAATATCGCAATGTCATTTTTT